ACCAAGGGCAAGCTTGGTCCACCAAGCTCGCCCAGCCAGATCGAGCAAAAGTAAGTCGGCCGGCCCCTTGGAACCCTAACCCTAAGATCCCGCCCATCCGGACTCTGGCCTAGGGTTAGGGCTAGGGCTAGGATGTTGGTACCCCTAGTAGATACATTTGTCTGCATAGGGTACCTTGCATAGGTATGTTGACCACACTTCAACCTTCAGTGAATGTAGGGTTAGGGTTAGGCCTCTGTAGCAGTTGTTAATTTTTCTGCCTCAATTTTTCGCGCATTTTCACTCAGAAATTGCTTCGAAGTGTCGTTCGTCCTTGTCGTCTCTCTATCGGCGTGCACAATGTTCCTCGATTCAGCTTTCTACCAATGATTGAGCAATGCAATTTGGATGTCGGTGGCAGTGTTGTTACAAGAGTGCTATGTGAAATGCAACGGCGACACAGGATGGATGCCAGGGTATGAACGTGTAAACTAAGTTGCACGAGATGACGTTGTATGTGCGACGTGCGGTAACACCGTTCAAACCTGCTGCGTCTTGCCATTGGGCGGCGTGGCAGGGGGTGTGGCGACATCTGCAGAGGCAACAATGGTGTTGCCGAGCTCGTCGACGGGCGGGAAGCGAGCCATGCGCTCGAGATCGTCGAGATCAAGATGCGAGCGGATGTACATGTTCTGAGTGTCGGTAGGAACCTGGTAGTCCCACGAGGTCCACGTGCCTTGCTTGAGGCTGGAGAATACGAATCGTCGACGACGCTGAACCATGAGCACGTCCTCGGTGATCTTGGCCATGTCCCATCGCTTGAGTGCCTCGACTTCGAAGCCTTCGAGGGCCGTGCGTGACTCGGCATCGAGACTGTCGCGGTCGGTAGCCAGATTGACGAGCTCCTTGGGATCGCGGTCCAGGTTGAAGAGCTGAGGCGGGTCGATGGGGCAAGTGACGTACTTCCACGGCCCGCGACGAATCATGCAAAGTGGCGCAGCAGTTCCTTCACCCATGTACTCTGCGATGACGGTGTCGTGACCTGTCTGTCCGACGAGATGCGGGAGCATGCTGACGCCGTCGAGCGGCAGGTGCTTCTGGAGCGGGATGCCGACGATGTCGCAGAACGTGGGGAGCAGATCCATCGTTGAGACGTTGGACTTGACACGGCGAGGCGCAAACATCTTGGGGTAGTTGAAGAGAAGCGGCACGCGGACCGAGCTCTCGAAGTAGCTCATCTTGTACCAAAGCGATCGCTCGCCGAGCATGTCGCCGTGGTCGCCGCTCAAGACGATGACGGTATCATCGCGCAGGCCGCACTTGTCGAGAGTGGCCAGAAGCTCTCCGATCTTTGCGTCGACGTACGAGACCGAGCCGTAGTAGGCACGCTTTGCGCGCTTGATTTGCTCGGGAGTGAACTGCCTGCCTTCGAGATCGCAAACGTGACGAAGACGCTTCGAATGAGGATCTTGCTTGCTTGGGTGAATCTCCACTTCGGGCATGTTGATGTCAACGCCTTCGTAGAGGTCCCAGAACTCCTTCTCGATGGTGTATGGATCGTGCGGGTGGGTGAAGCTGACGGTCATTGCGAACGGACGCGTGGGAGCGCCGCCTGTCTTACGGCGAGCATGGTCGAAGAGGTATTGCTTTGACTTGTAAAGGACCTCCTCGTCGTAGTCCATCTGGTTGGAACGAACGCAAGGGCCGGCTTGGAGAATACTGGACGAGTTGTGGTACCATTCGAGCCTGCGATCCGGCTCGTCCCAGTTGACGGCCCAGCCGTAGTCGCCAGGGTAGATGTCGGCGGTGAGACGCTTCTCGAAGCCGTGAAGCTGGTCGCCGATGAAGTGCATCTTGCCGGCGAGGACGGTCTCATAATTGGCGGATCGAAGATAGTGCGCATATGTCGGAAGATCGGAGCTAATCGACGAAGCGTTGTCGTAGGAGGCGATCTTCGATGGAAGCTGACCGGTCACGAGAGCCATGCGAGAAGGTGCGCAGAGCGGCGAGTTGCAGTACGCCGATTCGAGCACGACGGCATCCTTTGCGAGACGATCGAGGTTGGGCGTGAGAATCTGCGATCTTTCGTTGTACATGCGAAGCTGAGGAGCTGCAAGCTGGTCCGCCATGACGAAGAGGATGTTTGGACGGCCGGCGGATGCGAATGGTGAGCTGGAGTGCTGCGAGCTCGAAGGACCGGCCGCGTTGACGCTAGAATCGACATGTCCGTTAACGTAGAAGCCGTTCGCTGCATGAGCATTGGAGCCGTGACCGCTTGCTGACGCGTTCTGACCAAAGTCGGCGCCATCCATGGCAGGGTGGCCGTTCGTTGCTTGAACGGGCATCTCGAGTGTTTCTCTGAGGTTGCGGAAGGGCGAAAGAATTAGCAGCGAGCTCTACCGTAGAATCCGGCGACGAGTATCCGGGGAAAGGTGTCGAGACCTTGTGCAATGAGAACGGGTGGGTGAATCGTGGGGATGTTGGGGCAGACGAAGGATGTAAAAGAGGACTTATGATATATGGACCTGAGTGCAAGGAGCCGGTCATCATCACAGTCGCGGTTCTTAGGTCTTCTGGCCAGGTCAAACGAGCGTGTCCAATTCTTCCATTTCTTCGAGGTGCAGCGCATTCATGCAGGGTTGGCACACTTGAAAAAGCGGGGTCGTTACGGTAGCTGCAGACTCAGACTCGGCCCTCTGCTCGTCAACACATTTATTCACAACTCGCGGCAGACTGAAGCATGAAGATCGACGGCTATGTCAGCTGTTCAAGTCGGCGATGTCGCCATTTTGGACGTGGTGGATGGACAATGGATGGCGTGCGTGAGGTGTTGGTCTGGAGCTGAGCACGCCATTTTTCACGTTGAGCGTGCAATTCTTCTATTCGACAAGCGGACCGCGTCGGCAACCTGGGCTCAGCTGCAGCCGACAGCGGAGAACACTCTCGTCGTCCTTCTCACGCAGAGGCAGTCTTGTTCGCTCTTGGTCGCTTTACGGATGGAGATGCTCCGTCTGCAAGACTTGCATTCACCATGCAATGCCCTCCTACTGCCGCCGAGTTGAGCGAGGTGATTGGGCCGCAACGAGCGACAGCGTTCAGGCGCGACGTGGTTCTTTTTGTTCCTTTCCGAAGAGCGAGCCGGCAGACCCTGCAGCTGATCTCATTCAAATTCGAGTCTGAAAGCGAGAACGGGAGGATAAAGAAGCTCATAGTGGATCGGGAGATTCGCGTCAGGTCCGTTCCCCGATTTCGAACGTTCTAGCTGACATGCCGTTCGTTCGGCTCGCCCTGAGACGTATACAGCTGCTCGAATGCATCTCTGGTTAGGGTCAAATGTGTTCTAGATCGACGAAGCACTTCAGTCTAATAGCTGTGCTTTAAGGATCAGCGACCCTTGACCATCCCCGGCCCCGATGGCTCGTCGTCGAGAACGAGCAGAAGGGCGGGTGCTTCCGTCATCTCCTCTTCTTCGCGTTCGCAGCATCTGATCCTTTGACGCTCGCCTGTAGCTTGGTCACGGTCAGACCAACAGCGCAGGCCACGACTCCAGAGGCGCCGTAAAGCGCGAGGCGGGGCGCCGTGCTCAGAATGTCCAGCAGGGGATAAGGATAGTGTCCGTTCATCTTGGCGCACTTCTCGGCCCATAGGCTATGTGGGAATGTTGAGATCGTCGACTCCATCAGTATCAATGATATTCTGTACTGGCTTGGACTTCATTGCCTACTTACGCATAGCTGACCGTCACAGTTGCAGCGAGAGGTACTATGGGTATCGACTTGGGCAGTCGTCGACTGAAGACGAAAAAGTCGACCAGCAGCCACACGCCTGGAAAGGCGTGCATGCTTGCGTCGATCAAGAACGGAATCGCCACCGGCTCTTCCCGCAGTACCTGTCCCGGATTTGCTGGGTCCATGATCTGCTTCGGTGGCATCAACAGGCTCTTGTCGATCATTACAATCGACCAATACAGCACCGTGATGAGCGTTTCCGTTGGCAGCGAGGCAGCCATCAGCAGGTCCTTGAGCCAGAGAAGTGCTGTCGTTCGACATGATAGGACACGCAGGAGTCAGCGTGGACATGCGACACCTTGCGTCCTGCACCACGAGCCCGTAACTCACCTTGTGGCCCCTGGATCACATCGAGCACCAGCGCCAGACTCATAGTGGCGGTCGTCCCAGCTAGTCCGCACATCGTCAAAAATTGCATGAAGCCTGCGTAGAGACCGGATGTTGGAGACGAGGCTGCTCGTGAGTCGCAGTGTCATGATGCCATCGATCAAGCTTTGTTGCACTTACCTCCGTATTCATCCGCCATGCTGACACCGAGAAGATCGGGCAGAATGTGCACAGACTTGAAGCCGTAAATGCAAGATGCGAACGCGATGCTATGCCAGGCCAGCGCCGTTACCTGCTTGCTGGACAAGGCCATGTTGAATGACGCTGCTGATGTCGGTCGAGGTCCTAGCTGTTGGTTGCGAGTCCGTGCGTATTAAGCAAGCAAGAGTTCAGAGCTGATGCGTCGCCCACTGGCTGTCCGAAACAAGCTGATGGATGGTGGACGATCAGATGGCCTGCGCGATGAGAGAGATGCGCAACACGCAGGTCATCGCAACATTGAAGAGCCGCCCATCCGGATCTGTCATCCGGGCGGTCAGGTCATGCAGCAGAACCGATTGAGTGGAGGCTTCTCAGCGCCGCGGAATGGCCGTCCGGAACAGGAAAGGCACGTTAAGCGAGAGCGAGCGCCTCCTCTTTCGAAGGGATTTTCGTGTCAGGATTTTGGGCTCGCATTTCATGGGCGTTGACCTTGCTGTGAGTGCTTCATTCCGGTCGATGTGGACACTTAGACACAACGCTAGGGTTAGGATGGCAACACTGATGGATTGCTCGCCGCAATGAAAGGATTCGACAGACCGAATGAGTGCTGCGCTGTGACCGAGGGGAGAGGTAGTCTAAAAGGTGTGTGATAGTACAAGGCGGTGACTGGGATCCCAAATAACGAGCGGAAATGACCTAAGGCGTGAAAAAGAGCGTGTACGTGTGGTGTCCTCTGAAGAGTGTGACGTGGGGATCCCTTGACACCAAGTCGAAGGCGAAAGGGAAGGGGGAAGATGAAGGCAAGCTCAGAGCCTGCATTCGCGGAGGAAGGGAGTGGAGTAGTCCGTCTCGCGCCAGAAGCGGACGATACGGTGAGCAATCTCGATGGGGCGCTCGTGTGGGAGGTTGTGAGTGCCGGTCATCACATCAAAATGAAGGTTGGGAATACTCTGAGCCGTGTGGAAAATCTCTTCGAGTGGAAGCAGAAGAGGCTTGTGTGCCGACACGAACAGGACAGGAAGGCGTGCAGGAAGGCAATGAAGGTATTGCGAAACCTGCATACCAGGTCGGTTGCCGCGAATCGAGAGCGCCTCAGCCACCTTGTCCGCACTGCGTTCAACGGTGCCTGGGTTGCTCAACGACTCGGTGAGCATACCTGCTGCGAAAGCATCCCTCACAGAAGGATGCCACAACCTCATGTGCTTGTCGGTGTCGGCCTCGGCACGAGCCTCCTCGCGCGACTGCCAGCAGTCCTTCTTCAGCAGCGTGTACCGAGCCAGCGGTACCGCGTGAATGCGAGGAACCTGCTCGAAGGTGCCAAGGATGCTCTCAAGAGCGATCACAGAGTCGAAGAGATCAGGAAAGTGGTAAGAGGCCTGCGTCAACGCAGCGCCGCCGAAAGAGTGGCCGATGCCAACAAGCTTCTTCCTCGGCAAGCGAGGAAGGTGGAAATCGAGCGTCCGCGACGGCTCGACGGGGGTCGAGGTTGGTGTCGAAGGCATGAAGCAGCAGATGAATTGGAGAATGTCGCGAGCGAGATCGTTGCCATCAATGCAGCGATCGGTGGATTCGAGCGGGGAGGGGTCGTCGAGCTGTCGGTTGACCACAGCTGACATGCCGTGGCCGAGCGTGTCGATCATCCAGACCTCTTCGATCTCGTTCGGCTTGGTCCTCAAAAGCTCGTCCACGATGGGAATGAAGCACTCTTTGGAAAATCCAAGACCGTGAGTGAGGAGGAGGATCTTTGCGTCGGGGTTCTTGGGAGCACGCTTAGGGATCAAGCGCTCTACGACCAAGACACGGCGCTTACGGAGCTGCTTAGGGTCAGTGCCGCCGCGAACGAAAGGCGTGTAAAGACCCGGTGTGGGCTCGACCTTGACGGGGACAAAGTGGCAAGCATCAACAGCGCGGGCGTTCTGCGAAAGGACGGCGTGAGTCCCTGGCAACAGTTCTGAAAGCGACTCGCCGCCGGCGAGAGGCTCGGAGTAGGTGGAGCGAGGGTAGGCAAGAGGCATGGTGAAGTTGCTGCGGTGAAACCCAGAGCCGTTGGACGAGCCAGCAGGGTACTGAGGAAGGGGAGGGTTGATCGAGAGGTGGTGAAGGCGCTCAGCTGCGAGGTGCGCAGCCTCGAGGTCGATGGGAGCAAGGCACGAGCCGAAGCCGGTGTTGATCTGCTTAGGTGCCTGCATATTGTCGAATGGTCGATAGGGCGGATACTGAGGAAAACCTGTCCAGCAGGAATGTCGGTGGTGTGAGGGTGACGAGGAGTCAGAGATGCCAGATCTCGAAGCAATGCTCAAACGCAGATCTAGTCGCGAAGTGAGCGGAGAGGAGCGTTGGTCAGGATACGGAGGGAGTGGAACGAAGAGGTAGAGCACCAAAGGTGTGAAGAAGGCCTCATCTGTATATATGTGTGTGGAACTCTCAGAGTTCAGGCCAGAGACCGGCAGACGCGGCTGTCAAACAGGGCAGGTCATGGCAGTTCTCACGGCAGCAGACACTTATCTCTGAGTCTACTATCGATCTGGATCTCGAGATCGGACGTCGGAAAAGAGTCCCAGGAGGCGGTAGCGCCGTTTCAGGAGGTAGGTTGCCGAGGGTCTTAGGCGCTCTGCTTGTCGCAAACTCTTTAGCCGAGTTTTGACAGTCTACGACGTCGCTGTGGGAAAAGCCACGTGTGTCGTACATGCGGCAGAGCCGAAGAGTCGACAAGCAGGCAGAAGCTTCGCGGGCGGCGATTGTGATGTTCGGCAAACAGCGCTGACGCAGGTGGTCGCAGCGGTCGCAGCCGTGTTGAGCTCGGGTCTGTTTCGAGGATTGGAATCACACTTTCACACCACGAAGCTGTCGGGGTCTGGACCAGGACACCGGGCAGGCAAACCGCCAAGCTTGCCCGAAACAATGGCTTGAGCAGCTACCTGCGCCTGCTGTCGATCTTCTCGGGTGTCCTACCTCTACGAAGACAGCTTCTCCGATAATGCTACGAACTGATTTCCCACGCTAGCCTGCCATCGTTCCTGTCTCCGACAAACAACCACTTGGACTCTGCAGATGTCGATGACTATTCGTGCTCTTCAAACATATCGTGGCCTGTCACGCCGAAATTGACAGTTTGCAGTCATGTCGACGAGCGACACAAGGGACGAGATCGTACGATGATGGTCTGGACCAACACCATTCGCGCCCCGCTTGTCATGTGGTGTGCTTCAGGTGGTATTGCTGGTCCGCCTTTTAAGAGATGAAGCCTGAGTCTAGCCTATCTTGCTGCTCTGCGACTCCGCATTCGCACCAGAGTGAAGTTTTGTGGTACATATGAAATTGTGTAGATTTGCGACAGGGCGTCCAAACAATAGCAGGCTTGCACCGGAGCTTGCGGAGTGCGAAGGGACCGCGCGGCTGCAGATCTGTGAGCGAGAACCCCAAAACAATGTGTCAAGGTGCCAAAGCCATCAGCGGAAGCTGAGACTGGCGCGGATGCGGTGAGACATGTGTTGAATGGCTTGCCGCGAGCGCGATGGCCCTGAGGACTGGGAGTGGAAGGCCCTCGACGCAGAAACAGCCACAATGGCGCCTCATGAAGTTCATGCTGCCAGATTGCCGGCTGAAAGCAGCAGTGTTTGACACCTCCATCTTGCACGAAGTTTAGACCAAATTAGGCTGTTCCAAACCAGAAGTCTCAGATTGAATCTAGGCGCGTTGAAGTTTGTATCTGTCCTTGTAAAACAATTCAAAATTGTAGTTGGTGGATCGCCTTGACGAATACAAAATGTAAACTCCGCTAAACGCCAAACGCCTTGGTGAGACCGCAAGCGGACTCTGGTTTCAAAAGCGGCTCAGCAACATCAAAGTCGAGTTGCTTGAGTAGACACCGCGGTCTCGCTCAACAGTCGTTTTTAGCCATCCTCAGTGGGCTGCGGTCCTCCTGGAGACAGCATCAGATCGAGCTTTGCCTTCGTCTTATTGAAAAGATGAACCGATGCATGACCAGTACAGACTCACGTTGAGAGGCGGCGCTGGAACGACAGTGGCATACCTTTCTTTGCTTTCGGGATTGGTGAAACGAATGTGCATGGAGGTCTCGCGTGCTGTCATGAAGTTAGAGATCGCTATCTGTCTTATTGAGTCTGTCGTCCGGCCTGCTCAGGTCGTGAATTTCAGCCCCGCTATCCGCTTCAGGCGTAGGCTGCTGTCATGTCGGCACTGGCTTCTGCCATTCGGTCGAGGGCTGCGTTGAAGGTGGCATCGATGCAAGATTTCCTTCGGAATTGAACATTGCTGCGACTGGACAACAATAGGAAGACGGAGCAGGAGCGAAGACGTACAGAGACGGCCGCAAGCAGCGATGTGGCTGATGAAATCGGCCAACGACGGCTGCGCATTCCACTGCTGTCAAAGCCATCCTAGGGAACGAAACAGGCGAATTCTCAACTCAATGCTGGTGCTCCGAAGCGTGCGTCACGGACTTGACGGTCGGCCGTCATCGACGAGTCCTTTCCGACCATATGAAAAGGTGGCGGGGATAGTGCAACCGTGGCGCCCGGTGTCTGGCCATGCAAATTGCAGCCACGGCGACTGAGTCTTGACCTTGTGGTTACCCATGTCACTTTGATCTTGGCCTTCAGTGCTGTCCCTCTTCCATCGATGAGCTCCCCCAACTCGACTTCTAGGCTGGGATGGCTTCGTAGGCAAAGCCAGCCTCAAAAGGGGGAGACGGGAAGCGCGCAACGATGGGGATAGAGCTTGTCTTCGTTCGCGAACGGTCCCCCTTCCTGAGACAGAGATACTCCCGGGTCTCACGTCTACCAAGTGCCGCTTGTCGGTACCGCTGTGTTCACTATCGTTGTTGCAGTAGTGCGAAAATGCACGGACGATCGCGAGGCGGGCCTCATATTTTGAGACCAGCCGTTCTTTGTCTCATTTCATCTCGCTTCTACGAGCTTCTCACGGTAGCTGTTTCGTCGCTGTTGCACGTTGCAGTAGCAGTCAGTCATTCTGTACGGCGAGAGCTAGCTCCCAAGCACTCGACAGTATAAGATGGCACTCTCAGGACTGATCGATAAGCGCCGCTCTTTCAGGTCGGCGGATAAAGTCGTGCTGTCATTTCGTTCGTTCTTCCCTTCCGTCCGCTCCCGAGGGCTTGATCTTTAGGGCCCCCGCCGCCATGTTCGAAATGTCACCCACTCACTGTTGCACGATTGGAGCTATAGGCACAACCAGCGCTTTGACTGATAACACGCCAAGCGCTTCTTGAGAACTGGAGATTCCTTCATCACGTGAAGTATGCTTGCCAGGACCCAAGGCACATTCCTATCGTGCGTGAAAATGCGATCAGAAGACCATGCAGAGACGCCCTTGAAGCTTCTTCGAGTTGTAGTGCTCGGCCATTTCGTTGGCCTCGTCGACGCTGTAGGTCTTCTCGATAAAGGTGGTGCATTTGTTCTCTGCGTGCATGTTGATCATGTCCTGGCATTGTTCGGGCGTGCAAATGAGTCGACCGCGGATGGTCTGCTCCTTGAAGTTCATGGCGAAAGGGTCGACTTCGAAGGGTCCATCCGCAGGCAAGCCGACATCCACGAGCTGACCACCCTTGCGAAGGAACTGCTGGCTGAACTTGATGAGACTGCGGTCTTCGGTGTTAATCACAACACGGTCCACGCCAGGGTTGGTGTCATAGAAGCTGCTCGACAGCTCCTCGGTGCACTTGTTCTTTGCGTCATCTGAGTCGATCAAGAAGGTCTTGTCGGGTCTGAGGTTCTCGGGCGACTTGTTGGCGAGGTCAATCGCCTCTTGACGATTGTCGATGGCAATGACCTTGCAGCCCATTGCCTTGGCGTACTGCACGCCGAGATGACCAAGACCACCGATGCCGACCATGGCGAGCCATTGACCCTTCTCTGGCTTGACTGCCAGCAACGCACCATAGACAGTGGCGCCTGCGCAGAAGAGAGGGGCGGCTTCGTCGAAAGGAATGCTATCCGGGACTTTAGATACGACCCGAGCGTCCGCCTTCATGTACTCGGAGAAGCCTCCGTTGAGGGTGAGGCCCAGCATGCCGGGCAACTTGTCACAGAGCTGCTTGCCCTGTTTGCAGGAGTCGCACTTGCCGCAGAAGCCATACGTGTTGATCGATCCGACACGGTCGCCTACCTTAATACCGGCCTTGCCGGCATCGGAGCCCGCCTTGACGACGGTACCAACGGGCTCGTGCGAGCCCACGAGGCCAGGCTTTGCACCTTGCGACTCGTAAACGCCGTCCATGACCTGCAAGTCGGTGTGGCAGTAGCCAGCAGCGGCGATCTTGAGGAGAATGTCGTTGGGCCCGAGGTCGGTGGGGACGTCGATGTCCTTGACTTCGTAGCCCTTCTTGAAATCTTTGATGGTGGCGGCACGCATCTTTTGGGGGATGGAGTCGCTCGACATGGTTGCGTTGGGGTCCTGTTTGTGAAACGAGATTGGTTGACGCTTGTGCTGGAGAGGGTGACGGAGGCAGCGAGAGGTGTGGGACAGGGCTTATATTCAGTCGAGCACCAGTCTGAAAGAAGGAGACTCCAATGATGTCGTCTGTGGGCCCTGGCCTGACGAGCAGCCAAAGCATTCAGATGCTCTATAGCCGTGAGCAGCAACACACACGACATCATGCTTATTGAAGCGCTCACAGCTCTGCATAATGAAGGCTCGTCTCCCCTACAAGGAGCACCGTCATCTAGAGGGTCTGCCAGGCAAGTGCAGGGTGACACATCATTGCCCAAGCGGCCCAGGCTCTGCAGACGCAGCAAGCGGACGGAGATCGTAGGCCAATGTACAGGTACGTTGACGCTGATCAGGCACTCCCAAGCTGCACCTAGGAGAGCCTAGCTGACTCACTGTCCACTGGATCCCTCGAAGCATCACAATGCGAATGAGTTCCCGGCGAATAAAGTGTGCAAGAGTGATTCAGCACAAACGTCACGTACCGCGTCGATCCCGAAGAATTGAAAGAGATTCGGCTCTTCGAGATGACGCAGGCTGTTTGTCGAGTAACGCTCCCCCTTTGATTTTTTTTGCTGAGCTGTTAGAGAAAACTGAAGACACAAATCACTCGCCTTTTTTGTAGAGGCTGTTGGGCGAACGCGAGGCTGAGCGGCAGAGCGCTTATCTCCGCATCGCCCACGGCTTCTTGGACCGTGGAAGTGGAGTTTTCTCCCTCTCGTTCTCCTCTGTCAAGCCATGCAGCATGTTTGATTGCACGCACAGGGGCAGTGTTGAGGGCGTAAGCCTTACGGCAATTTGCGAGTTAGGTCATGGATGTCGACCGACATCACTCTCAGAAGCTCGACCGCCTTCGGTCCGTGCGCCTCGCGCGCATACCCGTTGCGTCAAGCCGCCTTCTCCTCCCGCGGCATCCTAAATGTTGGCGTCGCAACCTTCTCTCGAGGCACCAGCCGAGATGCCTCTGACCGAGCGTATCTCGTTGCCATTCATGGATGGGAGAGAACTGCTCACTTTTGGCCAAGTCTGATATAACGATAGGCCTCTCTAGAAACACGTCTGCTTTTGCTGCATCGTACATATCCAACTTCCTCTCATTGATCTTCCCTTCCATTGCCCGACACACGATCCACACAAACATGTCGTCCCTTCCCAAAACGTACAAGGCCGCCGTCTTTGAGAAGGCCGGTCAGCCTCTGACTCTCAAGGATGTTGAGCTCAAGCACCCACAAGATGGTCAGATTCTCGTCAAGGTCGAAGCCTGCGGAGTCTGCCATTCGGACGCGCTCGTTCAGTCCGGCGGCTTCGGCGAGCTTCCCCGAATTCCTGGTCACGAGATCGTTGGCAAGGTCGTCGAGGTAGGCTCTCACGTCACAAAGTGGAAGAACGGTGACCGCGTCGGCGGCGCTTGGCACGGTGGTCACGATGGTACTTGCCGTCAGTGCAACCAGGGCCTCTTCCAAATGTGCGATAATGGCCAGATTAACGGCGTCACTCGTGACGGTGGATGTGAGTAGACCTCTTTGTACCCGTGTTGACCCACCCTGCTTCTCATCGAAACTGACGCTTCGCTCTTCGCTCCGGGCCATGGAACAGACGCAGAATACTGCCTGCTTCAAGCCGAGTCTGCTGTGCGTCTTCCCGCTGACGGCGATGCCGTGCAGATGGCGCCACTTATGTGCGCCGGTGTCACGGTCCACAACGGCATCCGCAAGATGAACATCACTCCGGGCGAAGTTGTCGCCATTCAAGGTCTGGGTGGACTAGGCCACCTTGCGGTCCAGTATGCCAGCAAGATGGGTTACCGCACCGTCGCGCTTTCCCGTGGCACAGACAAGAAGGATTTCGCCATGAAACTCGGCGCCAGCGACTATATCGACACCAAGGCCGAGAATGCCGCCGAGGCGCTCCAAAAGATGGGTGGTGCCGCCTTGATTGTCGCTACTGCGCCCAACCCGGAGCACATCTCGCCCTTGGTCGGCGGCTGCAAGCCATTGGGCAAGCTTCTGATCCTAGCACGTACGTATCTCGCCTCTGCCTGTTTAGCCTATTTATGTACCGCTGATGCTGACTAAGTGTATCTGCTTATATTACGCACCCTTTGCCGCATACAGCCGTCGGAGACGTCCCCGTCAACTCGGTCGCCATGATCACCAAGGGAATTTCGGTGCACGGTTGGCCTTCGGGTCACGCGCTCGACTCGGAGGATGCCGTTGCGTTCAGTAAGAGATTCGGTGTCGACTGCATGTGCGAGACTTTCCCTCTTGCCAAGGCCAACGAGGCCTTTGAGCACATGATGGCCAACAAGGCTCGCTTCCGTGCTGTCCTCACGATGTAAGAGGGACAACACTCTGCTTTGAATGCTACCATTTTGCGCAATCCATTCACCAAGGATCATTGCATCGTACGTAGAAAAAGTGTGCTCGTTGAAAGAATACCGGCACTCAAGAATAGTCTTGACTCGGTCCGAATGGATGGGCGCGAAGAAGGTCATGGCGGAATTGCCGAGTGTGGGGCCCCTTGAGCTCTAATTTTTCAATCTCACCTCCCGCGCGCTTCATCTCGCCGAGCTTGGTGAACAGTGCAACCGGCTTTGCATTGGCCCGAGTGCCGTTCGCTATTGTCCTTCATTGCATTCGCAGACTTGTGCGATAGAGCAGCCATCCTCCTCTCCTTCAAAGAGTCTCGACTGACGACGTCCCTATCACCGTCGAACAGACAGCCCAGCGCCACTCGGATTATCCAAAGTAATCGCCATGACGGTACAAAAGATCGGCAAATACACCCAGTACGATGCCAAGACCGGTATCTACAAGTCAGACGTGGCGTACAGCCCAGCTTCAGCGTCATGCATCTACGAGTATCTCCTTGGCTCCATCAGTTTCGGTGACCAGGAGGAGGTACTGAGAGAGTGCGGCAGTGGGAGGACCATCTCGTAAGTACCTGTGTTGCTCTTGCACGTCCATTTCAGCATGCATTGACGTTCTGATTTCGTCTTGGATCTCGTTGTGCTGCTAGTCTCGGCCTCCTCAAGTTGAACGCGCAGCGACTCGGCGTGGGCTTGACCAGCAAATGCAAACTGAAGCCGGGCGACACGGTCTTGCTGTACCTTCACTCTTCGATCGACTTCGCCATTGTCTTGCTTGCATCGCAGTTCGCCGGTCTTCGAGTGGCGCTCGCCAATCCGGACTATTTGCCGATCGAGCTCAAGCATGTCGTCCGTCTCACAAAGCCCAAGAAGATCTTTGCACCTTCACGCGCCATGAGTCGGCTCGGAAAAGCTGGTGTAGGAAGCCATTCCATCATCATCACAGACGGCGATGTCTTCGGGTTCAACGGTGTTCTCTCGCTGGAGGGACTGATGGTGGACGAAGCCACCGCCAAGCAAGCCAACGCTCACGTTCCAAGAAACATCGACGAGACTGCGTACCTACCTTTCAGCAGTGGCACGACTGGCCTGCCCAAGGCAGTCGAGATCTCGCACAACAACGTGATCAACATGGTCGAGATCCTCCATCACGCACCAGCCTTCTTTCCACGAAATGACGATGGGTCCCAGGCGCAGTTTCGCACGTTGAACTTCCTGCCCTTCTTTCATGCGTACGCATTGATCCTGATGCTGCACTATCCGATTCGCAAAAGGGGTCACACCAGCATCATCCGACCCTTCCAGCCGGAAGCATACTGCCGATTGGTCAAGGAACTCGAGGTCAACTTTATCGCTCTGGTGCCTCCCGTCCTCACGCTCCTCACCAAGCACCCAAGTGCGACCAAGGGAACCTTTGCTAGCGTCACGCACTCGATGTGTGGAGCAGCGCCGCTGGACTTTGAGACGCAGAGCGCCTTCATGCAGAAGACGGGTGTACGCGTCAATCAAGCGTTCGGCATGACGGAAACCACGGTGGGAGCCCTCGGACTGCCTGGCGACGAACCATCTGGCTCTGTCGGCGGTCTGAACCCTGCGACGTTGGCTCGCATCCGGGACGTCGAGACGGGCGAGTATCTGGGCCCAGGAGAGCGAGGCGAGTTGCTCATCCAAGGCCCACAAGTGTGCAAAGGCTACTACGGCAACCCGGGGGCGACACGCGATACCTTCACCGAGGATGGCTACCTTCGCACTGGCGATATTGCGATTGTCGATCCACGCACGGGCGAGTTCAGCATCGTCGACCGACTCAAAGAGCTCATTAAATACAAAGGCTTCCAAGTGGCGCCCGCCGAGCTGGAAGGCGTGCTTGTATCGCACCCCGCCATTGCTGCAGCCGCCGTCGTCGGCCGATACGATCAGCAGCAGGGCACCGAGCTGCCACTGGCATTCGTTGAGCTCAAAACAGGCCAGCAGAACGAAAACAAGGTAGTCGAGGAGATCGATGCCTACGTGCGGGCCAAAGTGTCGCACCACAAGTACCTGCGTGGAGGGATTCGCATCTTGGATAAGGTGCCCGTCAGCGCCAGCGGCAAAATCTTGCGCAAGGAGATCCGCAAGTTGCTGCAGGCCGAGATGGCGGCGAAAAGTTCGTCGAATGCGAAAGCCAAGTTGTAGTAGAGCCACATGCCATGCTCAGTCGCTAGAATCGCACCACACGCGCTTACGACGTAGGTCCAGAGCAATGCGCTCGTGATGACGCTAGAGGGAGCCAACGCATCAGTTGGCAAGCCGAAGACCAGCTCATCTCTCTTCGAGTGCCTGGCAAAGTCGTCGTTGGTGTCCGATGCACCCAACTGATCTCTTGGTGGTGTATAACGACTTCCAGCTCCGCGCATTCTCTCTCTCGGAATAAGCAAGGCTTGCAGCGATCGGCTCGACTGTGAAACTGGTAGAGCGGCGCGATAAGATTGCCGGCGCATCTGAGCAATGATCGACATTTAAATGCAGGCGGCGCTCCATCTACACGCATGGATCAAAGTCGGGTTGGATTGTTTGCGGCCTGCTCGTGATTGCCAAGCTCCCAAGGCGGTATTGCATGGATTTCAACTGCATAGGCCGAGGCCGAGACTGAGCGCTGAGCTTGAGCGGGCGTAGGACCCCTTTTTTAGACCTGTCTCAGTCCCGATCTAGCACTCGCCAAAATCGCCAAATCGGATCCTGCGCCGGCGTTTCAGCTGCTTTCCGACAAAGAGGGGCCAACTTGCTCCACCATCTCCATCACCATCCTCATCTTCACTTCGACTTTGCATCGTCTCTCCTCTTTCCACATACCCAGATCTCTCTCACATCGACTGCGCACTGACCATCAGCATCCGACCACCTTCGGCCTTCGACAGCCATTCGACGCTACGAAGATAAGCCCTGTCATGGCACTGAATCAACCCAGCTCAAGTTCATAGAACGGCAAGGCACCGTTGTCCCCGTGCACTCAGTGATACCACCTCCCTCTTTCGATCACATCCAGCTAGCTCGCCAAGCGAGCCACGTCGTCACACTGTCTTCGCCTCGATCTGATCCCGCTTCCTCGCATTCAAAACTCTCCGAGGCAACGCCCCGCGCTCACCGCGGCCTGTCTCCTTCCCACCTCGCTACATCTCCCCCCGGAAGGAGGCCATCCCAGCCCACTGGTCTGCTCTTCGCAGCCAATTCCGCTTCTGGCGCGGCAGAAGCTGCTGCTGGCTCTTCTGCCCCGCCGGACAACGCACGCCATCGTCGCAGCTCGAGATCCTCCGCCTTCGCCGCAGCCTCTGATACAGCCAGCCCACTCTCGGACAGGGAGTCAATTCTCTCTTATGGCAGCAGCTCACGCGCAGGTCCATCCACGCCACGGCAGAGAGCTCGACGTCTCTCACCCAACGACGATGGCGAGCGCAACGTCTCGCCCGTCTCCTTTTACTCCTCCTACGAGGCACCCTTGACATCTTCACGTCAATCCCGTCAAGGAAGCATCCAGGTCGATCATGCTCGTGGATCTCACCAATCTTCGCCCTCCTCGGGTCACTTCAAGCCACTGCTCGACTTCTCTTCTAGCGTGCCAAGAGTCAATGGCTCTTCTCGTTCTCGACCGTCCAAAGACACGGCTGCGTCTCCTCCATCCGCCTATCGTGACCTTTCCGATCGTTCCGTCAAAAGGCACTCCATCGGGAACGATTCCCCCACGAACAAGCAGCGACAACGCGACTCGACCGAACTCTATTCTTGGCAGTCAAGCTCCGGTCGCTCGCGTCAGCTTTCCTCCCAAAGCAGAGATACAAAGGCTCGAGAGGCTCGCGCAGATTCGAAAAGCGCTGCGCCTCATGCTGTCAGCTCTCCGCCGCGCTCGATAACTACCTTCAGGTCCGCCAATGTCGCCTTGACACTTTCCGACTCTGGGGCCTCTGGCCGCTCGCGCTCAAAGAGCAACGCTAGCTCATCTCGAGCCGCCATTCCGCGCTCCCCGACAAGCGCTGCTCCATCTTCCGCCGCACACCAGTCAACAGATTCAAAAGACGCCCTCTTGAATCCCAGCCTCGGTAACAAGACGCTTGCACCCGCCACGTCCAAGCTCAGCCTGCGTTCGCGCATCTTTGGTCTCAAATCTCCAAAGGTCGCATCGCCATCCGCTTCGTCTTTCGACTCGGGCACAGAGACCTCTTCGCCCAAATCTTCACGCTTCACACCCTCCGTCCACTCCGAAGCTTCACAAAGCGATCTCAACCTTGTGGAATCGGGTCTGCCTTCTCCCAGCTCTGTGCAAGCTTCCCATGCTCACGACCGCGATCCTGCTGACGACCCGGACGAGGGGACCGGCGAAGACAACCGCCCTAAATCCAGCAGCGCTTCCAGTCTCCTCCGAAAGACGATTCGGTTCAAGGACAAGTCTTCCTTTGTCAAGTCTCGTCCTTCTGTGTCGTCCATGAATTCCGACTCCACCACCTCAGTCGCCACATCGGTTCCGCCTTCGCCCCTCGATCCGCCGAGCGGGTCTGACGCAGAGACTTCGTCGAGGAAGGCGTCCTCTTATAAGCAAGTGAGCGGACGCAGAGGCATCCAGTATACCGGATCCACTTCCGACCTCATGGATTTAGAAGTTACTGGATCGACATCGCATCGCCGTCCAGGAACATCGGCGAACTCTGACCAGGGGCAGGACGCTCTCGCTCTCTTACCGGCGGTTACGGAGCACGATCTCGAGGCTTCTCCCAAGTTGAGGCGATCGCAGTCGCAGAGTTACAGAACAGGAGTTTCGCAGCGCGAGAGACGTATCTCAAGCTCTGCACGCTATGACGATGGGGTCGATGGCGTCGCGGGCCAATCTCCTGCAAGATCGACTCGCGAGATCGACGGTGGGAGTCGGATCTCGAGGAGCAGCAGCGTCAGTCATTCTACTGGGAGGGTTGAATCATCGCCTTCGCCATCTTCGCATATGGGCCCGAGCCAAACCACCTTGCCCTCGTTGCTCGTCGATGGATCAAAGTCTCCTCGCCAAAGGCCTCTGTCTGGGTCCCCAAGCTCGCACGCCCCTCACATCCAACCAAGGACGACCAGCTCGCCTGCTCGGAGCACAATGCGTCGACCGCTCACCACGCAAACCAGTCCGTCGCTTGCTGCCTCTCCGTCCGCGGGAGCACCATCTACGAGTCGCGAGGCACAAAGGACGATCCGGCCAAAGACAAGCGAGGCAGGACACGCGTATTCGAACTCGCTGTCCAGTCTTCGTGACATCCTCATGGCAGCCCACGCCATTTCGGAAGAAGGCGCAGTCTACAGTACGCCGGACAAGACGCAGGTGGCACGCTTCGAATCAGGCGTGGGTGCACCTATCGCTGCCGACGTCAGCGCCTCGCCCATCGATGGCAAGCGCCCTGGTCTTCCGCCGAAGAACCCTCTGCGCAAGCAGCGGCCGTCCGGGGCCAGTACGACGGGTACGCCTTTGATCTCTGGTGATTCTCCGGCCTCGGTCAGCACATCTGGCGTCTTTACGGGTCATCCCATGACCACGGTAACCGATGCACACCTCCTCGGGCCGCCTGTCGACCCAATCTCGTCGTCGGCCTCGAGTCCATCCTTAGTCGACTTCGGAACGCCCACCTCGGGCTCGTTGCAACCGTCGCCGAAAGACAGGCAGAACGCTGGAGACTATTTCCGCTCTCGAGACCTCGCCAGACCACACGATGCACCTCCGGCACACCTTTCCTCCAGGTCACCGAGGTGGGCGAATGGCAGCGGCTCACCCTCGCCCGGGCAATCGCCTTATGCCCGCTCTCAGCAACTTATGCGAGCGCCTTCAGCCGAGACCTATACAGGTGGCAAGATGGCAAGGCACGAGCGCTCTCCCAGCGACGCTTCCCTTCTGCTGCCCGATCTTCGCTCATCTGCTGGGCCAGGCGCTTCGACCACTTCCTTGAACTCAGAGACCTCTTCGGGGACCAAGAAGAAGAAAGACGGAGCAGGAAGCAAGATGTTTGCCTTTGCCCGAGACTTTGCCCATCGAGAAGGCAGCAGCGATTCGGGCTCGAATATCCCGAGCTCGGGAACATTCCGCCTCGGAAGGAGCAGCAAGTCCAAGAAGGCGGACTCGACACCACGACCCGTCATTCGCAGACTGTACGACGGACCGCTCGAAGGCGAAGCCGCTGCCGACAATGCTGCCAACTACGCGAACTCCGTCAGTCCCAGGTCGTCTGCCTTTGACCTCGATGCTGCGACAGGCGTCCCGCCTCGCACTCCCAGCATCTCCAGCAGCCGAGACATGCACCGTCGTCCCGAAAGCTCAGGCAGCCTAGCACGCTCGGTGATATCTTCAGGCGGTACAGCTCGTGACCTCTTGTCGCCGGCTATGACGCCGCAGTTGGGATTCAACGGTCAAGGAGGCTTCAAACCGCGAAGCGCCAGCTTCGCTCAGCCGTCTTGGTCCATCCCGCAAGACGATCTCTCGGTGGAGCAGAAGCGGCTTGTCAAGCGGTGGTTTGTTCTTCGCGAGCTTCTCGAGACAGAAAGGACGTATGCATCAGACCTCGCTGTGGCTAGAGACATCTACCTGGTCAGAGCGAAGATGAGGGCCGGTATCACCGCCCCGCTTTCGCCTCTGAGCGTTCGATCGGCCAGCGTCTTTTCGCAGCTTGCTTCACCGGAATCCTCCGCGCAGACTCCAGCCTCACATCCGCAACAGCGCGGCGGCGTGTCTGCTCTTGGTTCCGGCGCCCCATTAGGTAGAGGCGCACCGCCTCAGAGGATCCTCTTCCGACATTCGTCTGCCGATACGCCAGCCAACGCAGCACCTGCCAGTCCGAGCTCGGCTAATCAGACTGCGTCATCGGCCTCGTTCACCTCGAGCAATCCAAGCAATCGCTCGTCGATGTACACGGTCTCTTCGCACAGCTCCTATACCCCGGATGCCAGTCACTTGAACCTGTCCGGTCATCCCGCACTGGCAAGTGGTATTCCGTCACAATTCTCAATCGACGGGCCCGTCTTGTCACCACTGTCAGGCACCAACTTGATTCCCGGCACAGCAACGAGTGCAGCAAGCTCGAACGCATCTCCTTACTCGTCTGTGTCTGGCACACCGTCTCTTTCGACCACCACCGGCATTCTCTCGCCGTCGTTTGCTGGTTCAGCGGAAGGTCTCACAGCGGTCCCGGCCGAAGCACCGTTCAGCGCGAGCGACGTGCGCATCATCTTCGCGCAACTAGAAGCTTGTGCCGCTTTCGCAGACGAGATGGTCGTGTTGCTCGAAGATGCTGTGGGCAGGATCTGCAACGGTACCGCTGAAGAGGCCGCTCAGCTGCTCGCACAAGGTCAAGTCAACGAAGAGTCAGAGACGGATCGAGTTGGACAGGTCTTCCTCAAAATGATGCCGCGTATCGAGCAGGTCTACTCGGCCTACTGCTCGCGGCACGAGGTTTCCATGGCTAGGTTGCAAGAGCTGCTGAGCACACAGCCAAAGGTCGGCTCCTTCCTCAGTGAATGCACTCGGGCTGCGCGGGCGTACACGAATGCATGGGATCTGTCGTCACTGCTAATCAAACCCGTTCAGCGAGTGCTCAAGTACCCCTTGCTCCTCTCTCAGATCCTGGCGTCGACGAGCGCCAAGCATCCGGACTCGGAGAGCCTCTCCGCAGCCTCGGTGGAGATTCAGAAGGTCGCAGACAACATCAACGAGGTCAAGAAACGCAAAGACCTCGTTGAGCAAATTGTCAGCGGCAAGACGACCAAGCGCACGACCAGCCAACGCATGCAGCACGGCGCCACCAAGAAGCTACTGCGTCGTCAGGAGAAGGTGAAGAAGCTCGTGCTGGGGCCAGCAGAGGACATCCTGGCCGACGATGGCCAGTACAAGGCGCTCGTGGTGCAGTTCCGGCAGTTGGAGAAGTCGACGGGGGCGTTTGCTAGACGATGCATCGGCTGGTCGTCCAGCGTCAAGGATGTTCACGTCACGCAGCTCAGAATGCTGGAACAGTGGGGCCGTGCATATGCAGTCGAGGAGGTCGCCGCGCGCACCGAGGCCGAGCTTCGTCTGCGCGCGTTCGCTGAGCTCGTCGAGGGCACCCTGCTCAAAGCATACTGGACGCAGCTGGACGCGGAAATCAGTAAAGGCCTCAAGCCCGCCATTCAGCGCATCTCGGCCATGTTCACTCTGCCGCAAGCGGTTCTTGCCAAACGTGACGATCGCGAGCCAGACTATACGCGGTACAGGACCGAGATCGCCCGCGGTGGTGCCAAGGCGGTGGACAAGAAGCTCACAGAGAGCGCCAACGCCTTTGTCGCGCTGCACACGCAGCTGATGAACGAGCTGCCCCAGTTCAACTATGGCGTGCAGACTCTGCTGGACCTCTGCATCGAGTCGTTGGCACGGACGCAAGCTTCGTATCACCTACGCGTGCAGCAGGCGCTGATCGGCTTCTGGCAGACCTACGGTCCTGAGGGCAATACGGACATCGCGATCAATGAGGAGACGGACGAGCGATCCATGGGCCACGTCAACCCGGTCAAGATCTTCTGGCCGCTGCACAGCAACATGGCAGGATTCGCCGAGTCCTTGGGCATCATCCAGGGCACGACCAGTAACCGCCGCTCTCGATCGACATCGTTGAGCGTCGACAACGAGCTGCTCACCGCGAGCAACATCAGTCCTGCCAGCACGAATCACTTTTCGCCACTGCAGTCGGATCGTGCGCTACCCGACCCGGAATTCGCCTCGATGGTACCCGACGCTACGAGCATGAGCCAGCAGATCGAGTCCATCACCGGCGCAGGATCGGAAGAGCTGTTGACGCCCATGAGCGAGAGAGCCAGTCCGGCCGCGTTCAGCACTCCGCCCCTCGGATCGCAAGGTCGCGCATCGCTCTCACCTCAGCTGCGTCAGGCACCGTTGCTTGGTTCGCCCGCTCCCATCGGCTCCGTGCCGGGAGGCATTGATCAGCGTCCGTCTCTGCGAACGGCCAAATCTGGCGGGCTGATCGGACTGCTGCGCTCGGTGAGCGGTGCGCCGTCCGCAGGCTCGCGCAAAGGGTCGCAGTCGTTCGACACGGCCAATGAGAGCTTCGAAGTCAGCACCAGTTCGGACCCGCCCACGCCGGTCAGCAAGCACACGCCCGACACGACGAGCGACGCTGTCGCCGCTCCCACGCTGCCAGCGCTCACGTTCAACTCGGGCTTCTTCAGCCAGTCGGACGCGGTGTTCACTTCGGCTTCGACGCGCGGGCTCAGCGAGCAGGCGGAAGGAGGACGGAAGGCTGCGAAGGCGCGCATGGGCTCGTCATCGTCAGCGGCGGCGGCGATGGGGACCATGGCTGCGGTTGCGAACAGTCCGGCGCGACTGAAGGGGACGACCAAGAACGGATACCTATTCATCGACTATGAGGTGGGAGATCTGTTCAGGGTGCTCGACCAGGACAAGACGCATCTGTTTGGCAGCTCGGAGCACGGCGTGACGGGCTGGGTCGAGAGGGAGAACTTTGTGCCTCTGTCATAGCCTCATTGCTCTGTTTGAGATCTGGGATTCGACCACCTTTCTGCTCATCGTCTCTCACTCTGCGTGTGCGTGAATGCTGTCATGACGTGCCAGTCAAAGGCTTGAGTGTTATCGGTCAATGTGATTGAAGTTCGTGACCAGAACGCGGAGGCGCATCACCCTCGCTCAAGTGCGTCCTTGACCACCTCAAACGTGGTAAACGTCGCCGCCGCGGCCGGTATCGCCCTGAGCAGCGTGGGGCTCAACCCGACCCAAAACCCTTTCATCCCTTGCTCCTTCCACAACGTCCTCGCTTCCTCCGAGACATACTTCAGCAGCAACGGTCCACCGAAACCTCTTGGCAGCTTAGCATCGTTGAGCTGAATCCTCGACTTGAGCACGTCCAACGGGTAGCAGGCTAGCCAGTTGCAAATCCCACCGCAGCTACCTGAAGCCATCAATGCCCAAATCGGCAGGATTGTCCCACCTTGCGTTGTTCCTGACGGTAGTTTGGCCCGGAAGGCAGATTTGGCGAGTTCGAATCCGGTATAGAACCCTGCGTAGGCAGGCACTTCACGCATGACCGTCACCCAGAACCCCCGCATAACGCCGTTCTTGACGCCGTACTTGCTGTACACCTCGCGAGCCACGGCGGAGAGCTTTCGTGCTTTCGCCGCATCACCCGGGGAGGAGATCTGCGCCTGCATACGGATCTTGAACAGCTCCACTGGGCTGCTGAGTACCGAGTTGACCCCACCGGCTATCGCGCCCGCCGCAGCGATCTGTGCGGTGCTCAACCGCTGGCTTTCAGGCGAGATGAATCGCTTCGCACTCTGAAAGGCGGTAAAGAGCAGCGCGTTCTGCGCGGCGATGCCGAGCAGAGGCGACGCCATGCCTTTGTACAACGCTAGCGGGCCTTCTGTCCGGATGGTGCGGGTCAGGACGTCCATAGGTCCAGTGTACGTGCCTCGTGGCGCGATTTGGCTGCGCACTTTGACCGTGTCCAGCGGTTGACCGACGATGACTTGCGCGGCGCCGGCAAGCGAGCCTGCGACCAGGTCGACGGTGGGCAATGCGAATGGCGGCCACGGCTCGACCGGCGCTTGTGGAGCTGGCATGGTGAGATGTAGAGCGAGGTCGCAAGGAGTGATGGATGTCAAATGCAGCAGAGGCTGACGCTGCTGATGTCGAAGCCTGGTGGAAGCAGAGACGATGCGACCAGGTGCGCTTTGGTCCTCGGGTGCTGCTGCGACAAGTTGGGAGCTTTACGAGTTGAAGCTGCTCGATTGCTGATGAGCGAGAAGGTTCACAAATGCGAGGAAGACAGCCCTTCGTGATGGAAGATCCGCTCAGACTTCGAAGATCGCTTTAGGTGGTGTCAAAGGTGAGATTTGATGAAGGTTGCGAGTCGAGAAGGAAGAACGACAACCGCGGCTATCTATGCAAGGGCGGTCAGAAGAACAAGCACGTCATTTTGCCGAGAAGGGTTCAAATTCACATTGCACACGGTGAGGCGTGATCCTCAACCATGTTGGCTCACGAACCTCCTTTGCCACAAGTCGATGCAGAAGCTTCCAACGATGCTGTATAAAGAGTGAATTATCTAGGGTACACTTCCGATTGAGCAGGTTCAATGAATGGAAAGGGTCAAAAGGAACAAGGGAGTGCTGAACACCGATATCAATGCGCCCAGAAGGCCGACTCGTCGTCGTTCTCATCGACCAGATCAGCGGCATGCACCTCAGCTCGCCGATTGCGAGGATCCGAGATATCCACAGAGCCCACACCGTGCGCGTGCGATCGCCGAGGGCGGATAGGCGGTGATGCAAACGGATTCTCGTTCCGAGATGGCGTCCGAGCATTGGTGGATCTCTGCTGCGTCCGTGTGCTCGGATGAATGGTGTCGTACTGAGGGGGCAATTCCATCAGTCGTCCCGTGCCAAGGCTGATGAGCTCATCGCCATTATCGTTGTCGTCCAACAGCAGGCCAGCATCAGCGTGACGGACGATGTGTGCCGGGTGGTCAGCACCGCCCGAGACCTCCGCCCAGCCTGGAGTACGCGCAAGGGGTGCGCGGGCTTGGGTTGCGCCGAAAGGCAAGCTTCCGTCGACGCCGCTGACAGGCGGCGTTTGGCTGGCTATCAGGTCTTGGTAGGCTGCTTGGTATGCAGCGTCTGGACGATACGTCGGACCAGGGCCCACCCCCATCGATTTCACAGAGATGCTGTCCGAGCTTCTGCCGCGGGAAAGAACGCCAGGGCTGCCGGTCCTACTCTGGAGGCGACTGCCAGGGTCTCGCCTCTCCGCCTCGTCCAAGTAGGAGCCAAATGGCCGCGTGATCGAGATCGAGTCTGTGGGAGACCAGCCATCGCGAGAGACATCAGAGAGGGTCCTCCTCGTCAAGTTGTGTGTCTGGTGGCCATTGTTGAGACCTGCAATGCCGACCGAGGCGGTGTCAATCATCGGATAGTTGTTGGCAGATCTCTCCTGATACATGCCTGAGGTCCAGCTGCGCAGCGAAGATCGCGAAGGGGCATGTGTGAGCGGACGAGAAGACAGGGCAGCAGGATCATAGTTGGCGGCACCGGCACGACCCGCGTCTCGCTCCCCAAGCACAATGCTTGCGCTGGACTCCTGTCGACTGTCGCTGCGCCCAAAGACACCAGGCGCGATGGGCGTGTTCCGACTCGCCTTGAAAGGCGCCGACGCATCAGGCAAGTCCCAAGCGCGGATATTTTGCTTGCTTCTCTGACGTCTTCGGAAGCAGAAGTAGCCGGCGGCGGCGCCGACGAGACCAACGCCGACAAGTAAGGCGATTATCAAAATGAGAAAGCGGGCGCCAAGCCCTCCACCATTGCCGTGGACTAAGCGACCGTTTTTTATGGTCTCGATGACGGTCACAGTAGCCACCATGCCGCCACTCGTGGTCAGACTAGCCACCATGGAGGTTGCGTCGGGGTACAGGGTGGCTGCACTGGCTGTGGAGGTAGCGGCAAAGACGCGATGCTGGTAGTTGGACTGACCAATGCACGAGTCGTTGACGTATTCGTTGAGCGCAACAATATTGAGTTTGGACACCCCGCCATTGCTGTTCATCTGACGGCTGTCTGCTAGGGACATGACGAAGCGTGTTCCACCTTCCATGGCGACCTGCCAAGTCATGTTGGTGGTGGCAGCGAGAGGCGCTGGAACGTAGATGGGTGGAGCGGCTTCGGGAAGAAACAAGGCGGCCATCGGCGGGGCGTAGCTGCCGTTCCAGACGATCTCGTAGGGTTGACACATGGAAGGAGCGCCAATCGTCCAAAAGACAAAGGAGGGCGTATACTGGAATGGCGCGCAGGTGACACCTGCGCCGGGACTTTGGGCCTGCACAAAGCTAGACGAGTTGGACATGGCTCCGGTTGAGTCGACGACCGAGACGATCATGGAAGGATTCTTGGTGCCGCCTGCAAACATGGGAACGTCGTACTGGTAGAGCCACAAGTCCTTTGTGGCATCGTCGTAGGACGATGTGAGACTGACGGTGACGGGCCAGTAGTCTTCGGTGCTGATCATGACGGTATATGGAGGCTTGCCGTAGCTGGGGTCGAAGGTGATGTTCATGGGTTGGCACATGGTGGGCTGCGACACTCGGACATTGAAGACGTGGTTGGCAGAGGCAAGCTGTCTCGGGGAGAGCTGGGCTTCGTACGGATAGCTTGTGGGCAGGACTGCATTGATTGGCTTCGAGGCAGCCGCAATGCCTCTGCGTGCTAGTGCGGGCGTTGCAGCGGGTAGGGATGAGGCCGAAATTATGGTGAGGAACGAGCAGAGCAGCATGGCGAGTAAAGGGAGAAGGCTGGCACGAGGTCCCCTCTTCGAGATGCGTCGAGGTCCACTTTGAGCTGCGTGGATGGTCTTGGGGTCGCCTGGGACAGACATGACTCCACGGGTCTCACCGTGGGGAGATCCTGCGAGCGATGGTTCTGGCGACGTAGCCATCGTGTCTGATTGCGATGGTCGTTGCGAGCGGGCATGAATGCGGATTGAAGCATCACCAGGTGCTGGAATCCGGCTGGAGCTGGCAGCGCTGAGTCCGCAGCCACAAAGGCAGAGAGTGTCGCGCATCGTGACACTGTGACGTCTGGCGTCAGATAGACAGCGTTTCTGCTGGGTCGATGATGCTGGGAGAGTTCCGGGGCGGGGATGTCGAAGCTACAGCCGTGACTGCAAGGTCCACATTGGCGGCAAAGAACGGGAAGAGACGGTGATGCCTGGTATCTGGCGTTGCCTGAGTGTCTGAGCCTGCTGTGCTGTGCTTGCTTGAGGTACTGAACTCGCGTCTATGATTCGAAGACACGCCGTGTCTGATAAGGTCGAGATGGCAGGAGAGATGGCGGCCAATGTCGGGAGAGGAGGTCTATATGATCAAAGAGGAGCGAGTGGCATTGAATCTGTAGCGAGTGTGTGTGTGTGTGTGTGTCTGAGGATGACGGCTGCAAAGGAACGAAGGTGTCTTCAAGCAAAGGCAAGGAAAGCTGAGCAAGCGGAGGAGGCCAAAGAGGGCAGAGCGCGGCGTAGTGCAAGGGACCGCCGGCGTGTTGGAGAGTGAGTTGCGGACTCAGAAAGGCAGCGATTCGAACTACGCCAGGCAGGATCGTCGCATGTTGGCAGCTTGGCTGATCGTCTGCGAGTGCACTCGGGTCAGCGCTATGGCCGCGACTGGCACAGAGGCAGACAGAGACGGGCTGAGAGGCGACCGAGGAGGGCAGAGCAAGCGCGGCTCGTTTCCTTTGTCACGCAGGCCGGCCCAATTGAGCTGGCACATTGCTCGCACGCTCGGTGCTTCCGATGGAATGCAAGTGCTTCGGCAGTCAGCCGTGCATGAATGGGCAGCGAAAAATTCGACTAGTCCCAGCAGCACACACGCACAGGTGGTCTCAGCGGCTCAGCAATGGCTCGCTGTGGTTCCTCGTCAAAGTTGGCATTGGCGCTGACACCGATGCAAGACAATACAATGGCATTGACGAGTCTTGAGCTATTTGCTGCTGCATTGCAGCTCCCGCGCGGATTCTTGGCGTAATGATTGTGTACAGCAGGAAAAGTAGCCCCCACAGCATGCAGGAAGCACTCTCAGTCTGTCGGAGCTAGATTCTTCCATTCGGAACGGTCGCCTGGATGAGAGTAGCGCTGCATCTCAAAGTTGAGCGTCTTGCTCGTTCACGCGAACGGCGAACCGCCCTACTCGAGAGGATCGCGAAAAGGCTCCGGGCAAGCCAACGCGACGTCCACCCGCCGGGCCATGGAATCTCCGCAAATCAGCTGTGGATCTGCAAAGGCGCGACAGCCGAACTTCTTTTTCCCACGACAGCCGACAGGGGTCTTTAGCCCGAGGGGAGGCGAAGTTGAGGCCGAATCTGCTATCGATGCGGGACCCTGGAGGCGACCCTGGGCCGAGCTGCAGTCCATCTTGACATGTACCGCAGAGCACAGCCAGGTGTTCTTAGCAACCTGACGTCTAAAGGCAATGTACCGCTTCTCGCTATTGATGTCAGAGAAGCAGTTGTCACAGAAGCGGAAGCCTGCGTGTTCTGCGGGCGATTCGAGAAGATTCCTCGAACCGCAGACCCAGCTCGCCTATCTGATTTCTCGCTTCGATGCAGGCTTCCCGTTGACCGAGCTGGGACGCTAGAATGAGCTGACTCGCTGCCATCACGCGAGGAGGATCAAGCGAGCCTATCGCGCGTTCCTGACCACCAGTCAACCCAGCCTATCTGAGCGGATGTGGTCGGACCCGTACGTGGGTGCGCTTGGAGCCCTTGCGGTTGGCAAGCTGGGCCTCTCGGTCTCTTGGTCCCGCTGTGATGTGGCAACCCTCGGTTGGCGAACTCGCTGCTCGGGGATTGCTTCGTTCCCGCCGCTGCTGAAAGCAGACATGGCGCTTCGCGCACTTTGTCGGCCTTTCCGCCGGCGCCCTTTTGCAGAGATCATGCGATCACACACCACACAGTACCCGCTTGGTGCTTCCGTTCGATCCAGTTGCGCTTGCAAGGCCCGCTTCGATCGGATTCTACCGCAGCCACGCGTGACCTTTTACGGCTGCGCTTCAGCGACGTTGTGGATGCTCTTTGCGTGCTTGTCTCGATCAAGGCTCAGCACCACCGCTTCCTCCGATTGAGCTCAGACCCAAGGCCGTAATGACGGTGCAGCACACGATCCAGGTGACACGCAAGCCGGATCGAAGGTGACATGAGTGCTGCGATTGTCTGTAATAGAGGGAACGAGTGAACAGAGTCGGAGAGACTTGGTGTGGTACTAAGAGAAGGAGATGATGATGGTAGTGATGCCAACAGTACAAGGTAAAGGTATCCATTAAAACAAAAGTGTGAAGTGAAAAGAGGCTTGCTCGAACAGGCCCGATGTGAGTTGGTTGCGAGCAATGCGAACCCCCTGACGAAACCAGACTTGACGTGTATACCAATCGTCTGGTCGGTCAGAGTCGCTGCATCTGCTTGCTCGACATCCTGATCCAGCTCGACCGTGGCCTGTCACAAAATGCCGCTGTCCTTGAGCGCATTGGTCAGAATCGTCTCCTTGACCGCAGCAAACACCAGGCGGATGTTGCTCGTATCCGTCGCCTGCGTGAGATGTGGGTAGATGCTCAACCGCGCTCGGTTCGTCTGTGTGAATCGCCAGAGAATGTACTTGGCCGCCTTGTTGATATCCGGGCCGCCGCTGTACTCGGGGAAGTACTTGGACAGCGGCTGTTTTGGAATCTTTTGCTTGAAGATGTCGATCTTGTTGAGAAAGAGGATGACGGATGTGCGCAAGAACCATCGACTGTTGACCACCGACTCGAACAACACCAGCGATTCGGCCATTCGGTTTTGACCGCTCTCCTCGAGCAACACCTGATCGTACTCGCTGAGCGCCACGCAAAAGATGATGGACGTGACCGCCTCGAAGCAGTGAATCCACTTTTTACGCTCGGAACGCTGTCCTCCGACGTCAAAGAGGTGTATTGAGAGCTGTCCCATGTTGAAGCGCGTCTCGCTGATGCCGGTCGTCTTCGAACGCGCTCGAAGCACGTCATTCTCGTCGGGAATGTAGTCCGGTTGTCCGATGCGGCTGACGTTGTCGAAGAAGTATGATGCGCTGTCCATGAGGTAGAACTCGCTGCTGCGTTCCATGATGGCTGGGATAATGGGGTCCTTCCACAAAGAGTCTACCTTTCTCGCCATGGCGTGATCTAGTGTCGCGCCTGGATCGGCATCCACTCTGTACTGCAGAATGGCATCCACATTCTCGCGATTCTCTGGCATCTCGGGCTCCATCTTGAACTTTCGCAGAGCGAGCACAATGGCTTGCGCCGAATCCACCAGGTTCTTGATGACCGTGAGTCGGTATTGCAACAGCTCGTCCTTGTTGTAGCCATTCTGATGGATAATCTTCATCTGCTTGACGATCGTCGACTTGCCCGACTCTCCCGAGCCGAGGAGGAGGATCTTGCATTCCTTCTTAAACTTGCGACTGTCCTCCTCGAGTTGCTTGTCGATGGCCACGCTCCTGTCCTTGGCATCCTTCTGATCCGTGGAGGATAGACAGTTTCCCATTTTGAAGTGTGTTGAGACTCAGCAGAGCCGTGTGAAAGCGGATGTGTGGGTATGTAGATTGATTCCTTCGATCCAGTGCGAGTCCCCGGAATGTCCCGTCGTGCTCTCTGATAAGACGATCGGAAGCTGCGATCAGTGCGAGCGAGAAGGAGGTGATTCCAGAAGCGTTGCCGTTGATCTCTGATCAGTTCATGGGAGACTGTCGATTTTGTCCCTTTGGAGGTCGTGATCGAGACTGCTTCAGTTCGAACGCGCTGTCGAGGCCGTTCTTGGGGTATCCGTGAGATCAAAGAAGAAGCGCGGACTGGTCTGACGGAAGCGCCGACTTCAGCCTAGTGACGTTTCGCAAATTCCGAGCAGAAGTTGCTGGTGGTGGGATGCGCGAGGACGTTCCGATGCGAGCGCTGGATGAGTCAACCAGCGTGCCCGGTGCTGTCACAGCGTGTGCTCTTACGAACGAGGAGTTGCTCGAAGAGGGTTGGCGTCGAAGCTTGGGTCAACTCGTCGGATGATGCCTGTGATCTTTACGATAGCAGTTGAACGGAGGTCGTGCCGAGTCAAACAGTCAGCAGCGCAAGACGAGTGTCGGTCAAGTGCGATCGAAGGCGAACGTCGGAAAAGATCGAAATGGCGCAGGTTCGACGCTGCCAGTGAGAATGCGACGATGACAGCGAATGTGTCCTCTGACCGTTTCGACGTCGTCGCGAGCTGGTCCGAGAGGAGTCCAGTGGTAGGTCAGGACAAAGGCGTCGAGTGCGACAAGACTGAGGACCGAGCGCTTGCAGGTCGAAGGGGCGTAAAGACGATGCGGACGGAAGCGAAGGCGAACGAATGCAGCAAGAGGCGCAGATGACCACCGCGGAGCTGAGGACGAGATGATGGTGGAAGGTCGCAAACAAAGATGCGTGCTGCGAGGTCCAAGCTTGAATGATGGAAATGGGCAGCGGAAGGATTGAGGGTCAGGGCCAAGAGGAGCGAGAGGAGCGAGAGGCGGCAAGGACGGATGGAGAAATTACGGAGGTGTTGTTGCTTGCTGTTGGCTGCTGCTGTTTGCTGTGGGATCGGCCTGTCAAGAGCGCAAATCTCACTGGCCCTCCCTCTGCCCCTTTTGTTCACCCGGCGAATGCAATGCATCAGCGAGCGGCCAGGCACACCCTTCTCGCCGAAAGTGGCCAAAAAAATGCATCAGCAGCCGGGTTTCAGGGAGAGGCCGCGTCGGCTGGCTGGCTGGCTGGCTGGTTGGCTGGCTAGCTGCTGCACTATGAACGAGGCGAGGCAGGGAAAAAATGGCGCTAAGTGTGTCTCTCTGCCTTTCGGCTACCCGGTGCCTGCCTGCGCGGTGCAAAATGGGAAAATGAATCAGAGAGTTGGCTTCCGGAGCAGTCTTGCGTGAGTGAGCACAGTGAGCCTTGTGCTGGTCGGTCACTGAACTCAAAATTCAAAACAAAAAAGGAGTCTAATTCACCAAGAGCGGCTCGCCAGTCAAAAGCGAGCAAAGGGGATGAGTGGATTATTTGTTGCGGATCAGCTCCTTTTTCGACACCAGATCAGGCTCTGGACCTGTCTTGCCTTGGGACTCTGGCTTTCGAATCGAATGTCGACCGACATGGCTTTTGCTGACCTTGAATACGAGTAGCCGCCTCCTATACGTTAGGAAGCATGCTGCTCCTGCCCCTGCATGAACATCACAGATCCGGAATCAACCACACTTTCCTTCTTGCTTGTGCGCACAAGCTTGCGTATCCTCCCTACGGTTTCGACGTCTTCATCTTCTTCTTCAGCACGAGCGATGTCGGCAGTCTCGGCCGTCGTGGCCGCTCTTGCTATTGAATGACATCTCTCATTGACCATCGGCTTCGGAATGATCCGAACGCTATCTATATGAAAGCCCACCTCTCACCTGACTCGGCTGACCCGAAAAGCGTGAAAGGGTGGGATTTATGGGACGACTCGGGCGCCTCGGCTGTTGCTTCCGCCAACATTGGTCTGGACGGGGCGTAGCCTTCTCATCAGACATCTGTCATGGTCGTCTTTGGAGCTCTCGTTTGTCAGGCGGTGAGTACCGGGTTCATTATGGCGACATTGACGACCCTCGATTGAGGCTTGATCGACGTTGATTAAAAGTGGGAGCCAATCATTGATAGACAAGGCGAGCACCACTGCAGGGTTTTCGCCAACCACCGGCCTTTGCTCGAACCCTTTTCGCTCTTGTGGTTCCGAGGTGGCTAGGCGAGGGTCGACAAGCGAGGCGCGCCCGTGTCTGAACCCTTCCTCCTTGGAAAACGCGACTTGCAGACCAACACAATTCTCACCCAGCCAGCCAAGCAGCCAGCCGAGCTCGATACGCTTGATTGTCGTTCTGCTGGCCACTTCGCTTGCTTGCGCCTCGGGATCGTCTAGCGAGAATCAGTCAACGCTCGCAAGCAACCAACACCCCTCGCGCCAATGCCATTGTTTCCAGCATGGCTCCAAAACAGTGAGAAGCGAGCGCCCCGAGCGAAGCCGAGTACGCCTGCACACGAAACGAGTCGCTATCGAATCTTTTGGAATTCAGTGCCAGCCGGAAAGATGTGCTGTCTGCCCACACAACGACGAAGACATCGCTGTGGGCGACCAGATGAAGACAATGAGGGCGATCATAGCAGATCAGCGCTGCGCTCCGAGATCTCCGGGTTGACGGTAAGCCCTTGAAGCGGATCAACAGCCTAATGAAATGAGGCGCGGCCCCGGCGCGTCTCCTTACCTCATGTCAGCCGGGCAGGTAACCCCACAACGGTGAACGCCCCAGTCAGCTCTTCGCCTTCCTGATCCTGGTGGGCAAGGCCGTGAGGAGGAAGACATTGGGTGCTGGCTCCAATCAAAGGTCGGAACACCGATCGACTTGTTCGAGATTGGTGGGCCTGCCGGCTCCTGGCTTGTGATCCTGGTCAATCTTCTGGTCGCTATAGAGGAGTCAACGACAAGGTGGGCAGGACCGCCAGCTCTTGGAGGTTGCTGTCGTCTAATCGGCGATTTGCTGACGGCCGATCTGTGCGATCTGACCATAACTTGTCGGATGTTACGTCGCAACATCGCGCCTGCGCGTGATTCCGAAATTGCTCAGCTGGAACGCGTTGAAGCCCGCGACTATGCCGCTCGGTGGTCGAGGAGGCTTGCTCAAGCCCCGAAGAGTGAAGACGATCTCGCGTGCATCGTTTGGACCCACGACGACCGCTCCGCATCCGCCCTTGACGTGTGGGGTGGCCGCCATCTGTCAAGAGTAAGCGCGCACCCCGCACTCGTGGTCTGCACGGCAGAAGCCTGTCAACCAGATTGTGGGGTGAGCTGTCAAACGAGCTCGTCCGGTGAGGAAATGACCGGCCCCTTGAGCGCTACGATGATTGCCGCCCCTCCCTCCACGGCAGAGCAGATTTGAGCCTGCCGACGCTCTCCCTTGCGCTGACCTTTCTTTCGTGCGAAATGATTTTACGTGTCCCCGAATCAGAATCAAGCTGTAGAGGCTCAGAACGGAAGCTTTGGTCTTGACTTCCGCGTCGATCGCAGTCGAAAAGCATCTCGAGACGGTCTGCGTGTGAGACGCTGCAGAGGAAGCGGAAGACTACGCCAAGAAGCAGCCCAAGGAGATTGCCGTCGAGCATCCGACAACGGCCACAAGTCGCCCTCTCAAGCACCGAGATGTTCCGCCATCCTGCCGGCACCATGGATGTCTGTCCGGACCTTGGCCCGCTCTCCCTTGATCTGAACTGTCTCTGTCAATCACGGCATCGAGTCCGCCCACAGCTGATACGCGAGGCGGGCTTCCATGATCCTCACGCTCACGATCCAGATGCCAAGCCAAGCTGACCTGTCCGGATGGCAAGCTAACAACGGTCGATATCGGAAATCGCATTCTACCGAGATTCCTCCTTGGGTGGCGCTTCTCTTGACCTGACTTTGAATTGACCGTTTGCGCCTGGTCGAATTCGCAAGTCAGTTGGCCGGAGAGAATTGTAATGGAACGCGCAAAGAAAAACTTTCCGAACGGTCAATTCCTCTCACACGTCACTTTGTGCTCGTCAAACGCCCGCGACGAGAACTGGCGCAGAAGACTCTATCTTCAGAGGATCATGCTCAAGAGAGCGACAGCGACAGACATAGTTCCGGCATCATCGAGGGCAGTCTCGTTCGCACTCGATGGGCAGCTCGTTGGGTTGAGGGGACGGGGAGGCAGGACAAAGATGATCCGTTCTAAGCGAAGTGCATTGTAGCGAGATTCGCATCGGTGCTCGACTCTTGCTTCGCAAACTCTCGCCGGAATCTTTCAATCCTCTTGCTTTGACTCGCCGGCCTTGAGCCGTTCTCAATGTGCTCACCGGTCCGAAGCTATTCAAAGTTGCGTTGTTCAGAGTTCTTGCCGCGTGACCAGAGCTTTACCAGTGGCGGATGTGTCTATGAGCCCATGAGCCTCGCTTCGCCCAATCACATCGCATCGAATTCTCCCCACACTGGGCTCGCACAAGCTTCGTTTCAAGGCGAGGACGTGTGACCACCGCCAAGCCAACTCAGCTTTCTTCATATGATCGCTCTTCTCTTCCCCACCATTCCCTCCTTGCCATATAACCCCACTTCATTCCGCTTGTTTGTTCCCCCACATTCCCCTCCTTATTCACACACTCGCATGGAATCTTCTCGATCCATCCTTGACGTCAGCGCCTCCACATCTACCTCGATCCTCCATTCGAACTTCTCATTCAGTTCACCTCAAGCGCCTTGACCACAGGCTTCGCACAGCATCGACACCTTTCACGCCCGCGCATCCTGTTTGTCGACAACTGCAGGCATAGTCAAGCATCATCCGCAGTCATGACCAACCGTGATTTCACTCCGAGTCCCACCGAGGAGAAACCTCGCTCCATCGAATCGGACGACAAGCTCTCGTCCAAGGAAGGCCTCGAACATGATCAACTCAATCAGCTCGAGGTCGCCACCCGCTCCGTCGTCTCCACCGAGGGCGTCATCGATGCTGCCGAGCTGGACCGCGTCCTTGACGAAGCTGCTATCGAGGCTGCCGGACAGGGCGAGAACAACAGTCTCTACCTCTGGATTCTCACCCTCTTTGCCACCATTTCGGGCCTCTTGTTCGGCTATGACACGGGCGCAATCTCGAGCGTGCTCGTGCAAGTAGGCACCGATCTTGACAACAGGCCCTTGACAGACGGCGACAAGGAGTTCATCACATCGGCACTCACCGTTGGAGCCATCATCTCTGCCCTTTTTGCTGGCGTGATCGCAGACAAGATCGGCCGAAAGTGGACGCTTGTCATCTGCGACATCATGTTCATCGTCGGCGCCGTCGTACAAGCCGCCGCTCACAAGAAGTGGGAAGTCATCCCGGGCCGCCTGATTCTCGGCCTGGGAGTCGGCGCAGCTTCCCAGATCACGCCGGTCTTCATTCAGGAGCTAGCCCCAGCTCGTGCGAGAGGTAGGCTGACATGCCTCAACTCGATTGCAGTCACAGGTGGCCAAGTTCTCGCATATGCCATCGGCGCCGGATTTGAGAACGTCTCCTCCGGTTGGCGTTGGATCATCGCTCTTGGCGCCTTCCCCCCAATCGTTCAGATGCTCGGCATCCACTTTTACATGTCCGAGTCCCCGCGATACCTCATCAAGCAACGCCGTGACGACGAGGCCATCCGCGCCCTTGCTCGCATCTACCCGATCGCCACTCCCGAGCAGATCGCTGCCAAGATCAACGTCATGAAGAAGCACATCCAGGTCGAAGACAGTCCGCTCTCCCACAGGATTGCGAAGGTCTGGACTGATGTTCCTACCAGGCGAGCTGTGTTCCTCACCTCGATGAACCTTGTCGCTCAGCAGCTCTCAGGTTTCAACTCTTTGATGTACTTTAGCTCGTCCATCTTCCAGAAGGCTGGGCTCCGGAACGCCACGGCAACGAGCTTGATCGTCAGCGGCGCCAATTTCCTCTGCACCTTCATCCCGCTCAAGTACATCGACCGCTTCGGGCGCCGACGCTTCCTCCTTGCAACGATGCCCTGCGTTGTTCTCTTCCTCGCCTGCACGGCAGGAATCTTCGCCAAGATGCTCGAGCCTACCAACCAGCGATTCGCAGAGGGCTACACCTACCCGACCTCCTACACCTCGGCGATGCTCGTCTTCATGGTTCTGTACGTCTGCTCGTACGCCATCGGTCTTGGCAACGTCCCCTGGCAGCAGGGCGAGTTCTTCTCCACCGAGACGCGCATGATCGGCACCTCGATCTCGACCGCGGCCAACTGGAGCGGAAACCTCGTCGTCTCGTCGACCTTCCTCAGCCTCATGAATGCCATCACTCCCTCCGGTGCCTTCGGCTTTTACGCCGGTCTCACCACCATCTTCACCCTCATCGTCTACTTCCTCTACCCCGAGACGTCGCTGCTCTCGCTCGAAGAGGTCAGGACCACCCTCGACGGTGGATTCAACGTCAAGAAGAGTCTCAAGGTGAGGAAGGAGAAGATTGCGCTGTGGAAGGCGCAAAAGGAGGCGGCTCGTGCCGAGACTTCCGCCTGAAGTGCTGGCGCGATTGCGTCTCTCAAGCCTCCTTCCCCTGCTTTGTATGTCACGAATACCTGTCATGTCAACAGAATGACCCTCTGTACTTTTACTCTCCCAAGTGCCACTCGTAAGCAAAGTCACTGTTACAATTCTTGCCAGCGTGTGTTATGCGGACTACTGTGGTTTGCGTGCTATCGACGTCGTATGGTTACTCCTGTTGCTGCGCTATCGCGTCACCTTGCTCCTCATCGCTCTTCACCTCGGCACTCACGAATCGATAAATCGTGACGAGCCCCATCTGCCTCCTCCTCTGCGTTTCCTTCAGCTTGTCAATGGCCAACAATGCCGCCGGTGCTGGTAGTGAGCCCAACAAATCCGCATGATGCGCTGCGAACCTCCTCTCATCCTCCGACGCCTCTCCTTCCTCAGCGACGCCCCTGCCTCTCGTAGCACCTGGCGTACTCGCTCCGCTCCCACTGTAAAACCTTGACGGCGCTGCCTTCTGTCTCGCGACAAACGCGTCCTTTCCCATGGGCGTCGCTGCTCCTCCCACCCTATCGGCGGTGTCGGCGAAAACATCGAAGAAGTCCTTCTTGCGCAGCAGGCGGCGGGCGAAAAAGTCGGTGCTCATGAGCTGGACCACGTCCGAGTCGCGCACCGAGTAGCCGGTGGTTACGCCCTGAGAAGCGTTGCGCGAGTAGCGGGCCAGGGAGGACATGGCGTTCGATAGAGCCGTGTAGGAGCGGAGGAAACGGGATTCTTCCCCGCCGTACTCGCTTTTGGCATCGTTGTCGGCAGGGCGCGAGCGGGACTGGGCACGGGAGAGCGCTTTGACCCTGGCTGGGGTGTCGGGGGCCTGTGATGCTGAGCGGGAGGCTTGGCGTGATGCCTGTCGCGATGGCTGGCGGGATGATTGCTGCGATTGGGCATAATGGTTGAGCGATCCCCCAAAGACGACCAGTTCGTTGTTCGGACCGAAGGTCGCACCCATCCTCCTCGCTGGCATCTTGAGCTTCACTGTATCCGCCCCAGCTGCCTGGCGAGCGGGGCGGAACGATATGAGTCCATGCTCCGAGTCCGAATCGGACGCCATCGAGCCTCCACCCCTGCTCGTCGTTCCCTCCCCCTCACCCTCCGCCTCATCCCTCTCATCTTCATCCAGCAGCTTCACCGGCTCTCCGATCAAGAACCGCGCACACACCTCCAGACACGGCCTCCCCGCCTTTGCGCTCTTGCTCGACAGCCTTGCCAGCCCGCGCAGCAGATACGTCCGGGTCTTGAGACTGATATTGGCGCTCCTCTCCAGATCAAAGTGCGGCGCGCGTCGAGGGTAGGTGGGGGGGAACTTGATCTTGATCCGCAAGAACGCAGGCTCATGATCCGCCCACGGTCCGTACATGGTCAGCACGCACATGCGGCCTGTCAACTCGACTCGCTCGAAGACGATGCGGGGGAGTTTGCGATTGATGCCGATGATCTCGTCGCCGAGGCCTTGGGCGGTGTAGCCAGCCTCGGCGTCCGTATCGTCCTCCGTGGTGAGGCCTCGGTTGAATGCGACGCCACGTGTGGGGGGTGGAGCGAAGGCGTCCGATTCGCCGCCTGCGTCGGAGAGAGGCTCGTGATCAGGCTCTTTCTCGAGACGCACGTTGGCGATCCACTCGATGGGGTCAACGGCTGGGGCGGCGGTACGACCGCGGTCAAGACGCATCGCCGCGCCGACAGCCTTCTTGATCGTGCGCGGATCGGAGGCTTTGGCGATCTTGCGCCTCTCCTCCTTGCGCCCTGCGCGATCCTTGTCTTTGCGTTCGGATGGCTTTCTCGATGACTTGACGGCGCCGCTGCGTTGCTCTTCTTGAATCGGCAGCGGTCGTCCTGATGGTCGAGATGGATTGAGTGTTCTCTGCTTGATCGCACTGGTGGACCCTGTTGACTTGCCCCGAAGGTTTGCAGGGACTTTGAAAGACGACTGTCCACCACTGTGCTGGGATGTTCCTGCTCCAATGTGCTTCGAGCTGTGATGCGAAGCCCCGAATCGACTTGCAAGGTCCTCACCCGCCTGTTTAGGCAACGAGCGTGCCAACTGCCCGCCGTGACCACGGCCGAACCCATTGTCTGCCGCCTGCCGATCACCGCGACCCCACGACCTACCAAACGTCTCCATTGGGCTTCTCGAAAGCCCTTTGAGATCCGACGAAAGATCGCCATGGCTCGAGCTGTGGTTGAGGCTCATCCGGCGTCCACTTGCGCTGGTGCCAAAGGCAGCGAATGGGCTTGTCTTGCCGTCGCGTACCAGATTCTGGAAGCCCGATGCGGAGGAGCTGTACGGCGAAGGGGCCTGAATTCGACTTCCGCTACCCTTGCCGCTCAGGAGCGACCGTGTGGCGTGCTCTGGTGGGAGGATGGACGAGCTTGTGATGTTGGATCCAGACGCCTGGCTGGCGAGCATCGCCGCCTCGTCGGCGTCTCGTGGAACCGCGAGTGGCGGATCGCGGTAAGAGATGTCCGGCGCATTGGCTCGCGTGAGCAGAACGCGGATCGGACCACCTGGCTTATGCCCCACCTTGCGCACCTGCTCGTCGCTGACCGGCCACAGCCGCAGCGTCTGATCTTTCGACCAGGTAATGAGCTGGAACTGGCGGTCGTCGTTGCCCTTATCCTGCCCGCCTTTGGTGCGGAACAGATATTCTTTCACGATATCCGTGTGACCAGCGAACGTTCCTTTCGGTTCACTGGGGTCGTCTTTCGCCCACATGCTGAGTGTCGTATCTCCACGCTGGGGGAGAGTCATGACGCCATTACCAAACGGCAAGTGACGTGCTCGCCAGATGGGCGTCTTGGTCTCGATCACCGACTCTGCTTCCGTCACGAGCTCCCTCGCGCCGATAGCTGCCTGCGAAGTGTCCGAGGCGAGGTTCCAGAACTTGACCGTCCGATCGAGCGAGCACGTGATGAGGCGATCCAGTCCGAGCGAGGTATCACGGCTCCAGTCAATGCCGTAGATCTTGTTCTCGTGCGCCTCGATCGTCGCTAGCGGCAGAGATCCCTTGCGGTCGTCCCAGATGAGCACCTTGTTGTCGCACGTCGAGGCGAGTCTGTGCTCGCTGGCGCGATTGAATTTGACCTGGGTCACCGCAGCGTTCCAGGCCGAGTAGCCTTGGGCAGGCTTCTGTCGCCCTCCACTATCGGAGCCGCCGCTCATGCGCAGATCCCACACCCACGTCCACGTATCGATCGAGCTCGAGGCGACCATTTCCGGATGGAAGGGCGACCAGTTGATATCCGTGATGGCGCGTGTATGTGCATGGAGAACGTGCTCGATGGCCGAAGATCCTGACGCAGGGAGTTGCATGTGCGATCCTGACAGCGGCGTTTCGCCATACGGTGAGCCTGTCGAAACGGCTCCAAAGCCGCTGCGTGTTCCTCCTGTGACGCCGGAATGCAGACTCTGACTGTTGTAGATGCTTTGGTAGGCGCTGCTGCGTTGTGTTGCGAAATGCGGGTTGGAGGGCATGAGAGGGCTGGTTCCGCTATGAATCGAGCCGCGATGCAGCATTCTCGTGAGAGGCGGTGCTGCGCGTGGATCCCCCGGCCTGTCGAGGTTCCAGATGAGCAGCTTCTGGTTGGATGTGCTCGCGACCCAGTTGCTCCGTGCTGGATGAGGTGACCATTGAATGTCGACTGCCTCCCACAAGGTCATGTGAGCCAGGAAGCGTGGTGGTGCGAAAGGATCCTCGAGGTCGATAATGAAGAGACCTTTGCGTGCAGCCAGGACGACATCACGATTGGCGGGGCTGATGGACATGGAACCGACGGGCTCCATAAAGGAGATCTCGCATGAGCGGTAGAAGGTGTTGGAGGGATGACGCTGCGAGACGATCTGCTTGTTTGGCTTCTGCTCTGTCGAAGGTATGGGTATTGGAGCAGCGCCTACGGTGGCATCGCCGTCTGCCTCGCCAGCGATGGCGCGCTGTGCGTCTCGACCATCTTGACCTGCGGGTGGAAGCGCGATAGGAGGTGATGTAGCTGCCGCCGAGATCTCTGTCGGAGGCAGCGCCGGGCTGTCGGTGTCTGACGGCATCACGAGGCGCGCAAGCAACCGCGCAGTGCTGATGCTACGCCCTTCCTGACGCTGCGATGCACCTGGTTCTCTGCCGCAGCTCTACTGTCAACTGCTGAACGAGCTCGGACCGTTTATCTGTGCTAATGATAGAGCGCCATCGTTTGGTTGTTCCAGCTCGTTGTGGTTGGGCTATTGCGCACCGGATAGTCCTATCTACTGAGCTGCTGGTGGCGTTCGAATGCGCGATGTACGCAGCGCTGAGGAGTTCTTATCAGAAAGGGTCGAAGTGAGGGAGAAGCAACCCCGCACAAGTGGAACGGTGCTGGCTGTACCCGATCCTATATCGGGTTCGCCCCTCATTTCCGACTGCCGAGTTCTTGCCTCGAAATTTGTCCAGCTCGAAAAAAGTTGAGAATTCGCGGAGAACAGCGAATTGCTTCTTTTCACCATATCAACCATTCACCCTCACGAACCGCAACATGGGACTCTCAGGACCCAAGCAGAAGCAGCGGCTGGTCGGCTCAGCCAGCACGCGCAACACAGCATGGCTCAACGATTCTTCCGCACCCGGACAGCGCATGCTCGCGCAGATGGGCTGGTCTTCCGGCCAGAGTCTCGGCCTCACCATGCCCGGTCTTACGGAGAACCTCAAGGTGGCTTACAAGATGGACAACAAGGGTATCGGTGCTCAGCGTCATGAACGAGAAGCGAGAGCGAATGGCAAGGATATTTGGGTGGGCGGTGGTGGTGATTTGGGGAGCTTGTTCGAGCGTCTCAATGCTGCTAATGCCGCGTCTTCGTCGTCCTCGGCGGTGGCATCCTCCTCGTCCTCGGCCGCCGGTGGTGAGGATGACGATGACAAGAAGTCCAAGAAGAGCAAGAAAGAGAAGAAGGAGAAGCGAGACAAGAAGGAGAAGAAGTCCAAGTCGAGCGACGAAAAGTCGAAAAAGAAGCGAAAGCACGACGACTCGGACGATGCCTCCGAAGACAAGGCCAAGAAGAGCAAGAAGGACAAGAAAGACTCGTCCGAATCCAAGAAGAGTAAGCGAGCCTCGGAGAAGCAAAAGGCTGACGTCGTAGCAGCCGTAGCTAGCGCTGACCCGGCACTAGCGAAAGACCAAGCAGCAGTCGAAGAGATCAAGAAGGACGTCGTCCAAGGCAGGCCGGTACGGATGGCACATCGAGCGAAGTTCCTGCGAGCCAAGCGCATGGTCTCGGCGAATGATCTGGCAAGTGTCAACGAGATCTTGGGAATCGCATCGACTCCGGCTTCCTCTGCAGCTGCATCAGGCACCTCGACTCCGACAGTCGCATCCAAGACATACCCAGGACCAGGAGGTAGCGAGATCCCATTGATGGACGTAGACCGACGCTTGGAGGCAGAGACAGGGCCAAAATTGGATTCGAACTCTTCAGAAGAGGACACGAAGACTAAGAAGAAGGAAAAGAAGGACAAGAAAGAAAAGAAGGACAAGAAGAAGGACAAGGACGGGAAGAAGAGCAAGAAGGCATCGCCCACAGACGGCACGACCAACATCATCGCCAGTGACGACAAGGCCGCAGTGGAAGCGGCTGAAGCCGAGGAGAAAGAGAAGGCGACACAGATTGGCGTCAACTCGCAAGGCTTATTCGTCTTTGAGTACCTCAACCGTCGTCTCATGATTCGCAAGGCGCAAATTGCGAAGAAGAAGAAGGCCGAACAGGAAGCCATCTTTGCACGTGCTGCGCGCGTCGGCGCCTAGAGTAGCTGCTGTGCGACCATCCACCACGCCTCATGCGTTATACCCCTAGCATCTGTATCAGCATCAGGAAGTACGGACAATGTCATGGCCTACATCGTCTTTTCGAGATTGCGTTTGGAGTGTCTGCAAGCCCTGCCAGAATTTCGCCGCCTTTAATTTTTGTCTCCATTTTCAGCCTCGATAATTTCGAGACGTCAGTCATCCCCGACCGGGTCTCGGCGACAGGAAGCCGTGTGGAGGTTATGAGTGGACATCGTCTGCCTTCCTCACCATCATACCACTGCGTTCGACCTCATCATCCTCCCGACCACACCCTGCACTCTGACTCGGGACATTCGCCTTCTCGTCGACACTTGAGCTGAACAAAGCTACTAAGAACGACATCCGGCCCAACTTCAAGCATCTCAGGGCAGCCTCACAATGTCCGCGCCTTCTTCCTCCTTCCCATCGGGCAGCCAGCCACCTCCGAACCATGGCGGGGGCGTCACTCCTGACCCGTCACGCGTCCACCTCGGCCGCAATGCCGGCAAATTGGACCCCATTGAGCACCCGCCTCTCCCCGTTGCCCAAGTTGGCGCTGCCAACCGGGCGGCCCAGCTGCGTGGCATCGCGCTGGGCCTCGGCGGTGGTGTTCTCTCCGCCTTCATCAGCCGACGGGCCCTAAACCTGTCCAAGAACGCAAGCTATCTCTCGGGTCTACTGGCCGGAACGGGCGTCGCGTATATCACAGCGAGGCAGCAGCTCGAGCACAATCTGGGGGTCGTCGAGAGCACCGAGAAAGGATTGAGGGGGACGTTGCGCCCAACTGGGGCATCATCAGGAGAACCAGCCAGCGCACATGCTACGGATAGCGATATGCTCAAGTATGATTTGCAGGCGGCCAACGCACAGGCGCACGAAGGAGGCGTTGGTGGGCTGCACGAGTTCAGGGACAAGTACGCTTCCACAAGGGGTGACCACTGATGCAGGAACGGAGACAGGTCAGATTCGCACCACCATTCATCTCTATCGACGCAATCGACATGCCAATCGCAGAGAAGTGTGATGGTCCTCGACAGAAAGATTCAGCGGGTCCATCAAAAGTATCGCCAAAGAAGGTCGACGTGGGCAAAAAAAAAGTCGACGCGAGAAAGAGTCGTCAAAAAATGCCTCCTAGCCGACTCGAACGACTGACCTCTTCATTACTAGTGAAGTGCTCTACCGCTGAGCTAAGGAGGCTTTGATGACATCCCAGCTGGGTGTTGCAAATATATTGTTTATTGATCAGCAAGGACAGCCTCGGCTCTTCACAGCCCACCAGACTTTCGCAGGCCGTTGCAGGGTGAGTTCGAAGTCGCACACTTGGCGCTTACATCCCGCCACTAGAGCGCCTGGAACAGATTGCGACTGACAAGACAACGCAATGGAGGGGTGCAATAGACATGATCGATTAGAGGCGGTCGTTCGACTGTAGCCACATGGTTCGCACGGTGTCGCTTGCCAGGTCCTGACGCCACGTTGGAGAGTAAGTCAGAACCAAGCTATCGACTCCGACCGGGCACCGAAACGGCTGCGAGAGAGTCTTGCTGTGCAAGGCAGACGGGGAGAACGGCGACTTTTGATGGCCCGTATCCGATGCGAACCTCGGCTTGAAGAGCAGACGGCGTCATTGTCGTCAAGAGGCAAGAAGTTTCGTGGGCAGCTGATGAGAAACTTTTGGGCCCCGCATCCTTGGAATTTGGCACTGTGACTTTTGGTCGATAAGGTTGCACGCTGAGCACGGTCCAACTTGGAATTCTGCAGCTCCACTCTTTCTCATTGTGCTCGAGGTGGCAATGGTCACAAGGTCATTCACATATACGCATCACTTGAGCCATCATCCTGTTCTTCCTACCATCACCGCATCCGAAGACAGCTGAGATAGACAAGAGAACGTCCGCCTCTGTCTTTTTTCATCTTCGAATCTCTTGCACGCAGACACAACCGCCTCCATCATGGCAGCAACTTGCTCGGCCCCGGCGCCCATCAACTACTCGAAAGCGACCGATGGCACGGGTGTCGTCGGCGGCGATCCATGGCTCGAGCCCTTCGTGCCCGCCCTTCGCGAGCGCTACGCCCTGTACAATGACTGGCTGTCCAAGATCAACTCCACCGAGGGCGGCCTCGAAAACTTCGCCCGCTCCTACCGCAACATGGGCTTCCAGATCGATCCCAAGTCCCAAACAGTCCAATACATCGAGTGGGCGCCAAACGCAGTCGAAGCGGCGCTCATCGGCGACTTCAACGGTTGGTCGCGCGACACACACAAGATGACCAAGGACTCCTTCGGCAAGTGGCACATCAGCATTCCCGGCGTCAACGGGCAATGCGCCATTCCGCACGATTCCAAGATCAAGATCTCGATGGTGCTCCCCTCCGGAGAGCGCATCGAGCGGCTGCCAGCATGGATCCTGCGTGTCACCCAGGACCTTTCCGTCTCGCCCGTCTACGATGCGCGCTTCTGGAACCCGCCGACCTCGGAACGCTACACCATGCGCCACGCCAAGCCTCCCGCGCCCACCAACATCAAGGTCTACGAGGCGCACGTTGGCATCGCCACGCCCGAACCCAAGGTCGGTCAATTCAAGGAATTCACCCGCAACGTCCTCCCACGAATCAAAGAGCTCGGATACAATACCATCCAGCTCATGGCCATCCAGGAACACGCCTACTACGCATCGTTCGGCTATCAGGTGACCAACTTCTTCGCCGCCTCGTCGCGATACGGCAATCCCGAGGATCTCAAGGAGCTCATCGACACGGCGCATTCGTTGGGCATCACCGTGCTGCTCGACATCGTGCACAGCCATGCGTGCAAGAACGTTCTCGATGGTCTCAACATGTTTGACGGCACGGACCACCTCTACTTTCACGAAGGCGCCAAAGGTCGACACGAACTGTGGGACTCGCGTCTGTTCAACTACGGCCATCACGAGGTGCTCCGCTTCCTCCTCAGCAACTGTCTCTTCTGGATGGACGAGTATGGATTTGACGGTTTCCGATTCGACGGTGTCACTTCGATGCTGTACACCCACCACGGCATCGGCACGGGATTCAGCGGAGGATACCACGAGTACTTTGGTCCCAGCGTCGACGTTGAAGCTGTGGTCTACCTTATGCTTGCCAACCGACTGATCCACGATGTCAACCCGTCCGCCATCACCATTGCCGAAGACGTCTCTGGCATGCCCGCCCTCTGCCGACCCGTCTCCGAGGGCGGCGTCGGCTTCGATTATAGATTGTCCATGGCTGTGCCGGATATGTGGATCAAACTGCTCAAAGAGTCGCGCGACGAAGACTGGGATTTCGGCAACATCTGTTTCACCCTCACCAACCGACGCCATCTGGAAAAGTCGATTGCCTATGCCGAGTCGCACGATCAGGCGCTGGTGGGCGATAAGACGGTGGCGTTCTGGTTGATGGACAAGGAGATGTATACCAACATGTCGGACCTGACCGAGCGGACGGGGGTCATCGATCGCGGGTTGGCGTTTCACAAGATGATCCGGCTCATCACGCACGCGTTGGGTGGTGAGGGATACCTCAACTTTATCGGCAACGAATTTGGGCATCCGGAATGGCTTGATTTCCCACGGGAGGGCAACGGCAACTCGTTCCACTACGCACGTCGCCAGTTCAACCTCGTTGACGATACACTGTTGAGGTATCAGTATCTGTATCGCTTTGATGCGGCGATGAACAACGCCGAGGAGCACGCCAAGTGGTTGGCCGCACCGCAGGCGTACATCAGTCTCAAGCACGAATCCGATCGAGTGGTGGCATTCGAACGTGCCGGTCTGCTGTTCGTCTTCAACTGGCACCCCACCCAGAGTTATACGGATTACCGAATCGGTGTTGACGTTCCTGGAAAGTACAAGGTGCTGCTCGACACGGATGCCAAGGACCTCGGCGGACACGGGCGCGTCGATCACGCAACCGAATACTTTTCCACGGACATGGAGTGGAATGGTCGCCGAAACTTTGTGCAGCTCTACCTGCCGAGTCGCAGCGCCATTGTGCTGTACCGCGCCGGCTGATTCCACACTCGCCTGTCTCATTTCTCGCATCTCAATCTCAATCGAACAGTCAGAAGCACCGCACTTTTTAAGCCTGACGAAGGAGCAATGGCGCGCTTGTCTTGGGTGGTGAGAGTCGACCAGTCTGCGCGTCTTCGGTCTGGAAGGGTCTCCTTTCGCCCTCTCTCGTGCAACCACAAAGTCTGGCTGACCAACGCCTCAGGCGAGCCGGAACAAGCTCTCACACATCGAACATCTCTCTCTCTCTTGTCTCTGACCTCGTGCCGCGACATGGCATCTCATCATACATCGTTGGCGTAATGAGCAAAGCGCGATTGAGTCTAGCGGTGAGCAAAAGTGTGGTTGAATCTATTGCCTCGCTACTTGGCAGCATTATGTCTCAACCTCTCGTGCCGCAGCATAGCGTCCTTGCGACTAAAGTTCGCTCCACACGTCTTGCACTTCCACTCGACGACCGCGGTGCTCTTTTTCGGATCCACCTCTTTGCCCAACACGACGCAGTCTTGGAGTTTCAACTTTCCTTCCCTCATGAAGCCCGCTTCCTCCCTGGCGTGGATGGTCTCCCTGTGCCTGGCCAGATCGTATGGGCGATGGAACGCCGTTTGGCACGCAATGTGCGTAATAGGGCTTACGTAGTCGCACTTTGTCGTGCCATCCGTTGCGGGGATGCCGCCCGGTTTGGCATTGCTCCCATTCGACGAGGTGCGCGGCTTAGGTTCGGACGCGGGTTTCTTGGGGTGGGTCTCGGGCGAGTCTTCGTAATCGCTTTCGTTGCCAGCGTTGCTGTTGGTGCCCGTCTCGGAGTCTTCTGCGTCACCACCGGTTTCGATGCGATCGTCCTTGATGGGGAGGCTGTCGGTGGAGCTGGGTGGTGCACGGGCAGGTGCGGCGGTGGGCGCGGGTCGAGCGGTGAGCAGCGGTGGAGGTTCCGGTGCCGAACGCCGGATGGACGGGCTAATGCTGCCTTCGTCCCGGTGGGGAGGGGCCACGCTGAGACCCGACTCTTGGCTACCAGGAATGTACCCGTAGCCACCCAGCGCGCCGGGCATGTGCGACCTCGAGTCGTGTCGCGGTGGGTAGGGCCGTCCATACTGCCGATCGGTGTCGTCCACATCCTCGGACGAAGACTGGTGGTGCGGCAGCGGCGGGCGTTGTGCGGTGCGCGGGTCGAGCGGCGACTGTCTCGAATGCGGTTGCTGATACTGCGGATAGTGATGATGATGCGGATACGCACTACGTTCCTGTCGATGCCACCTCCTTCCGCTCCTGTCATCATCAGAGTCGCTACTACTCGCAGACACGTCGGAAAAGCGCGGCTGCATGTGCGCCTGCCTCAACGCCCACGGTTCGTTGCGCACGTGCGACCAGGCGCCATTCGGGCCGCTGCTCGACGTTCGTTCTTTACCCAGCAACGGTCGCGGCAGTGCAGACGGCGAAGCGGACACGCGACCGTCCGCTTTCGTCGGATAGTTCAGGTACAGACTCGAGGGGCCACCGCGGATCATACTGGGACGCATGTTGGGTGGGTAGTAGGGTCGTTCGTCCTCGTCGTCGTCGGTCGAGATCGTGTCACCGCTGTCGACGGGGCTAAAGAGGCTGCTTTGAGAGCCGGACTGGCTCGCGGAACCGCGACCGTCAGAATGTCCTGGGTAGGGGGAGCGGCTGCCGGTCCCCTGTTGGACGGTTGGGCCAGGTCGCTTCTGATAGTGATGTGGGCGGGCAGTGTCGTTGCGGCTCATAGGGACTGGGCGAGCGGCGTAAGTGGGCTCGCCGGTGGAAGAGCGGGCGCGCGGGACGTTCTGCGACGACATCATGCGAGGGGTGTTGGTGCCACTATGGGAGGCTTGGTAGCGACCAGGGCCGGGTTTGGCGTCCGAGAGTCCGGGTGGCACCGTGGCAAAGAGACTCGGCATCTTGCCAAGCCCAGAGTGCGACAGAGCGTTCTCAACGTCGTCATAGTCCAGGAAAGCTTCCTGAGGACTGACGGTCAGACCACTGGATTCGCGCTTCAGAGGTCGTCGTCCATCCGGGCCGGGGCCATATCCACCCACAGGCGCGCTGATGTGTTCAGCCGAGGCCATCGAGACGGGTCCGCCACGCTGAGCCAGCTGACTCTGCGACATGATGGGTGGCGGCATGTGCGGTCGTTGCTGGCTATAGTGCTGTTGTTGCTGTTGCTGATGGTGTTGCTGCTGTTGGTGGTAGTGCACATCGCGAGAGCTTTGACCCGTCTGACGGGCCCAGTCTGGCAAATAGCTTTGCGAATGACGGGCGGGAGGGTACGACATGGCGCCGAGTCCGCCTTCGAAGGTGCTGCTACGAGTGCGCAACTCGGACGGTCGCTGTGTGAGCGGCGGCATTTCTTCATCCGTCTTCAGCTGGTCTTGGGGTTCCCTCTTGACAGGCTGACCAGACTGACTCCGTGGCTGACCGGCGAGCTCGTAGTCGGGAAAGAGGCTGAAAGAGGGGGCGACACCTGCTTGCATGGGATCGGAGGATGCTGAGAGCGGACTGGTCTGCATGTCGACAGGTCGAGGCGTGTAGTCGTGCTTTTGGAGGATGTCCCTGAGGGGTCCCTTGAAGGCACGAGTATCGACACCTGCTAGCTCTGCTCGGATCTGGGCCTTGACGCGTTCCTGCTGCTCGCGAGTCATGCCGGCAGAGGCTGGTGATGCCAAAGCAGAGGCGGCGTTTGGGTCATAGCCGCGGGAAGGCATCGATTCACCGAGATTGAGATCGTGCATGGGTGCTCCCAAACTGCCACTGGGCGGATCAGGAGGGGTGGTGCGCTCAGTTGAGTTGTGTCCCGATGAGCCAGTGGTACCTTCTCTGCTGGAGCGTGAATAGGATGACGATGAGCCAGCGTAGAGCTCACTCTTTTGGCGCTTACGCCGGGGGCCGCCTCGATCGTCGAGGGTGTCTGGTAACTGGGCGACATCATCTCCAAAGGCGGGCGACTGTTGAGGAGAGCGGTGCTTGCCAAATGAACCGAGGTTTCCGAAAGAGGGAGGGGTGGATGTCTTGTCGAGAGGGATGGGTGGAGTTGGATCGTCAAAGAGGATGAAGTCCTTCTGCGGAGCCATTTTGCCCACAGACGTCATGGTGCCGTGAGGTGGGCGTATGTGAGCCGAGGTGGGAGCGATTAGCGCAGGCTTGTGAGCCGTCAGCCGATGCTGATGAGGTTGGCGTAGTCGGACGTGCTGGATGCAGGACTGTGTGTCGCGATGCCGTCTAGTGCATGAAGCTCGTAGCTGAATCGATCATGCGCTCTGGATGGTGAAAAGTGTTCTGGCACGCAAAGGGGCTCTACCGCGATGCAGTCGATGTAGTCGGGAGAGTCAAGGCAGATGGACGTTCAAAGCCGGATCGAGATTGGTTGCAGAAGTGAATGAAATGAGGTCTGAGCCCTTGCGCGCCGAGGAACGACAACGTAAGCAGGAGAGCTTCCTGTCGAGCTGCGATGTGGGAGATACCGCTGATCGCTGTCGCAAAGTGGACGAAGATGGACTGCGCCTGGCTGTATGCAGTTCGAAGCTTCTGTGAAGAATGCTGTGCTAGTGTGGCCGTATCTCGACTATCGAGCTCGCTGAGTTCCGAACTGAAACGGTAAGATCGATGCTGGCCACCGATTGTGTTCGATTTCGGCGATGACTGTCCGAAGGCTAGATGGGAGGAGAGCTGTCTGTGATGGTGAAGGATGAGAAGAGCTCGCGACTGTATAGCCATGAACAGGCGCGTGTGTGTGAGCGAGAGCGGCTGTGCCTGCACCTCTCAAAAAAGAGCCGGTTGAGCTGCTGCTCCGATGCATGATGATTCCTTCTCCTTGAGGCAGAGGTGGAGGAAAAATCGCGGCAGCAGAGCGTGATGTGACTTTGCTCACGCGGGCATTTGGGTCCGACGATGCTCGTGTAATTCACCACCTTGCAGCTCAGCCAGCCTCCGCTCGCTCGCTCGCTCACTCTCTCACACGCCTCTCCCGCTTTGTGATATTGGCCAGCATGCCCCTTTGCGCCCATCACATCATCTCCTGCTTGTCATCTCACGCTTTCGGCATCCTTCCGCTAGGCATATCTAGCACAATGCGACTTTGTAAAAGAAGACGAATTTGCAAGTCAGAAGCCACCTTGACCCGGGAGGAAGCAAAGCCGGCAATGCTGATCGTCAAGCGCATGCCATCGTTTTCAGGCACTTCAACCCTCTCCTCCCACTCTTGCTCCATTTTTCTAAATCTAAAAAAGAATTGCATTTCTTTGGTCCGCTCCGTAATCTGGGCTCGGATGCACCTTCGATGGCGGTGGCCTTTTTCGACGTCATCCGTCGACGATCAGCGCTTTCGGATTAAATTTAATTCATCAACAAACACGGCCAGCTCGTCTTTCCTATGTTGCGAACCAGCCTTTGATACTTTACACCTTCTCTCAGGCACCGCTTACTTCTCGAACACTGAAGCTCAAACCAGAATACAGGTGCTACCGACACGTCGGTTGAGGCTATCTATTTGCGGATGGCGCCACTGACAATCTTGACTTCACCTGTCCAATGTGCTGCTTTGACACACCTCATCGGTCCAGACGCGACTTCCAATGCCACAGATACGGTATCCATACCAATGATAAAAGTACATTCCTTCTTAGTTGGACAGATCCACATCGTTGAACAGCGCATTGAGCGCCTTCAGCCCCTTGGCAACCCCATACGATGCGCTGGCCATGTTCGACTTGGTCGTCTTGTCAAACATCTGGTGGCTCTGCATCTCGCTCAGCTCGTCGCAGTTGTCCGTCAGCTCGTCCAGAATCCTCTCTCCTTCCAGCTTGCTTCTCGCCGGCAGATTGTCCTTCGAGATGGCCACAATCGACGAGACGATGGTGGTGATCTGCGTGAGGTGCTCGCTCAGCTGGTTGCCCTGCGCGCCCTCGCGGATCGCCGACAGCAGCGCCTGGATCGAATGCACAATCGCTTCCGTCTGCACGTCAATGTAGTTGCGCAGTTCCACCCAGCTCTCTTCGCCGCTCGGCTCGTCGAATCCGCTTCCGCTCGCAGAGGTCACCGTGGCCAGGCTGTCGTACGTCTCGGATCGAACCACTTGATCGTCGCTCGACTGAGGCGAAGGCGACGCCGGTCCGCTTGGCTGCCGCGATGCACCGTTGCTCGACAGCGAAGCATCCGCCGACGTCGGGAACGGCTCGCCGGCAAACCGCTTGGTGCCAAACAGGTTGGACAGCTGCGGCTTGCTGCCCATGTTGGGCGTGCTCGCATTCGCGCTGCCCACCGACGAGACCGACGTCGTCCGGCTGCGCCACGTGTTGTCTCCACTCGAGTCCTTTCGCAGCGTCTCCGCCTTGTACCCGATGGGCGAGTAGCGTCCCATAGTGGGAGCGCTTCGAATGTGCGGAGACAACCGATCCTCGCCCAGACTGAGGTTGGCAAAGCTGGACTGGTTGGCAAGGTTGGGCGAGAGCGTCGCGCTCACCTCTCGGTTGGCCGATTGCGTATTGATGTGCAGCGGCCTAAGTCGCGTCGGCGCCGAGTCTTCCGAGAAGCTCGTCGAAAGATCTTCTGGTTCCCCTCGGCTGGCTTTGCGCACCTTGAGCAGCTTGACCATCTCCACGATTGTCGCCGAAACGTGGCTAGCTGCGGCATCGAGCAAGCTGACGGGCGACAGACCGTGCGACGACGCGTGGTTTCGGCACGCCGACATGAGGTTGTTGAGCGTCGCAGAGCACTTGGACTTGAGCGCCATCAGCTGGTCTAGCTCCTCGTTAGAGAGCTCGGCCACGTTGGCAGGAATCTGTTCGTACTTGGACACGTCATCCGTCACGAGCGTGGTCGCCAGCACCACTGTCTTCATCGACAGCAGGATACTGCCCGGCGTCCGGTATCGAGCTGCGGCCAACAGCTCGTCGATCGAGCTTTGGAACGCGGTGAGGTTGACATCAGCGATCGCCCCCTTCTCGGAGGCCGGCATCAAGTCGTCTGCTTTGGGCGGCTGGACGTAGAGCTGCGAGGTGGCTTTGAGATTGCGCAACTCGATCTTGGCTGCCTCGTAGAGACGCTTGTAGTTGGCCATCTGCCTTTCGAGATCCTTGATGACCACAAGATCGTTGTCCCTGTCCGCTTGCATCTCCTCGTTGCGCGTCGACAGATCTCGAAGCTCTTCGAGGAGCGTGCTGACTTCTTGCTTCAGCTCGTTGACCACTTCGGCTTGCTGCGAATGATTCTGCTGCAATGCCTCCAGTTCGGCTTGCCCACCAGCGTCGGCCTTCTCGGCCAGCTCCCTTCGGATGGATTCCAGCTCGGACTCCCTCTGGGCGGTGGAAGTGCGATGCAATTCACGGTCAGATTCATGCTTTTGCTTTGAATCGTCGAGCTCCTTTCTGAGCAGACTGAGCTGTCGATCGAGTTCTTCGTATCGACCCGCGAGCTCGTCGGCTTTGCGTGCGCGAGGAGCGGCTTCTGCCATTTGCGATTCGAGCGAGCTGACCTGTTGTTGAAGCTTGGCGATGCGAAGCTCGTAGTCCGAACGCATCTTCTCGGTGGCTGCGTCTGACGCTTCAAAGACGCTGCCTCTGCCCAGATTGGGACTCGCAACGCTTCCTGCGGCGATGCTGCCGGTGTATCCGTTGAAGAAGCCGGTACCTAGGCTGCTGGCCTGACTGTATCTGGTGCTGCGATTGTCGGGGACGCCGTTGGATCCGTTGGAGCCGATCGAGTCGCGTATTGGAGAAGTGACACGGCCCAATGGAGACTCGTTCTCAATGCTGCGATCGCCGAGCTTAGAGCTGCCGTTGGCCGAGTAGGGGACGGCAAGGTCTTCTTCGACCATGGTGCTCTTAGCAGGCACGATTCGATCCGAGGTGGAAGGCTGTGCTTGGCTTCTCGAGTCCTTGCGTTGCAGGAGAGCTTCGGCCTGGTCGCGCATCTGCTGTTCCATCTCTCGCTCGCGAGCGATGACTTCTGGGCGGTATTCTTGCTTGAGCTCTGGGAACCTGCGCTCTAGCTCGAAGAACACATCCGAGGCCAGATCTTTGAAGCGGTTCTTGGGCAGTGTGGCGAGCTTCTGCCTGGCTTGATTGCGTTTCGGGTGGAATTCGTCGCGAACTGCAAGGAAGGGCTGACTGTTGCCGTTTCTGAGGCTGTTCTGGCGTCGCATGAGCTCGTCGTAGACGTCGGTCGAGAGCTCGGTGAATTGCTGCTTGCTGAGGCGGGTGAGCTTTTCACGCGCGTTGGAGCGTGGGAGCGTCTGCTCGACCTTGGTGAGGTGGCTCTTGAGGAAGCCAAGCAGTTCAACATAGTGGGAGCGACCGACGCGTCGGATCTCTTCGGTGTCGGGTCTCACGCGTCGATACCTGGATCCGGAGGCGGATGGCTGAGACGAGCCGGACGAAGAAGCAAAGGAAGCGTCCTGGTTGCCCGAAAGGGAACGCGCTCCTGTAGATGGAGCATCAGGCAGCCGGATAGAAGGCGCGCCAAGTGGGGAAGAGAGGGCAGGGAGCGGCGAGGTCGAAGGGTGCGACGAGGCATACGAGTCGTGGGAACTGTTGCCATTTCCATTGGGAAGATAGAATCCCGTCGCGGCGGATCCTGCCGAAGAGGCAGCATACCTCGAAGCTGGCCCTGCGCCCGGACCCTGTCTGTCGTTCATCATCGGAGGAGCTGCGGGTCTTGTGTTAGAATTGTAGTACTGATGTGGCGGCTGAGGTGGTGGCTGCATGGGCATCATGACGAATGAGCCGGCGTGGGAAAGCTGACTAGCCAGAAGGTCAGTGTCGCGTCAATGATATCGGAGCGGGTCCGAGTCGGTGGCTGTGCTTTTGGAAAGCTATACTGTTGCCCTTGCAAGCATTCTTTGCGTGCCGAGGTGATCGTCTGCTAAGGTGCCGTTCCAATGATCCTGACCGAGGTGGTCTCGCCCTGCAAGTTGATCAAAAGACGCGATCGCGATGTCCGAGGCGGAAATGTCGCAAGCGCAATGATGGTTGGCAGTGGTCCGATCGCGGCAGTGCAAGTGATAGCTGAGATCCGGAAGAGAGAAAGTGTGTGTATGTCGCAAGTGGTCCGAGCTGAAATGAAGATGGAGGATGGAAAGCAGACTGAGCTGAGCCAGATGATGGCGAGCAAAGGAGAAAGGCGGATTCAGGAGAGGCTGATTCGAAGCGTGCCGCCTTGGGCTAAGTGTTTGCTCGCCCGCTCGTGCAGCTGAGAGGCAAGATGAGACACACTCAAACGCGTGCAGCAACAGCAGCAGCAGCAGGAACAAAGACGAAAACCACCCTTGAAATCACCTTCCGAGCAAAGCAGGGCCTTCTGCATGACCGAACGAGGCGAGTGAGCCATTCCAGTCTATGAAGTGTGAGTCAGTCACCAACGCACTGCTGAGAAAGGAAGGGACACGCCTTCATCACCCGGCGATCTTTTTCTATATTTTTTGGTGAACCATGAGACTGGAAAAGTGCTTGCTACCGGCTCGTGACCCTGGTCGGGCGTGCTGGCGTCGTGGTTGCTGGCTGGCATGAGTCGGGTTGCTTTGGAATTTTTTGAGTGCGACTGGCTGTGCTGGTCCCTATTTTTTTCGCGCTCGCAGCAATTTAGACGCGTTGCAAGGCTGCTCACGCGAAAGGGCTCGCTCGCTAAGGAGAGCAGGCGGGCTGATTGGTCTCAGCCCGTCGCGATGCCCTTCTGCTGCCGCGCTCGCTTGAAATTCCTCGCCGAGTCTCTGCGTCAAATTCCAGTCTTCAAGACAGAGACGCGCTTTTTGTGTTGCTCTTCTTGGCAGGCCCTTTCCGAGTTCTCGCTTTCTCTCTTAATGAAGCAGATGACCATTCGTATGGCGTCCGCACCGCTGAAGCGTTCCTTGCCTCATTGTTCAGCGCCGAGGCAGCCATTGTCGACGCGTAGAGAGGCGGAGAATGCCAAGACAAGCTACACTGGCCGCTTTGGACTCCGATCGCGCGCCGTGAGCCGAGTCGCTTGTATCCGTGACACACGGCATGAGGAAGCCTCTCTTTCTCTCTCTCTGTGGTGTCAAGATGGTGTGCGTTGCCTTCCTTCAGCTCTGTTTTGGAACGCCAGCACAGGGACGCGGTTGCTGATCGTCGTTGCTCGCTCGCTTAGACTCAAAGTTCGGCAGAATCATGCTCGTCTCACGTGCAGCGACATCGCTTCCGACTTGCAGAGTGTCGAGCAAATGAGCAAACAGCAAACGGAGCCAGAGCTTGATCTTCCTGCCACCTCGGAGCCTGTCTTACTGAGTGACTATGCCGTTGATATGCAAGCTCTCATGCAGCTCATCGAGCGTGCTGCGGCTCGCCCTCAAGGTCGGAGCTGTGCTCGGTCTCTTGAGAGGATCATCGAGGTTGTGATAGCAGACCGAGCCGAGCAAGAGACCGAGCGAGAAAACTGCGAAAAGTGTGAGATCGCCTCGTTCACTTCTCTTCGGATTTTGGACTGATCGGGTCTCACAGCCCGATTCGCGGCCCCCTGCCTCCACATTTTGATGCTCACCTCACCTGCAGGCGCTCGGTTCAGCTAACAGCTGATACATAGGGTTTGCTGTGACGACACTTTGGCCTTTGATTGTGTATGACAACACTGTGCAACCCTTGGCTCGTTTGCTGACCTTCTCTTGGCTCTATTCGAAAATAGACTTTGATCTCAGGTGTGCTCAACCCAGGGCGGTGTCGGGATGAGATCACGCTGCTTCCACCCTTGCCCTGCGTAAAAGCCGCACCGTTCAGCCTCTGGCTCGTGACCTGATGATGTGATTGCCGTTGCTCGAGAAGCTTTGACTGAGAATCCCTACTTATACCTCACAATCCTTTCCTCACCACCTCATCAAAGACGCCTGTCCCTGAAGCACAGCAACACCAACCACACACACCAGCAACAATGTCCGCCACTCACGACCCCACCGCCGTCGGCGCCCACTCCAAGGGCCACGACCTCACTCCCCAGCAGAAGATCGACACCCTCCTCGAGATCACCAAGCACATTGGCACTGGAATGCTCACCTCGCGCTCTCCCGATGGCAAGCTCGCCTCTCGCGCCATGGCCCCTGCCACCACCGAAGGCCTCGTCTTCTCGTTCTACATGAACACCGATTCTGGCAAGACCGACGACGTCGAGACCGACCCCCAGGTCAACGTCGCCTACTTTGATCCCAAGACCACCGACTGGGTCTCCATCTCTGGCAAGGCTGTCCTCAACCGTGACTCGGGCAAAATCAAGAAGCACTGGTCCAAGAGCCTCACCGCTTGGTTCGACGACAAGAAGGACGGCAAGCACACGGGTGACCACAACGATCCCAGGGTGGTCTTGCTCGATGTGCACCCGGAGGAGATCAGGGTGTTCAAGGCGGATGGAAAGCTGAGTGCGCTTGCCCAGACCGCCAAGGCGGCTGTCAGCGGTCACGCTGCTAGCCCGGGTAAGCTCATTATCATTACCAGCCAGGAGATCCAGCTCGCTTCGCCCGCACACAAGGTTGCTTGAGCGCAGCATCACGGCTTGTAGTAGCGCCAATTGAATCAAACAGCATGATATCCCATTGTTACGATGCCGTCTTTGGAGTCTGTTCTTACGACAATCCTGTTGAGAATGAGAGCGAGGCTAAGGAGACTCATGCAAGATTCGAGAAGACCTGTAAGAAGATTCGCAAGCCATTCGCTCCGAGAGCAACACGACGCTGCACGGCGCTGCATGGATATTCACCGGCCATGTCGGTCCCATTTCATCTCATCCTCCATTTCTTCTCACTACTCTTCTCCCCTCCTCTCGTTCCTAGCCCCCATCTGGCTTCCTCTGTTCCGTTACTTCCTTCGACGAACTCTATCCTGCCCAAGATGACGACCGCTCACCCACTCTCGCACTTCGCCATCCCCTCGCTATTCAATGTGCGCGATCTGGTCTGTGTCATCACCGGTGGCTCCTCGGGCCTAGGCCTGTACGCTGCCCATGCATTGGCATCCAACGGAGCGCTAGTCTACATCATCGGTCGACGAGAACCTCTCCTCACATCCACCGTATCGCAGTTCCACGCCCTCTTCCCCTCCCCTTCCTCTCGGGCCGGGGGAGACCTGGTGGGCGTCACTGCGGATATCACGTCCAAAACCTCGCTCGAGAATGCCCGCTCGTTCATCACCACCGACCTCGCCGCTCGCTCCAAGACAGGCATCCAGGTTCTCATCTGTAATGCCGGGATCGGGGGCAAGTTCCTCCGTTCGTACGGTCAGGATCTTCCTCCGTCTCAAGCCGATAAAGATGCCGAATTCAACACCATCCTCGACGAGCTGTGGAGCTTTACCGAATCGGACATCTCCTCCATCCTCGAGACAAATGTCACGGGCACCTACCTCACCGCTCTTGCCTTCCTCCCCCTCCTCAAGGCGGGCACTACCACCGAATATCCAAGCCAAACCATCCTGATCAGCTCCAACGCGGCCTGGTCGAAACTACCTATCTTAAACCCGATCTACAACATCTCCAAAACCGCCGTGTCGCAGATGGGTCAGATGCTGAGCACCATGTTCTGCGACCACGGGTTGAGGACGAACGTCGTCGAGCCTGGCCTTTACCCAAGTGATCTGACGAGCACCGAAGGGCGGGACGACTCGACAGGTCATGGAAAGTTGAGTCATACCAACGGGGCGGATATCCCCATTGGCCGATGTGGTAGGCCTGAGGAGCACGCTGCTGCTGTAGTCTACCTTGTCAGTCGCGCGAGCGCCTTTGCTAACGGGGCTAGGATGAGAGTCGACGGTGGTGCACTGCAGAAGTTGCCCGCGAGCGACTAGCCTTCGAGGCTCGGGACCAATGTTGAGCAAGCAATGCAATTCCACTTAACTTAAAGGCATGATTCATGCAACGACACCTTTCTTCTTCGCCCCTTCCTTCCCATTCACCTTCGCCCCCACCCCACCATTCGCCACCCCCGCCGCCGCAGCCACGCGCTCCATCTCCCTCTCCATCAGAACCTTCCTCTCCAGCGCGCCACTCCACAGTATGCGCCGCGGCATCTTGCCCGTGGGCGGCACCTTGTACCTTTGCTTCTCCTGTTCTCCCTCTGGCAATGTGTTGCTCACCACCACTGGATCGCGTTTCTCCTCCTCTTCTTCTCCTTCTTCCTTCTCCCTCAGCGCGGTGTGTGCTTCTTCCTGCTTGACGCGCTGCCGGTGTTCCCGCAGCTTTTCGGTGTAGAACCCGTGTAGCAGTCCGATCTGCGCACCCACTGCTGCGCTGACCAACTCGATCGGCGCCGGCGGTGGCGGATACGGTAGACTCTCCGTCTTCCCTCCTTCTGCTCCCACCCTGTTGGCCGCCGCCCTCCCCGCTTTACCGTAGAACAACCTCGACGGAACCGTCAACCCACTCATCTCCCGATCCAAGCCCAATTCTCTGAACCCAAAGAAATCGTCGCCCAACTCTTCCGCCCATCCTCCCGCCACCAGCGCCTCTCCATCTCCCGCAAAAAGCGCTTCGTCCTCCACCACCCCTCTCTCCGTACTTCGCTCGAACTGATCCCGATACCCCACCCGTAATTTGCGTAACAACTCCCCCATCTTAGCCCCATACCGCTCAACGTCGTTCCGGATGTAGTTCTCGAGACTCGCCACTGAGGCCCCGGCGGACTCCTGCAGCGTGTGGAGGATCATTTCTTCTGCAGAGAGGGTGTGGGCGTACCGATCGGCGTAGGTGCGCAGCATGCGGCCTAGGGAGCCGAGGAAGTCTGTGAGTGCGTCGGTGAGAACGTCCACCGCCACCCTGTGTCCACCCTCAAAGCCGGCGTGCGCGAGGAGCGTGCGGACGTTGTAGCTGGCGTGATCGTGCGCCGAGGTCGGAGAGATACGCGATAGCGGATGCCGCGGTGCCGAGGGAGGGGTTGGAGGAGAGTCGTCGTCCGAGGGGTAGTCCGACTCCTCGTCGGACGACATCGATGTCAGATAGGACGGAATCGGCGCTTCGTTCTCTACAAAGTGCGCCAGGGAGAGAAACTTCGAGTGTGTCGACTGGACCTTGTGGAGTGTTCGGATGTTGCGTGCGATGCGACCCTGGAGACCTTTTCGCCGAGTGGCAGGGACGGCGTGGTGGGGCTTCTTGCGTTTCTTCCCTCTGTCTTCTGCTACCTGCGAAAGCAGAGAAGACGAGGGCAAAGCCGGTAAGGCGGCCGACATGAGCTGGTGCGACGCAGTGACGGTGAACCAGTCGGCTGATGCATCGAGCGGGCGGAGGTCTGCACCTGCCGTGCTCGGTGCTGGCGTTGATGCGGATTGCGACTGGCCCCGTGACGGCGGTGGCGACTGCGGTTGCGGTTCTGGTGTCGCCTTTTCCTTGCCCTTCTCCCCCAACAGGGGCGTAAAGATCGAGCCGAGCACGACACTGAGTGGGTCCTCCTCCTCCGTCTTGATCCGATCCATCGCCTCCACCGGCGCCATCAGCATCGGTCTCGAACTCGGCCCCGCCCCCACACCGCTCTCAATCAAGTTCAAACCGGCATCGATGCGGCTGAACTCCATCATACTTTGCGGCGTCCTCACAAAGGCGTCCTGCTCCTCGAACTTACCCTCCTCCCACCTACTTCTCCTCTTCTTGACTTCCTTCTCGGCTGTCGTCGTCGCCTCGGGTGCTGGTGTCCCAGGCTCGCCCACCTCCACCGTTGCCGTCGCCGGCACCCCCCACTGCACCAACGCATCCTTGACATCGCTCTTATCGCTGATGAACTCCAACAGATGATCCGCCTTCTTCCGCATAAACGCCACGTTCCTCCGCAACGGGTGCGACGGATCCGAGTTGTAAATCAGACAGTTGTCCCAGATGAGGTTGAGATCATGCCCAAACTGGCGTTTGGTCTTGTACTGCCCGGCCTTGACCTTCTTCTGCATGGTGCCCAGGTCCATGGGGTGCTTGATCACGTCGTAGTAGTCGGGCGCATCGCGTTTCGAGACCTTGGACAGGAAGGCGGTGGAATGTTCAGAGTAGTTTTTGAGCTCGGTGACGATGCGCTCGATAGACTCGAGGAATTCTTCGCGTTCATCGCGACCCTTGCAGACTTCCGTAAGGAGTTGACGTAGTTCTAGATCCCCGAGCTTGACCGACGCTCGCTTAGCCTCGATCGCTTGTAGGAGGTACTGTGGGCGGTGACAAGGATGGGGAGCAGTCGAAGTCAGTGGAACAGTCAAGAGCAAAGCGATAAGTGGCATGACGTACCTTCATGACGAAATACTATATGTGTGAGCCGTAATGGAGCCCGGTGTCGTACGCGGTTTCATATGTTTGTGGTGGGGTGGGTAAATGAAACCGGCGAGTTCTGTCGGAAGAAGGCGCTTATCCAGCTCGAGCCTTAAGTATCCGCTACTTGCACGATGACGAGCGCCTTCCGAGCCAAAGTATCCAAAGATGGATGCAGATAGTCGAAGGTGTTGCTGAATGCAGTTCGTGCCTCCTTGATGCAGCAGGCTGATCGGTAGATGCGGTCCGAGCACTAACACGTCGTGAGATCCAAGATGCGCAGCCGTACGATCCTGAGCCGCTGATGCGAGCTGTCGGACCTCTCCCCGCTATCGAAGGTGACCAGCGGCAAACGCAACAGACGCGTCGTACACTCCTCCACGCCGATGCAGCAAGTGGGGGAGACAATACCGATTCCTTTTTCGCACTACGCCCGACTGTGTTGATCAAGGCCCTTCCGCTCCTCGTCGCACCGTAGTCAGAAAGTGTGCCGAATTGGGCCGAATGCGTTCTCGCCCTTGAAAGAGAGTAAGGTTTGACGAAGTCGGTGTTGGTGATGGTCGAGAGGGAAGAAGCAAATACCGGCCAAAAAAGCGGACGCGGGGTGACCGGCAAGCCTGCCCGTCCAAACAGCGTGGCCGTCGGTCTTCCCAATTTCCGATTCCCGCAAGATCGGGCTCAGATGAGGCACGCGTTAAGAGCTTCCTCAATCAGCACGACCGCTGCCGTATCTCACGGTGTGGTTCACTCGTCACGACTGTGCAGCCTCGTCACCACATCGTCTATGTGGGCCAAGAGGATCGATTGGTGCGATACGGATGCAAACATGTGCGTCTTTGACTGATACAAGAGCCTTGCTACTACGATCAAACCCGCCCTTACTCCTGGGACGAGCTCCCCTGACCATTCAACTGAGCCGCCTGCTGGGCCTGCTGCTCCTGCACCCGTCTCCTCACCTCCCTCCTCTCCTCCAGCTCCACCAACAGCCTCTCTGGATCGTCGACCACGAATCCATGCCCGAACGTGTGCCTGAACATGTTCCCCGGGTCCACGCGCTGCTTGATCTCCAACAACCTCTTGAAGTTCTCCAACCCATAAGCACCGATGACCCTATCCATGCGCTCCGACCTGCCCAAGAAGCACGGATACGGTCCGCCGACGCTGACCTTGTCCACAACTTCGTTGAGCCAGCGCTCGACGCTTTCGATGCACGTGCGGTCCTCCGCCTTGCCGCTCCACTGTTGCAGCGATCCGACGGTGAACTTGGCCGCGCGGGCTTCTGGGCAGATGCACGTGTCGTCCGCAGGGCTGTCCTCGACAGCACCACCCATGAGCTCGAACAGCCACACGGCACGGCTACCGAGACCTTGGAAATTGCGCACGCTTTTGGCGATCACGTCGTCGGTCAGCGTCGAGATGAGGTCTCCTCGCACCATCCAGCGTCGTCCCGTACCGCCTTTGAGCACCTTGGCCACGCCATCTTGCTGCGAGAGGAAGCTGCGCTCCTCGACATCTTTGAGAAGCAGTCGCTCGCCCGTCCAGCTGCTGATCGCCTGCACAAGAGCCTCGCCGTCCGATTTGGGACCAAGATAGCACACCTGGATGACAATCACGTGGCTCGTCTTGCTTGGGCCAGCGGTGAGGATGAGGTTGGTGTAGAAGTTGCGCGGCAGGCCCGCCTTAAGGCAGTCTCGCCAGTGTCGAATGAGGGAGCTCGCAGTGGCAGGGTTGAGCGGGTAGATCAGGTTGCCCGAGTACACTGAGGGCACGGGGTACGCCTTGGCAGTGAGTCGGGTGACGATGCCAAAGCATGGTGCTGCACCCCGGACTGCCCACCAGAGGTCCTGCTCGAGCTGCGACTTCTTCTTCGAATCCTCGTTGAGCGTGACGATGGTGCCATCAGCCAGCACCATCTCCACTTCGGTGATGTTGTCGAGCGAAAGACCGTAGGCGCGTGTGAGGTAGCCGAACCCGCCCGTGGTCATGGCTGTAGATCCGACGGGATAGGCAGAGACAGGGACGTGGTACGGCACGCCGTTGACCACAAGCGGCGGCAGAGCGTCCTGCTGGTCCATCTGCCTCTCCTTGCCCTTGCCATCTTCGCTCATGGCGGCGAGGAAGTTGCCTTCGCGTCCCGCTTGATCTGTAAATGCGTCCAGTCCTCGAATGCCGACACCGGGACCAAAGGAGGCCAGCGCATAGCGATCCTCGTACATGCCTGGTGGCAGGATGGCGGCTGCGATGCTGGGGGACGGCTCGGGACGAGTATTGAAAGTGTAGGGATTCGACGGGTCGGGGATCTGCGGTGTTGGCGAGGGTGATCCATACTTGTGCAGAGGCGACGGGATGAAACGTGGCAGATTCGAGGAGGGATCGTTGCTTCCTTCCTGATTGACCGCCCACGTGCTGGTGGGCCAGGCATCCTGCAAATCGCTCAGCGTGGAAGCGCCAAAGTAGCCCGGCCCACCCGGACGACTAGTGTCCATCTCGTTCGAGGAGGCTTCGCCAGACGAAGAGCGTGCACTGCGCGAGCTGGGTCGTTTAGCGGCTGCAGCCCCAGCAGCTTCAGGGCTGGCTGCAAACGCTTCGGCATCCCACGGCAAGGACCCGGGAGCGGCAGATATGCTCGAGATTCCGGCATCCGCACCGTCGCTGCGCCAGACAAATCCGCCTTCGGGCAGCTTCATCTTTTCACCTGGTGTGGCGGAAGGCGGTCGGTGGTGTCGGTGCCATCGTCGATGCTCTGCGCTGGCGCTCATATCCCAGTCATCTGGTGTTTGGCTATCGGAGAAGTCTCGACGTTGACGACCCGAGTCGGATGCGGATCCTGATCCTGACCCGGAGCCAGATCGCGAGACGCCCCGTCGCTGTGAAGAGGATGGCGCAGTATGCCTGGGCAGCGAAATGGCATCTGGACGCTTGAAGCGGGCAGCCTCATCTTCCATGTCATCGGTGCTGGCGCCTCCGACAGCGTCAGTGTCCATCTTGACGTCTGCTCGGTCAGCGCTGGCGTTCCAGGACTTGGCGGACGAGTGCTTCGAAGCTGACGTGGAGCTGGAAGCAAGATTGGATGAGCTGCCGCCGCCCGTGGAACCTGAGTTGCTACCACTGGGAGAATCGGATGCGTTGCCAGACAAATCGAGCTGACGATCGACCCAGGCTTTGGCAGGGACGGGCGCGGCTCTCGGCTGATCAGAAGAGCCGGACCCCGAATTTGGTGTACGGTAAAGCGGGGCCGAATCGCGAGGCTCGGAAGCGTCGAGGAAGTCACTCCTGGAAGCAGCGACGGTGCGCTTCTTGTCGTCTGGATTTGATGGCTCGCCACTGGAATCGGATCGATGACGATCTTCGGAGACATCGCCATCGCGGCTATTTCGATCGCGTGTAGAGCTGGCGCCAGAGCTCTCGCTGTCGGCGTCTGCTCCACTCTCGTGGCTTCGGCCGTGCTGCATGTAGGCTGATTTGACGTTGGCGTCTTCGACGGGATCTGTCCTGCGTCGGACGAGACCAGCTGCTGCTGGATCCGATGAGCCGATGGATGCTTGGTCGGATGCGCGCATCTTGCGTTTGAGCGCGTTCTTTGCGGGGTCCTGCGGATCGATATCCTCGGAAGATTCTCCGTTGGAGGGGTCGCGCTTGGTGACGGTGTCCTGGATGGGAGTGGCCCAGGTGCTGTGAATCTGCTGCTTGACGAGACGATCTGCTGCGCTGACGGAGTCGCTCTGAAGTACGATCGAGTCTGCGTCTGTCCTAGCGGTGATGGGATCGATCGCTGCCACGGCCGACGAAGCCATGTCGGAATTTGTAGTAGGCTGAGAGGAGGAAGGCTCGGACGACGAACAGAGGCCATCGGAGCCCACAGCACACATGCCGGTAGGGTTGTAGGTTGCAGTCGGACCGACAGCAGCGGGCACGGTCAAGGGAGACGAGTCGACGCCCTGCATGGCGGCGGCACTCTCGGAGGGCAAGTACTTTGGCACGACGAGCTTGACGTCATCCATCAAGGAAGTGTCGATGACGACTTGACCCTGAATGGACCAACCAGCGGTGGCATAGCCGCCCGACTTGATGGAAGGTGAGAGGCGATGAGCTGCGCAGAACTTGACGACGGTCGAGATGTCATGGACGTCGACGGGTATGGCTACCATCCAGCCGCCAAGTGGAGCGGCATCGTTGAAGATGGTGATGCTCTTTGCAAAGACGGCTTCTCCTCGAATGGCGATCTGACCTCGAAAGGTGCGGGCCAAGTCGGCTCGAAGCGACTCGAAGCGAGCATATGTGTCCCTCACTTCTTCCTTTGTCAAAGGAGTTGGCTCAGGGATGTCGTATGGGGGTATGCGAGTAGTCATGATGAATGGTGCGGCTAGCGACTAGCGGGAAATGGCGTCGGCTATGAGTCCTGCGAGTGCAGAATGGTGCGGCAGGACCAAAGTCGTAGCTGAGTGAAAGGCCTGTGGGCCGTGATCGAGTGAGAGTCAAGCCTGAGGCTTCGATGAGGCTGGCTGAGAATGCAAGAGCCGGCTCGGTTGCAGGCGGCGTCGGTGCTAATGGACTGTAAAGATGGCAGAGACACTGTGAAGGCTGAACTCGGAAGCGACAGGTCGGAGGTGCCGCCTAAGTCGAAGCGATCACTTAGCAGCGCTGACAAAGGTGTCGCGGAAGCGAGCCGAGACTGAGACGTCGTCGGAGTGATCTCCGCGAGTGTGGGTAGTGTGATAGAAGGGGGGTCGAGCGTTGCTTGCTGTGATGAGAAGGAATCGACAGGTTGGAAACAAATGTGTCTCGATCCAGGCGAAAGGATGATGCAAACCCGACTGCGATCTATGACCCGGCTGCTATTTGGGCTGTATGCGCTGCCAGGGGGCCTCCGTGTGACCAGATCGAGAGAGAGAAAGATGATGGAGGATGATGTAGAAGGTCAAGATGGTGCACGAAGGTTCATCGACTGGAAAGAGCCACGGGTAAAGTGGAGAATTCGAGGCAGCACAGCAGCCGATCCGCACTCTCAATTGTCACGCTTGAGCGCGCATACAAACGCACAAATCATGAATCACAAAGCGCAGCGCCAAAGCGGGTACTGCAGAGGCGAGGCAGGCGTGCTCACAAACAGCAGCTCGGCTATCGAGCGACTCTAAAAGGCCCTTTTCGGCTTAAGAATTGGCTTTTTCATGGGCGCTCTCCTTCATCGAATGAATGGACGGAGTAGGGCGGATCCAGCTGGCCGGGCTGGGCTAGGCTATCGAAGCAGAGCGGCTCCCTTGTCAAGCCACGCGCAAAGGCAGCGATCGCTTTCGGTCTCTCTAATTGGACGCTCTCGCTGCTTTCCCTCATCCGTCTTTGCACGAACCCGCTTTCACCGCGTATGCCCTTGTATGTAATCACGCAGTTCCTCATTTTCCCACTTTCGCACTCCGCAAGCCTCGGTCTAACACCTTTCCCGGTCCATAAGTCTAACATCCTACAACGGTCGTCGAATTGCGCTGCTTCGGTCGGCAGACGTGGAAGCGTGCATGTCTCACCCGCCCGCTGGCGACATCAATTCTTCGCGAAGCGGTGCACCGACCTCCATGCTTTCTTTCCGAGTCGCTTCCAAGCCATCATCACCACTGATCACACCGTTCTCCTCATCGTCGTTCTCCGCCCTATCATAGCGATTGTGCCACTGGTTGTCTCGTCATACATCGTGTAGAGGCCTGACGACAGCCAAACCACATCTTCCATCATGGAGTCGATATCCACACACCCCAGCAACCTGTCGCGGAGGCCCTCTGCTGCTGCTCCAAGGTCGACACGTTTCACTGCATACCTCGCCACCCTCCTCGCCCTCCTCCTGCTCACCCTCACCACCGTCTCCGCCTCGTCCAAAAACATCCAGATGCGCGAGATGGACTCGGACGCCATTGTCCCTCTTCGTTCCCACTCCCTCTACGCCCCCTACGTCGACTCGAACCTCCAAAACAAATTCTGGGACTTCGGAGCGGACGCCATCGTCGACACCAACAAGCACATCCGACTCACCCAAGACCGTCCTCATCAGATGGGCTGGTTGTGGACGCGCTTGCCTTTGACCGCCGAAAACTTTGAGGTGGTGTTCGAGTTCAAAGTTGCGGGTCATGCAAGTCACGTTGCTGGCGACGGAATGGCGATGTGGTTGACCCAAGAGAGGGCGAAGCCAGGCCCTGTGTTCGGCAGCGTCAACTACTTTACCGGGCTGGGCATCTTTTTGGATACATATCCCAATTCGCGGCATCCATACAGCTTTCCACGGGTCAGCATTATGAATGGCAACGGCGTGGAGGCGTATGAGAACGACAAGGATGGTGCGCGTCAGGAAGTGGCCGGTTGCTCGATCGATTACCGAAACGCAAAGGTGGCGACCAAGGGCAAACTCATCCATGTCAAGGACGTTTACACGGAGTTGCAGATCCATCATTCCGAATGGGATCATTGGGAATCCTGTTTCAAGCTGGACAACATCACTCTTCCGCTCAACCCCTACCTCGGCTTCTCCGCCCTCACAGGCGACGTCAGCGACAACCACGACCTCGTGTCGGTGACAACGAGTAACATCGTTTATCGCAATCGCACACCGGCACAGCTTAGGGAGGAGCGCATCAAGCACTTCCCCGAGAAATTCGGCGTCAAGCCCAAGAAGAAAGGCTGGTCGTTCGGCGGCAATACCAAGGGGCATTCGAGCGACGTCAGCAGTCCGCACGCCAAGAGCAGCGGCTCAGGAGGGCTGGTAGGAGCCATCAAGGCGCTTTTCGGCTTTTTGTTCTTTTTGATCAAATGGTCGCTCATCTTGGCAGCGGTGGGCGCGCTCGGCATGCTAGGCTGGCAATGGAGGAAGAGGCAGAACATGAAACGCTTCTGAAATCACATCGCAATCAAACACACATCGTCCAAAAATGGCTGTTGCATTAGGAGTAGTGTGCGAGTTGTTGGATGAGCAATGTGGCCAACGTGTCCAGGTCGACGGCCAGCGGCTTGGTGGTGAGCCTGACGCCGGTGCTTTTTGGCGATGCGGTGAATTGGACACTGAGCAAGCTGGGCTGGCTAAACGTGAGCGTGGCGACCAGCCGCTGCGAGCCACTAGCGTGCACAAAGACCTTAGCGTGACCCTGGAGAGCGTCCAACCTCGCCGGCTCTTGCTCTGGTCTGCGTTCTCGAGGGTAAGCCAGGGACGGCGTAGCGTCGACCATGCCACCCAGCACGCGCGTGAGCTGGGTCAACGACCCACCCGAACCCATCACGGGCACCAGCTGCACCTTGACCTCGACACCTCTCTCCAGCGACTTCGCCTGCACGTCCTGTAACGTCTTCCCAAGCCGATGAACGAAGGACCAGTAGTGCAGCCCGACCATCACGGGTCCCACCGTGTCCAGCCTGCTCAACGCTGCGCTGGTCGATTTGCCTCCCGCCGCACCGCCTTTCGCGTCGCTCTTACCGGTGCCAGCCGACGCAGACTTTTTGGGCACCGCCAGCGCTCCTGCTTTGATCCCCGCCGCTCGCGCAGCTGCATCGCTTCGCCGACCCAGCTCCGTCGCGGCAACAAAGGCCTGGTACTTGCGCAAAGGGCCGAGTCGCAGGAACGCCAGTAGAAGCGCGGCGTGCGGTGCATATGCCGGAGCTGCCTCGGGTGTCGCTTCCGCCTCTGGGGAGGGTGGAGCTTCCGCTGTCGAGTCTGTTGTGGGCACAAGCTCGACGACCAAATCGAGTCGCTTGGTGAGGACGATGCGCACGGAGCTCGAGGTCAACCTCACCCCAAATGCCGGGGGCAACAGTCGAGCTTGGGCGACCACATCGCCGAACACGAGCTCGTCGGTTGCTTCGCGCGACGCTTGCTGCAGCTCCTGATCCAGGATCTGGCCTGCTACCACCGGTCCTTGCTTCTCGTCGCCGCTCACGCCGGGCGACGCATCGCTCGACCACTCCATCCTTCCCCCCTCCTGCTTCCCACCCGAACCATTCGAGACGGTCGACGACGAAGCCGGCCACAGAACGAACCGCACCCGAAGTCGACGATGCATCCTATCGGGAAACACCAGTTTCTTCTTCACATCCTCCGCCGTCGAACCACCTGTGGATGCTGGCAAGTCGGCCCAATACGCGATGCTCCGTCTCCTCAACTCGATCGGCGCCTCGGGCAGTCCAAATCCAACCCACGCATCCCTCGCACCTTCCTCCTTGACCTTCCCATCCGAGCTCACGAGGGGGGTGCCGAAACCTTGCAGTCCCGCAGCAGCGCTCTTCTTCTTGGCTTCTCCTTTCGTCGAGGCCCCGGATGTTTCGTTTGCCTCTTCGTCGTCGATCGTGCTGACCCCGAAACGTTCTACGTCCAGAAGGGGTCGACCGGGTGTCATTCCCCACCCTCGACTGTGCAGACCGATGAGACTCCTCCATCGCTCGCGATTCCCCGCCTGACTCCGTCGCAGCTCGCCCGCCGCATCGTCCAGCAGCTCCGCGGCATTTCGGATCGCAGACCGCTTCGTTTCCAGTACGACCTTGAACTCGCGCAACTTGTTCTCCTTCCACCCTGCCGCCGCCTCGAGCTCCCGCCTTGCCTGCTTGAGCGCATAATCTGAGCTGGTGGGATCCACGTCGTACTCGTCCTCCTCCTCGTCGTCGGCGTCGGTGGGGATCTCGCGTCGGACGGCAGTACTGCTGTTGAGGCTGGTGCGCGAGAGTGCGATGGCGAGCGCATCGAGTACGAACTCCTCTTCCCGATTCCCCGTTTGAAGGTGTGCGAAGATTCCCAGTGGGGCTTTGACCGGAGCGGTGGTGGAGGAGCGGGTGGATTGACCGCCGACACTGGGGGCGGGGGAACCCATCCTTGCCGCTGCTCCTCCGCTCGTTGAGGACGAAGACCGATGTTGTTTCAATAGCATCCCTAGGAGCTGGTGTGCATGGATGGAGTTGAAGTGCGCCACGTCGAGACTGGCTAGCACTTTGTTACGAAGATTGACAAATTCGCTTTCCGCGATGGTTCCACCCACTCTCTCGTCGGTCTTCCTCAAGAGACCTTCTTCGTCGTCCTTCGGTGGCGCCACTTCGTCCTCCTCGTCATCGCTCTCGGCGGTGGAGTCGACCTCGCGAACCCGTTTGAGATCCTCCGAACGGAAGCGCGAGAAGTCGCCCCGTTCGGCCCACAGTCGTCGAACATCCTCGCTCAGCTGCGCACCCGCCGGCTTGCGTTGTGCAAAGACATTCGTTCCGTCCGCGAGGACGTCCGTCAGCGTGCGCTCGCGTTCAAATGTAGACGAAGATGATGTGTAGATGTGCACCGGCTCGATGGTCAGGGGGATCTCTTTGAACGTCGATGGACCTGCCTCGGTGGAAGATGACATGGCTGACTACGAAGCTCTCCGGAGAGTTGTGAGTCGGGGGAGAATCGGGTGTGGATCGCTGTCTATGAATGTTGCATTGTGCGGTCGAGCAGAAAGTTGCAAGCGACGTGATCGAAGGGTCTCGGGCCGACAGAAACGATTCTAGAGGTGCGTAAAAGGAGCTGGGGAGTGACGACGTGGTGGTCCAACTTGGGAACGGAAGATACCAGGTGAAGATCTTTACACGAGTGCTGTGCGGACAACGGTGGAATTAACCTCGATAGGGCCCGAGCAGGTGATGAGAGGTGAATGCAGAGGTCTCGCGTACACTTCCGTCTTTGTGTTCCGTGTAGATACTGGTCGTTCGGCGAGCAATCTGGAAAGTAATGGTGGTGGTAGCTGTTCAAGTCAACGACGCCAAAGAGCATTTCTTCTTGATTGTCCGTGCAGAGGCCTGTTGTTTATTTAATTTATTTTTTATTCCCGCTTGCTCATCATGCGTCCACGAAGTGCTCCCACCATCTCAAATGCACACGTTCGAGCAGATGCTTTTCACCTTTCTTACTCGTCATGATCCACACCAAGCCTCTAGCATTGCAGGTCCGAGCCTCGATGGGTACACTGAGCAACTCTCACGCCCACTCCCCACTCCCTACCGCGGCACTCTCCCCCAACTCCCTCTCGACAACCCGTCTCTCGACGAACCTCCTCCCTTCATGCAGCACAAAACTAACCCCTGCAATAGCGGCCAGGAACACTAAATCCCCCAACGCCAGCCCCGTCGTTTGAAACACCCCCTGCAAAGGAGGCAGATAGACCATCCCCAGTTGTGCGACCAAGGAGATGCTCACTGTCAATCCTAGCATTCTGTTCGCCGTAATCGCCGTGTACAGGCCACGGTTTTGGACGGCGGACACAAGGTCGAGAAAGACGAAGCAGGTGAAGGTCATAGTGCTGTCTCTTTGGTCTGCAACTTTTTCGGTGTGCGCGCCGTCGTGCAGCGGGAGGCCGATGTCGGCAGGAACCAGTTCGTGAATGTACACGTACAGTGTACCAAGGACGACCATGGTAGCGCTGAAACCGATGCGGTAGAATAGGCGCCTGTTGAGAACCGGTGCGTTTTTAACGCGGGGCGGTCGCGACATGACGCTCTTGCGATCCACAGGATCCACCCCGAGACTCTGACTCGGTGGACCGTCCATGAGGATGTTGATGAACAGAATCTGCATCGCATTGAGCGGCAGCTTCAGCCGGAAGGCCGTGCTGAGTGTGATCAGCGTCAAAGCTGCGACAGCCGTGGAAAGCTGGAAGGACAGAAAGTTTTGGATGTTGAGGAAGATCCCTTTTCCTTCTTCGACGGCCGAAAGGATGGTGGCAAAATTGTCGTCGACCAGGATGACGTCCGCTGCTTCCTTGGCGACGTCCGTGCCGCCTTTTCCCATGCTGATGCCGATGTCGGCCATCTTGAGTGCAGGAGCATCGTTGACTCCGTCGCCTGTCATGGCAACGACAGCACCGGCGGACTGCAGAGCGGAGATGATGGACATCTTGTGCCTCGGGGTCGTGCGTGCAAACACCGATATCGATGGAATGCGTTCTTGTAGCTGGCGTTCGGTGAGCGCGTCGATCTGACGACCTGTCAGCACCCCCGTTGTAGAGGCTGAGGATGACGGGGACAGAATGCCGAGCTGCTTCGCCATGGCTACAGCCGTGACCTCAGAATCGCCCGTGATCATGACGACCTGTACACCACCGCGAGCCAGCTGTGCAATGGCCTCTTTGACGCCTGGCCTGGGAGGATCCTGCATGGCCTGCAAGCCCGAAAAAGTCAGTGTGCGCGAGTCGAGACTGCCGCTCGGACCCGAGGCAAATGCGATGACTCTGAGTCCTTGACTGGACAGCTTCTCAGACGCCTCTGTGACCTTCTTCTTCCAGCTTTCGTCCAGTCGCACTGGTGACCCATCTGCGCCCAGAATGGAACTGCTCTTCGCCAGGAGAACCTCCAAGGCGCCTTTGACGTAGACCGCCTCGCCAGCGCCTGCTCCGCCTGTGCTTAGCACGCCAGTGACTGACATGTACTTGGTCTCCGAGTCGAATGCGACCTCTGCGCTTCTCTTGAAGTAAGGCCTTTGGTCTTCGAGTCCAAAAATTTTCAGGATGTTGACCAAAGCGACGTCGGTTGCCTGACCCACGTTTGTTCCAAGCTCGTTCCTGTGAGAGTTGTTGCAGACATTGCCAGTAAGCAGTGCTCTGGACAAAGCTTGCGAATGCTTGTGCGACATGTGATCCGCAACGTCGATGATCCCATCCTCGGCAGTCCAGCATTTGGTGACCGTCATCTCGTTGGTGGTCAGTGTCCCCGTCTTGTCGGAGCAGACCACCGATACCGAGCCGAGCGTCTCGACCGATGGCAGCTTCTTGACGATGGCCTTGCGGTGCGACATGCGCAATACACCGAGCGCCAGCGTGACGGTGACGACGATGGGAAGCCCTTCCGGAATAGCTGCCACAGCTAGAGACACGCCGATGGTGAACATCTCCAGCCAAGGTCGATGCTGCCACACCCCCATCAAGCAGATGACGGCGATGACGGCGAAGCTGATCATGCTGAGCTTCTTGGCGAGCTCGTCCATGTTGAGTTGAAGCGGCGTGCGTTTCTCTTCCACCTCGTCGACCATGCTGAAGATCATACCGAACTCGGTGGTGACGCCTGTGCCGACGACGATGCCTTTGCCGTGGCCGGACTTGACGAGAGTGCCCATGAAGGCGATGTTCTCACGCTCATTGATGGATGTCGTCTCGGATGCATTGGCGTTGGTTCCATTGGCAGCGTGGCCGTTGGCACCGTTTGCCTCGCCAGTCGGTGTGGCTCCGCCCCTCGGTACGATGTCGGCATGCTTTCTGCGTGGCTTGATCTCTCCCGTCAAGGTGCTCTCGTCCACCTCGAGGGAGACACATTCGCAGATCCTGACATCTGCTGGTATCCTGTCGCCCGTGCTGAATGTGACGACGTCGCCTGGGACAAGCTCGTTGGCCAGAACGCTGGACGTGACGCCTTCGCGGATGAGATGGCAGTAGTGCGGAACGAGCTTGTTGAGCGCCTCGAGCGACTTTTCGGACTTTTGCTCTTGGTAGAAGGCGACGCTGATGACGATGATCATGGCGATGGTGATGCTGACGGCGTCGTCAATCTGACCTATCAACAGGCTGACGGCAGCACTGGCGAGCAAGAGCAGGATCAGGGGCTCCTGGAATTGAGCTAAGAACTTCTTCCAGGGCTCGTCGCCAGCGCGGACGGCAAACTCGTTGTAGCCGCCCGCCTCGAGCCTGGCTTCGTGGACTAGGAGCGGTGACAGGCCCGACTCGAGAGAAGGGCAGTGAAGAGCCTCGAGACACTGCTGCACCGAAAGATGCGTGAAGCGCGCGGAGGCAGAGAGGTCGGCGTAGATGGAGGAAGATGAGGATGATGAGGGGACGCCGACCCGCTGTACTTCGATCGATGCGCCCTTCCGAATGGATGCGTCCGAGTCGTGGTGCTTGTGTGACCTGCCACGCGAAGGAGACCCGAATGTTGGCGGGTATGCGTTGTGGTCTCCTGCACCATGGCCGTATGGTTCGTCTGGATTCGCCTTGCGAAGTGTAGTGCTGAATGCAAACTGGTCCGGTGGTGGCAGCTCGGATGTAGAGGGGGGTATTGATGCGGTGTTGAGATCGTACTCCGAGGCGGAGAGACCACGATATCGGTGCGGTCCAACCATGGTGGGTTTGCACGAAGCCGTGCGCGTGATCGATGTCGCCTTGCTATCGGACGATGAGAGGTATTATAAGAGTGATCGCATGATGTGAGTCGAGAGTAGAGGCAGTTGATGACAGTAAGTTGGGAAGAGTGAGAGAGCAACAGCAAGAGGGATGGTGATGGCCGAGCACGGGGTCGAGACACGCTGTTGAGGAGTCCGAGAGTCTGTGCTCCGACAGCGCGCTCTATTTAGCCACACCAGTGTGCCTGTTTGCGGTGTGCATGTGCGCGTTTTGGTCTGGACCAACACTTTGACTTGTCAGCTGAGAAGAACACCTGAAAAAAAAGGTTTCCCGTCTTACTGGAACGTGGGCCCACACCCTCACAGCACCCAGCCTTTACCTCTCGCGCTACACCGCAGAGCTCAGTGCACAGATACATCGCGAATCGCTGTTCAGCCTCTCGTGGACTTCCGGGCCATGTCTTTGCAGTCTAGCAAAGTGTATGAAGAACGAGTTACGCAGACAGCAGATGGCTAAAAGTACAGGTGAGACTTCGAAGAGGCTGGGAAAAGGGTGCAAGAAAAAGGGCACAGAAATGGCGACCTGATTGTCAAGGTGAAGGCGAGGAGGTAACAATGGATGAGGTGTAGGGCAATGCAGGTCTCGTCTTGGTCGCCCGATGCTCTGGTCGATCGTCAGCAGAGTAAGATGGACGCAGTGCGCTACCTTACCCATCGCCTCTGACAAAGTGAGCGGATGCCCTTGCGTGAAGGGCCCTCCCATCCGCTGAGCGAAACCGAGAGACAAGGAGAATGAAGACGGCGCTCGTACTCCTCCAGTCCGACCGCAGAGCCGTCCACCACCATGTCCCCGCGCTCAGCGCATGAGCAAGTACACATTGGACCCAATGGTAATGTTGCTCATATGCCTGAAGTTACCCGTAAGCGCCATCATCAGTCCGCCAAAGGACCCGTACACCGTCACCTCATCAGCCACCTTCTCGTCGTATCGGTAGATCTTGCCGAACATGACGTAGTCAAAGTCGTCCGCAATGCCGCCGTTGCCGGGCTGGTCGAGCCTCCATGCGTCGCGTTCTGCCGCCTGCGATGCTGCATCCTGCGTCTCACCGTCGGCGCCGTCTGCGAGCTTGCTTGCTGCTGTCTCCTTTTTCAGCGTCGATGCAAGTTGGAATGTGAGCTGCTGTCCTTCTGAAACGGGCCAGACATCGGTCGCAATGTCGATCGAGAGCGTCATCTCGAGTGATGGTGATGATGCGATGATTCGCGAGACTGCAGGGAGAAGGAAGGAAGATAGAAGTCAGCTTAGAGGTCCGTGGCATCAATGTAGCGACGACGACATTCCTTAAAAGGACGTTTGTGTCGGGTTGCCCCTTGGGGCATACGCACCTCGATCAAACTTCTTTCCATCTGGGTCAATCTGGTTGACGACAAATTGCGTGTCGAAGAGGTTGGTGGGATCCATCTTTGGAGTATGTGCCGGTGCAGTCGGATGCTGATGATGAGGTTGAGGCCTTGGTTGTTCGGAGCGACGCTGTCGTGAACAATCGTTCGAAGGGTGGATATGCGATGGGCGGGTTGGTGGATGGTCGTGATCAATGGTGATGAGCGGTCGAGATGGTCGACTCGTTGGATTCTTCCTGAGAATTTGCGCAGATTTCTCGGAACTCGCACAGTTTGTGTCAGATCGGCCTCTTTGAATCGGGCGCAGCTGGCACAGGAAGCTGAGCCTCGGCTGTGCTTACCGTCCAAGACCCTGAATTGGCCGTCTGGCTTGTACGCTGACAGGCTGCTCTGAATCGGCGGCTAGACAAACCCCTCTTCCGGTCAATTTCAACCACCGTTGCTCGTCATCATCATCTTACACCGTCCTTGCAGGCGTGCACCAACCTGCCCCCAACACCACCATCATCGTCACAACGGTTTTTGACTCCAATTTCGCGGCACCATGTCAGCCGAACCGGGTCCATCGGTCGCCAACCTCTCCTCCACCCCCTCCTCCACCCGCGGCGGCGAAGCATCATGGTACGACTCGATGCTCTCCCATCTCTCCACGCCGCCTACCTGGCCGGCGGACAAAGAAACCGCCATCCTCGAGCCGTACACCTATCTGGACGCCAATCCGGGCAAGGAAGTGCGCACGAAGCTCATCGAGGCGTTCAACGTCTGGCTCGTCGTACCTCCTCGAAAGCTCGATGCGATCTGCAACGTCGTGCGCATGCTCCACACCGCGAGCTTGCTCATGGACGACGTCGAGGACAATTCCGACTTACGTCGTGGCATTCCTGTCGCACACAAGATCTACGGTGTTCCTCAAACGATCAACACCGCCAACTACGTCTACTTTTTGGTCTTCAGCGAGATTTTCAGCATGAACGCCTCGACCAGCGGAACGAGCTCCCCACCTCTCAGCAACTCGATAGCAAAGACAACGGTGGAACGGCTCGTAGTGGACGAACTGATCAATCTCCATCGTGGTCAGGGGATGGACTTGCTCTGGAGAGACAGTCTCATCTGTCCCACGGAGGAGGAGTATGTCGAGATGGTGAACAACAAAACAGGGGGGTTGTTTCGGATCGCCGTCAAGCTCATGCTCTCCCAATCTCCCTCGGCGCGCTCGACGGGCTTTCCGGATTTGATACCCGTGGTCAATCTGATCGGACTGCTCTTTCAGATTCTGGACGACTTTATGAATCTGCAGAGCAGCAAGTATGCAGAAAATAAGGGCTTTGCAGAGGATCTGACGGAGGGCAAGTTCAGTTTTCCCATCATCCATTCGATTCGAGCGAGTGTCGGGTCGAGTAGCGGAGACACTGTCTCGAGTGGCAGCAGCAAAGGCGGAACCGCGACAGGAGTCAATGCGCCAAATCCAACCGAAGCAAAGAGTGGCGCAGGAGGCAACAGGCAGATCCTCAACGTGCTCAAACAGCGACCTACGGATCTGGCCACCAAACAGTACGCCGTCTCGTACATGCGCAACGTCACAAAGTCGTTCGAGTACACCACCGACGTTCTCGAGCGTTTGTACGCCCAGGCGCAAAAGGAGATCCAACGCCTCGAGAATCAACTTGGCATTCCCAACCCGGGACTCAAAGCCATTCTCGAGGCGCTCAAAAGCAGTTGGCAGTCTGCATAACATACCCATCCCTCATTGGCAATCACACATCGCATACTTCCGAGAAAGATTGAAACCTGTGTGTGTGGAGTTACAACTTTGCCTTTGCCCCCTCTGCATCTTCCCTCTTCCGCACCTGCGCCATCTTCAACAGCGCATACAGCGTCTGCAACCTCGGCATCTCCCATCCATCCCTCCTGGCAATCCTTAACGGGTTTCCCAGAATGACCTCCAACTCCATCGGTCTCCCCGCCTGCCAGTCCAACAACATGCTCGGTTTGCCGCTCGTGTTCCTCTCCGTAGACTTGAGGATGCGTTCGGGGCTAGCGTGCTTTTTCTCGTCAAACTCGATACCCAAGATCTTTGGTGCGGTGAGAAAGATTTCGTCCATACATGCGCGGAGGTGCGTGCGAAGTTCGGGGTCGAGTGCCATGCGACTGTTGGTGGTTCCGCCGGAGAGGACCGAGGAGGGGTTCATGGATGCGTTGATGCACAGCTTGTGCCATCGGGTTTGTTGGAGGCTGAGCTCGGGCGAGAACTCGGCGTCTTTGATGCCGGTTGCGCTGAACCATGCTACAAGATTCTTGATGTGGGTGTCTGTCGTTGAAGTGAGTTTGGACAGCAAAGCGGAATCCGAGAGGAGAGAGTTGGGTTTGGCCTGACCATTGGTGTACGTGCCCATGGTGATCCTCGTCCATCGATTCTGCTTGATGACGCCGTGTTTGATCTGCTCCGCGCTAATCACGGTCACCGCAGACACAATCGGGTTCTCCCCATACGCCACACGATGCACCTCCTCAATCCCCACACCATTCTGGATGAGAACAATGCAGCTCCCCTCCACCCCACGCTTGACCACAGGTCGAATGTCGTGCGCATCATTCGTCACATCCGGCAACGCCTTCGTCGTCACCACCACATAGTCCCAGTCGATCCCCGCTTCACCCGCCTCAGGGATCGACGAGAACACTTTGTGCGGTGTAAAGTGGTAGTCGCCAAACGAGTGCGTCTGGAGCGAAACACCGTTGGCGGCGATAGCGGCGTAGTTGGAGCGACAGACGAGCGAGACGAGGATCTGACGTTCCGAGTGGGTCTGGTGAAGCTTGGAGGCATAGAAGCAGCCGACGGCTCCAGCGCCCACGATGAGGATGTGCACTGGCTTGCTCATGGTGCACAGGTGAGCAGATGGTGGAAGTGAGTCAAGGAGAGGGGACGTGCGAATAGCCGGGCAATTCTCACATTTTGGCTCGGCCGTCAATTCCAGCTTTCTCGCCGCACGATGCAAAGCCGCGAGACAAGACCCGAATCACCCTTCAACGATGTCGCATACACTGGCCCTTTTGACGCTACAGCAATCTCATCATCGAAAGCGACTCGAGCACCCCTCTCTTGGGATTGTCACAGCTCGAAGGTCGGCGGCTGCGAGGTCCGCCAGCCTATCGCGAACATTGTGTTTCAAAGACGATGAATTGCCGTGACAGGAAGACGAGAACGGAGAACAGATGATGTGATGTACATGCAAATGGGAGGTCTAGCAGGGGTCAAGTCGATCGAGAGTAGGTGGTCGCAGTGGCACAAGATGTGGCATCCTGCGCTGATCTGGGCTCTTTCGGGAGTCCCGCATCCAAGCTATCGCATCCTACGCTGTCTTGACCGGCATCAGAGCGTCAAGTTGTACTCGTACTCGCTCTCGGTGTTCTGGCTCAACCACAGCAGCACTGTCGAAAACATGATGCAAGCGTTCTGCACCACGTTTGCTACGCCATAGTACTCGTATCCCTCTGGCAGGTAGGGCACGAGGTACTTCACGGTGAGAACGGTGATACTCCCCGCCAAGCCGCCAGCCATCAATGCGAATCCGATGAACAGGAACAGTCTTGCTCTCCACTGGACGCTGTCACCCGAGAAGCCGCCTCCGCCGCCAAAGGAGAAGGCGGCGCCGACGTCGGTGAGGTGCTGCTTGTCGATGAGGTTGACGACGACCATGCCGAGTGTGCCGCAGAGACCAGGTACCCAGTCGGCGAAAGTGATGTAGGTCGCTGGTGGTTCGTAGGGGACAGTGGGATCTTTGGGCACGCGACGACGCATGGACGAGATGATGGTGGCATCGAGGAAGAACCACCAGCCGAGAGCGAAGAGCGCACCGGAGAGGTAGATGCCGAATTGGCGCTTGCTCGTCTGGATGAAGGCGGGAAGTTGCGGAAGCGGAATGAGGCATACCCGCCTTGGATCGTAGGATCGTCTTGGAAGCGACATGTCTGAGAAGAGCGAAGCCTTTGCTGAGGTGGACGAGGGTGTTGAAATGGATGGATGGATCAAGCAGCTGATCGCAGAGGCCTAGCTGATGCTTGATGTTCGACTCGTCCTGGCAGAACGCTACTCGCTGATGGCGCTGTGCTGCTCCTCGGTATGAATCTTGCCGAGGGTTTGGGATGACCGTGATGCCGCCTTGTCCTGATGGAGCGATCACTTCAAAAAGGTAGGAAGCGGGCGGTGCACGGTGGGTGGGCAATCGTGATTGCGAAGGTGTGGAGGCGAATGCGCGATTCGCGGAGCCGACCTCGACCCTGTTCAATATCCTGATAGAGGAGTTGAAGACAGGGTCTAACAAAGGACAAAGAACTTCGCTCATCATCAAGTTGTGAGACCAGCTGTGTGTTTACACCTGAAGGTTTGGCTTGTACGCCATCGCAATCGCTTGTATACATCAGCAGGTCGTGCTGAGAGGTCTGTCAGACAAGCATATGGCGCGTGCGCAGTGTTATCCGCTTTCGGCGGCAAGTTGAGCAAGCCACGGCATAGCGTTGTTCTAAGCGAGAATTGGCATCTGCAGCTGCTTCAGATGGATGCGGTCGAGTATTCGTGGCGCGCTTCTCTGTCGCGCTGTGCAGCTGCATTTTATGTTGGCCAGAAATGAGGCTTTCAGACCGTGTTTCTCGCTAGCAATTTGGGTCTTGCGGTTGGCGCATTCCGTGTCATCGCTGAAGCTATTGCTTGCGTTCGATTGCAGCAGCTTGGACAGTGACGGAGAGCAGAGCACCTTTCATCTGAACGTCGTATGGACGAGGTACGGATCACTGACACGACGGCGATGGATTGACAGCTGCAAGAAGGCCAATTTGGCAGAACAAAAGCGGCTCGAGGCTGTTGCAATTGCATCTGCCAAAAGCGGAGCCAAAGGACGGTGAATGGTAAAATTGAAATTGCAGCGCTTTCTAGCCGCACAGTCCATTTGGGAAGCGAGGCAGGCAGCCAGCCAGCCATCCAGCCAAGCACCCGACATTTTAGACCCAATTGGGGGCATTTTCGAGGTTAGATAGAGACGCCAACCAACTTTGACAAGCTCGCACGGTCTTCATTCAGTCATTTCTCATTTCGGCCTTGGGCGCTGTTTGCTCACCCTCTCTCTCTCTCTCCTCATCTTCATTCTCAATCCTGTCTGTCTTCGTAGCTCAAGCTTTGATCTTCACTCCATCTTGCAAGCTTCCGCAATCACCACCACCATCACCATTCCTTCACCTCGACCGCGGATACCCTCTATCGCTTTCCACCGCTGGAAACATTCAACCCTCCGCATCCCAATCGTTCGCGCTAGCCATCTCACAAGCTCGAGCCGATCGAGATCATCCTGGTCTTCCTTCTCACAGTCTTGATCTTTGCACACTCCCACCTCTGGATCACATTGCCGCCATCGTGACCGTCATCAAACGAAAGGCTTCCGGCGATCTCGAATCGGCCCCTCTCCCTACAAAGCAAAACGCTTCCCGCCTCTCTCCACTTGCTCCGTCTCACCACGCCAATTCGGCCAGCTCGCCCCTTCACATCCTCACGGACCTGGAAAAGGATCCTCTCCTCCAGCTCTCCACCAGCCCCACGCCTACTTTAAACATGGCCGCCCTTCCACAAACCGCCGACTACTCGGCTACACACGAAGCTGCCGTCGCCGCAGCCGCAGCAGCAGCGGGCGCATCCTCATCACATCCCTCGTCCGATGCCAAGCAGCCTGCACCGGCCCACGTCGCCAGCGCCAACTCGGCGGGCACCTACAGCTCCTCCTCGCTTCCACTTGCCATCGCCGCTCAGCAACGCAAATTGTCCGGTCGCTATGCGCTCGCCGATTTCGCCGTCGAGCGCACTCTAGGCACGGGCAGTTTCGGTCGTGTCCATCTCGTCCGCTCGCGCCACAACCACCGCTTCTACGCCATCAAGGTGCTGCGCAAGGAGCAGGTGGTCAAGATGAAGCAGGTCGAGCACACCAATTCCGAACGTGCCATCCTGTCCATTGTGCGTCACCCTTTCCTCGTCAACCTCTGGGGCACGTTCAAGGATTCCACCTTCCTCTATATGGTCATGGACTATGTTCCTGGTGGCGAGCTGTTCACGCTTTTGCGCAAGTCACAGCGATTCCCGCACCCAGTGGCCAAGTTCTACGCCGCCGAAGTGGCGCTCGCCATCGACTACCTGCATCAGAACAACATCATCTATCGAGACTTGAAACCGGAAAACATCCTGCTGTCCGCGGACGGTCATCTCAAGATTACGGACTTTGGGTTCGCGAAGTACGTTCCGGATGTCACCTGGACGTTGTGTGGTACACCGGACTACCTTGCGCCCGAGATTGTCAGCAGTAAAGGATACAACAAGTCGGTGGACTGGTGGGCGCTCGGCGTTCTGCTGTACGAAATGCTCGCCGGTCACCCACCCTTCTTCACGGAAGATGGAAACCCGATCAAGTTGTACGAGAAGATCATCGCATGCAAAGTGCGATATCCACCGTACTTCGAGACTGGGGTTAAAGATCTGCTCAAGAACCTCCTCACCGCCGACCTCTCCAAACGGTACGGAAACCTTCGTCGTGGAAGCAAGGACATCTTCGGTCACATGTGGTTCGCCGAAGTCGACTGGGATAGGCTGTACAGGCGCGAAATTCCCGCACCCTACCTGCCGACCGTTACGGCCGATGGTGATAGTAGCCAGTTCGAGAGGTATCCGGAAAACGATGTCACCGAATACGACCGTACGGATCTGCCGGACAATTTGGGTCATTTGTTCCCCGATTTTTAGTCTTTTTCAATGGAGTTCATCTCTTCTTATTGCATGTGAGCTTCAAAGGTCGCCATGAGCGTTCTTTGCAGCAGCAGCGGCAGCTCGAGGACCCTTGATCTCCAGCAACTCGACTGTTCCACGTCAACCTGGGTCAGCATGTGTACCGTAAATGAAGGGTAAGGAGGGGGAGGGGCTTACCTTCGAAGATCAAGTGCGCATTGGGGGGGATGGTGCCACCGGCACCACGTGCGCCGTATCCGTCCGAGGGGGGAATCTTGAGTTTGCGCTTCTCGCCCACGCACATGTCGCGCAAACCTTTGTCCCAGCCTTTGATCACTTGGCCCACTCCCACTGGCAGAGCGTTGCGGAGAGAAGATATCAGAACGGGTCAGTACGAGGCGGAGAAATGAGAGGACGGTGAAGGGGGATCGGGGGTTGCTTACGGGTGAACTCGAAGGGCTGACCGCGGTCGAGGGAGGAATCAAACTTGGTGCCGTCCGCCTGTTTGTCCAGAATTCATCAGCATCTCTCTCTTTTCTCTCGCTCAACTTTCGAAAAGGAGCTACTTACGAGCGTTCCAGTGTAGTGCCTGTGCCATCACCACAACCTATATCAGCCATGTCTTCTTCGTATCGAAAGTAGGGAGGGAACTCACATGGCTAGCAAGTCGCCAGCGTGGCTCTTGTCGTCGCACTTGTCCGGACGATACTTGACGCCGACCTGCAGCTTGTCCGGCAAACCGCTGTTGGCCGACACCACACCGGCGGCCATAGCGACGGCGGCGATCGAGAGCGTTGCGAACTTCATTCTTGTTGTTGGAAGGGCAAGGTGGGGAAGAAGGAAGCGGGTTCAAGGGTCTGTGCGGAGTTTATGTGGGCTACGTGGAGTGTTGGACCCTTCTTGCCGGCCGAAAGGGGTTCTCCACACCTAGCAAGCTGCACAGGTGCATTTTGAACTTTTTTGGTGGTGAACATCATCTTAGGACAAGCATCATCCGACCACCATCCGTTCAACCATCCTACTACCATCCAACGCTATTCCGTCCAGCGCAGTCGCACTACCATCTGATTCGACATCGCAGCGATCCACACTTGTGCAAAACCCCATCACTTTTCCTCCTTGCAAGCTGCCGGCCGTTGAACAAATCCTGCTCCACCAACTGTCACATCCAGTGCCCGCACTCGGAAAGCTGGCAAGCCCCGTGCTGAATTATGTCCACAGCCCACCGACCCAACTGGGCCGCCGCCAAGGGACGCGAATCCAAAGCGCACCTCTCCGCCCAACGTACCGTGCAGGACATTGCGCAGCATACCAAGCTCAAGTTTCGTGCGCCTGCGCAAGCCTCTTCGACGGCGTCCGGAAGCGAGAGTGGGGGGAGGCGGGATTTGAAGCGGGAGCTGGAGAGTGCAGAGTGGGCGGCGCGGAACGTCAAGAGGGCGAGAGAGGGGCTGGAGCCTCTAACCCGAGCAGATGAGGAGGTGGAGGGGGAGGAGGGGAAGAGGAGAGCGGCGATACAGGCCGCCTTGGAGCTCGATAAGGACTCTGACGCCGACTCCTCCTCCGACGATGACGACGACGATGAGGAGGGGAAGGAGCGGTCGAAATCGCCCTCCGCTGGTCAGATCAAGGAAGAGAGCGACGACGGTGACGAGAGCGATTCGGACGAGGACAGCGACGAAGACGAACAAGCGCTCCTCCTCCGCGAACTCGAAAAGATCCGCTCCGAACGAGCCGCCGAAAAAGCCCGACTGTCCGCCCTTGCCGATTCGACCACCCAGCTTTCCCGCGAACAAGAGATCGCCCAAGGAAACCCCCTGTTGAACCTCCAACACGCCCTCCATGGCTCTGCCGCATCCACAACAACGGAGGCCGAGGAGGGCGATTTCGCAGTTCGCAAACGATGGGATCACGACGTGATCTTCAAGAACCAGGCGGGCGCCGCAGGTAATACGGGTGGAAAGGGAGGGAGTGGGTTCGTCAATGATTTGACCAGGAGCGACTTCCATCGCAAGTTTATGAGCAGATACATTCGATGAGGCGCAGGACAATGAGCAGAACGAGTCGACCATGTATACCCCACCCTCGTCATCGCTCAATCTCAATTGCAACACATTCTCACAGCCTGGTCTCTCGAATCGTGGTCATGGAAACACCTGCGATTGCTTCAAATGCATGTATGTTGGGTCTAAACGACCCCTTCGGAGCGCAAATCCCTCAGCAGGCCAGCTAGGACCGCCGAGTAGACGAAAACAAACTGCCTACCCGTCTGGATCAACGACATCCTCTGCTCGCGTACGCCCTCGACGATGGTCTTGATGAGATCTTCCCCCTGAACGTACGCCTCGTCGGCCGCCTGACTGTTCGACTCCAGCCTTGTATAGTCCCTTGCCTCCAGCACCTGCGCCTCCTCGTGGTTGGCAGGTGTCGAATGGGCCGAGGTATTGGGCGTACCGGCAGTGTGCACATCGAACGAGCTCGTCGAGCCGGCCGAGTTGGACGCCGACATGCTCTCGCCTCGGCTGGTCGCAAGAGGTTTGTGATGACGATCGAATCCAAAGATGCTCGAGGTCGCAGAGGCGTCGAAGGGCGTGGGCTCGTTGCTGCCCGTAATGGTCGAGGTGGATGCATCGCCAGTGGCAGCAGTGGTGGCTTCACTCATCTTGCTGTCGTCGGCAACCGAGCTCTGACCCTGGCTCTGCTGAGCGATGCTGAGGTCGAACGGATTCATAGCCGACATGAGAGCTTCGTCGATCGACTGCGCACCTGAGTCCGAGCCGCTCGGCGAAAGACCATTGGAGCTGGACAGACGAGAGTGCACGCCCGCCGCCGACGAGAAGGACGACCTGGCTGATCCACCGCCGTGGAACGACGGCGTGGACACCTCCGAGAACGGCGACGAGGCTTGACGCCAGGCGTCTTGCGATGACAGCTGCATCGCACCAGGTCGCGGAGGCGACAGCGTGAGATTCGTATCGTAGACGCTGCTGCCCGATCCTCCATCTTGCTGCGGCTGTTGTCGAGGCGAGGTGATGGCCGAATCGTGGCTGGAGGCGTTCTGCATCGCACTGCTCGCGTTTCGCACTCTGGCGGTGGCAAGCGGGTTGAAGCGGAACGTCGGCGAGGTGAACGGGTTCGAGAAGCTGCTCTTGTCGCCGCCAGGCGCAGAGGCCTGCATCGATTGAGTGGAGCGCATCGGTGTATCTCCTGCCTCGCTCCTCACGTTCGCGCCGTTGTCAGCCCTTGCGATGCGGTTGCTATAGCTGCCTGTGCTGCTCAAGCTGCTGCTGAGGTTGCCCGCCGACTCATCGCCGCTTTCATTGGATCGAGTGCGAAACATGGGCGGAGGCGAACTCAGGTCGCGCGCCGAGCTGCTGCTGCCACCGTGGTTGCTTCCAGAGTCGATGTCCATGCCAGTGGGGGACAATTCGCGCTTCAGGCTGCGTCTGGGTGTGCGCGGGAAGCGGTCACCGAGGGGCGAAGAGGGAGCCATCTCCACCTCGGGAGTTCCGTCCGCCATCGACGAGCGAACGGCCGCAGCGAGATTGTTGTCCCATGGCGCAGGCTCTGAGGCGCTGCCGTTCGTCTTCTGCCTGCGTCGGACTCGACGAAGCACATCAAGGGCAGCGTCAATCACAATGAAGGCACCCGTTCGGCCGACCCCTGCCGAGCAATGCACAACCATCGGACCAGCCGACGTGGCTCTGCCCCTGCCTCTCGACCTGCTGACTTCAGAGTCAGCGGCGTTCTGCGCAGAATCGGCGAGATCCATGAGCGTCAGCAGCGACTCGGGCGTCTCAGGAATGTGGTAGTCGGGCCATGCAATGTACTGCAACTGCACGATCCTGCGAGGTGCCGCCTGTGGGTCCGACAGGTTCTTGAGCAGGAAGGTCCTGCGCACAGTGGTAGGCTCGCGCTTGTCATTCTGGCTAGAGGGTTGCTGCGAGGCGGTCTGCGATGGCATGGTCGGGAACAGGGCTCCTCCGTCTTGCTGCTTGTCGTTGTTGAGCACACCGTTGCACTCTTCGGGACGCATCGTCTGTCCAGCCTCGTCCAGGACGACCTCTTCGAGCTTGTTGAGTCGCATCGAATCACCATAGGCAGTGTTGAGCCAGTACGGATGACTCTGCAAACGCCCGCTCTCGTGTTCACGGGTGAGCATGACAATGACGCGGCTGTTCTGCTCCCACACAGCGGTCCAGAAGGCATCAAAGGTGCTTGGCAGCGGCGCTTGGGTTGCAATGTAGCGGCGCTTGCTGCCAAATCGGCGGGGCGGTTCGACAAAGGAGCCGTTGAGGTAATCGGAACCGGCGTCGTGAGCCGACTGCGGCTTGGCGAGGCGCACACGGCTGTGCTCGTAGGTCCAGATATTGTTGTAGCGGTTGTCGGCACCGCGTTCGAGCGCAGCAGCAATGCTGAAGGGGAAAGCCTGAGAGTTGGGATCGAGATGAGCGCCCGAAACGGACGATGATTGCTTGAGCAGTGCCGCAGCCTGTGCGCTGGCGAGGTCCTTGGAGCGAGGGTCGTGATCCGATTCTGCCGAATGCTGTTGCATGGTGGCGATCAGTCGGTTCTGCTCGGCCTTCTCGACATCGAAAAAGGCCTGAGCAAGAGTATGGGCGCGATCGGCTTCCGACATGTGTGCCAGCTTCTGCAGGAAGGGAGGCAACTGAACGACTTGCGACTCGCTCATACTGGGCAACTCCATTGGGATCTTCTCGGTGATGCCGTGCTGCAGTTCGCGGTTCTGACGAATGTTGTCAAAGAACGGATTGGCACAAGCATTGCTAGATCGCTGAGGGCCGTTGTTGCCGTTCTTGCCACCATTCGAGTCCTGCTGACGGCTTGCCAAGTTGAATTTGAAGCCATCGGCGGCGCCTTGCTTTGTATCTTTGACTGGCGACGTGGATGAACCGGGCCAGCCTGCGACAGTGCTTTGCGTTTGGAAAGCCTCCATTGGCAGTCCTCTCGGCTGTACAAGCGACTTGCGCTCTTCATCGGATGATGCAGACGGACTGTCGAAAGAGGGGGTTCCAAGAACGCCGTTGAGGGAAAGGCTAGGCGGCTTGCGACTTTGAACGCCAGCCTGCTTCTCTGTCCGGTTCGAGTCGACACTGCTCGAACTGTCGCTTTCGGAGGGCGTGTTGCGTGCGCCAGTGTCGATGAACTCTTGCGCCTGCTTGGAGCGAGCGAGCCGATTGAAGCCGCCGACAAGCCAGCACAGCTCACCGGCAAAGCCAGCTGCTTCAAACTTTTTCAGCACGCCGATGAGACAAGGACCCCCGCCACCGGCAGTGGCATTACCTGCGCCGTCGATGCGAGTTGTATCGGTGTCAAGAACAATGATCTTGTTGACGCCAGGCTCGTCGGGGAGGCTGATGGTAGCACCGCGCTTACGGACGGCGTCGAGCGAAGCCTCGTCGGTTGCACCTGGCTTGGCATCCGATTTAGGCCTGAGCGGGCCCTTGCGCCAGCGCATGAAACGGCGTCGATCTTGCGTGCTACTAAGCATCTCGTCCTCGATGCGCTCCACGGTGATGGCGGGGCGCTTGAGAAGAGTACTGGGAGCACAAATGTTGATGCTGGACGCCACTCGAGCCATGGAGTACGAGGTGGAGGGGCGAATGTCGAGAATGAGGACGTCTTCGGGCGTCGCGGGTTGAGTGCTGCCGGAGGCGGCTTTGCTCTGCTTTGTCCAGGAGGGTGGCGTTAATACCTGGGCGAGGCCGTCCACATCCAAAGCTTTGAACTTGGAGAGATCGCCCGAAGAAGCGTTGCCTTTCATGTTGGAGGAGGCAGCGGACGCAGGCAGAGGCAAAGAGGCGCTGGAAGAGAATGCGCCTTTGTGCTTGGCGGGCAATTGGAGACTGGTTGCAAACTTCGAAGCTGCAGCAGAGCTTGAGCCGGGGAGCTTCATTTTGTTCGCGACCGAGGTAGCGTTGGCAGCCGGCGTGGGCGGCACGCCGAGCTTTCCCATGCGAAAGCCTTCTGGGAGAGCTGTGGCCATGCCTCCATCAGGAAAAAGCTTGGCCCAAGGATGAGACTCTGTGTCGTTCGAGTTTGCGTCAGCTCCACTGGGTCGAGATGGCACGCGTGCGCCGGAGCTAGAAACCAGCGGTGTTGCGAGCGCGAACGGGCTCGCAATGCGGACGGCGCCCGGGTTTGGAGCGTTCGAATCGGGCACATGAACGGTGGCAAAGTAGTCGGGCTCTGTACCAGAAGAAGAGGGCGCCACTCGAGACGAAGGGGTGGCTGCGGGTGTAGAGGATGATGCTGATGAGGAGGAAGATCCGAAGTGGAAGGAAGAGAGCAACGATCGTCGCGACTTTGCCTTTGTTGCGGTATCTGGAGGTTGGGTCGACATCATGGCGGTGGAATCTGTCCGGAAATGTCCGTTATCGAAGAGGTAATGCAGAGGGGATCGGAGCGCGGTAGGGGGGCGAGATGGTTTCCTGGGTTTCTAGGAGGAGGTCGCGAGAGCCAGTTCAATGGCTAGTCATGGCGATCATGTGAGAGTGTGGGCGTTGGAGCAAATGCAGAGCTGGAAACACAGACACTGATCAAAGCATCGCAGAGTGGTGGAAGAGTGGAGTCACTGACTGGGTTGAACGTGTGGCGGATTGGTCGATCGAGGCGGTATGAAAGACGTAGCAGCACGAAGCACGGGTGGGTTGGTGATTAGTAGCGATGCTGGACGAGGATGCGAGCGAGGATGGCAGCTTGTTCGGTGGCGGACAAGACGGGATGTAAGTTAATCAAGAGGATTGCGATTGTACTGGAGTAGCCGGATCTGAGAGAGTCGGAAGGAGGCGAATGACGAGATGCGAGATGGAGATGCGGCGTGAATGGAAGAGACGAGACGATACAAGGTTGGCTGTGTTGAAGTCGAGATGGAAGGATGAGGATCTGATGGACCAAACGTGGAGAAGTCGTCACCTTTGCTAAAGGATAGCGAGGAAGGAGTGAAGCGCAGCCGCCAGCAGAGTGGATCGTCTAGAAAGGCTAGACCACAAAGCGTAAGTGGGTGTGAGAGACAGAGCGAGGAGAACAAGAGAGCTCTCTCTCTGCTCCAAGCGAAGAGTAAGTCAGTAGTGACCGCTGAGAGACCGAACGAGCGAGCCAGATTGAGATTCAAAGGCAGCAGAGCGCACAAATCCAAAGGGCAGGCGGCGTTCATCCAAAGTGATGCATCAGCGCGCTCGCTAGACGAAAGGGGCAGCAGAGCAGTCGAATGAGCTTCAATCGCGGACAATTCCAGGAGCAGAGAGGTGGAGTGCAGCGAGTACGAGCGGAGAATGGGCCCTGCAGCTCAAATCTGCACCAATGACGAAAGCGCAGCTGCAAAAATACACTCGAGCCCAACTCAAATGAGAGCATTTAGACGCGGGTCAAATTGATTTTGTAAAGGGCGCAAACTGCGCCACTCACGCGCTCTTTGCCTCGCTTCGCTTTGCCATGCTGCTGGTCGTCCGAGTGACAGCGCAAATCCATATCGTCACTCCGCTGTAGCAAATCTAGAAGCATCGCCTGTCACTTACAGCATACTGAGCCTCGGTCGTTGTCTCATGTAGGCACCACTCCTAGTTGACGTTGACCTTGACCTTGACGTCGGCGCAGCAGCTGTGACACGTGATATGCACCACTCTCAGGCCGGACAAGGGCGCATCAAAAGCAGTCTTGGCGGGTCAACCGGTCAAGATGATCGAGGGCTATCTTGAGTCGCGCATGACACCTTATTCGCCAGCAACCACAATGTAACAGAAGCTGCTGACGACAGTGGCTGTGGTCATTACCGGGGACAGTGGCAAGCGGTGCAATCCGGTCCATAGCTTTGACGCTGCTGTCCTCTCGCAAGCAGAGGAGGTCCAGCCCACCTTTCTGAGCTAGTAGGCAATCGGCGTGGTCGGCGACGCCTGCAGGACCCTGACCGCGCTGACTTATTATATAGAAGCCGTCTGAGCGGCTGGCTTTGCGTCGTCATGTCAAATTGTACAGGTTTAGGCTGGCAGCCACACCTAGACCAGTCCAGGAGGATGATGGTGTTCCGAGCAGCACGTGATGGACCCCGCTACAAGCTCCGCGGATTCTTAATTGACGCTACGTGGCTGGCTGAGTCGCGCGGCCACGCCAAGCCTTTACTTCCTAGCCTGTCAGCCTGTCTCGCAGCGCCAGGAGCAAAGATTCAGACAGACGGAAGCAAGCGTCGTTAACAACATTGCGAACAGGCTCATAGTATCCTTCATACCTGCTTCCCTTCTGTCTTCATCTTCCTTCAGCAGATTGGACGGTCTGTGAGGAGCATCAAGACCCGCAAAGACTCCACCGCCCATCATGTCTACGAGTCCGAATACGACGCAACGGATGCCTTTGGCATACCGTGTCATCTTTGCCATCCTCGACATTGCGCTGCCTGTCATGGGCATCGCTTTCAACGTCCTGAACCCGCTGCAGGCACTGGGCAACTTTACACCGCATCCCACATCGCCCATCAACCTCGAAACCCACGTGTTGCTCGACTGCACGTCTGGCTTCTTTGCCGCTCTCGCCTTTGTCAACGTCTACCTGCTCATCTACCGACCTCACGATCTGGTAGTCTGGAAGGGTCTTGTCGGCGGCGTCTTTCTGCAGGACCTGTTCATGATCCGTGGCTTCCTGCAGGAGCTCGCGATGCGAAACGGAAGCCCTGCCGTCGCAGGCTGGAGCGGACAAGACTGGGGCAATGTGGCTGGATACTCAGTGATTGCTCTGGTGAGAGCCTTGTTCGTGTTGGGTGTCGGAGTGGGCTCGAACGCCAAACAAAGAGGCAACTGAAGAAGGCGTAGTCGTACCTGGCCTCGCTCGACTGGAGCATGAGCCGGTAGAGCAGGTCCCTGTCCAGATCCACCTACTAGCTTTTAGAATCAAGTCCGCACTTGCCTCCCTCAGACCGCCGCTTCTCGGTCGGCGTCACACCCAGGTCGCTTGCCGCCGATTCATGACCGTGATGGAGACTGGGAGGGACAGCCCACAGGAACGGCAGTTGGGCGCGGAAGTGGTGCACGTTCCGTGAAAGTCAGGCTTGTTAGATCATCAGTTTTCCTCGGGGCAGGCGCGGATGTCTCCGTCGAAAGCAAGATTTGCTGCGCGCCAGGTGATCGACCCAAGACCCTGAGCCGCGCTCTGGAGCTTCTGACGCGCTCCTCAGCCCCTTTCCTAGCTTGACTTCGCGGTGTTCCTTCTAGAGGTCCTCGCTCCTCTTCTACGACGGTCACGAGCACGCACGACATCTCTTACAACACTTGACGGAAGACTGTGGTCGTTCGTATGAGGCTCAACCTGCTCAAGAACACTTGCTGAAGCTGACTAGCAGGAGCTCATCGGGCTAACAAATCCGAATGGACAGGGATGGATGAGCGGACGGATGATTCCGTAAAGGCGAACTTGCTGCTTTCCTCGAATCTTGCTCCCGCCCTTTGTCGCCGGCGAATAGTGGACATACAAGCCGCACAGCTTGAGCTCCCGGTCGTCTCAGGAAATGGCGGAGCATAGCAGACCGAGACCCCATGACTCGTGCACAGGACCGGCGAATTGCAATGCCAACAAGGGTCATGGTTGGTTCGCTTCTTTCCGCTCGCTGCCACAGCTCGTGGTGTTGTTTTCTCTCAAGCACTACCCACAGCTTCTTGAAACGTTGAGCGCCAAAACCTCTGCGCTCACTCTTGCTCGTTTCTGATCATGAAGCACTGCCTGTCCAATCCCAAAGCAGCGTGACTGATGGTCTCTGTGAAGTATACGAAGGTTATGCTGGGACTTGCGAGTGCCAAGCGGGTCAGATGACTGAGGGGGCTGATGGTCAAGCCAGAAATTCCAGTCGATCTTGGAGCGGCAAAAGAGGAAGAAAATCGAGTGGAAAACCCTTGTTCCCTCGGTCTCACTCTTCCGCTCGGTGTTGGCTCTTGCTTGTGTTTGCTGTGCTGCGCTGGTCCAAAGCGGCGCTCCAACCAGAAATCGTCTCAGCAATTCCTCCACAACTGAGCCAAGGAAAGCTCCTTCTTCCTCCTCCTCCTCAGCCATCGCTCCTTCCTTCTGATCCCGCCACCTCATCCATCCCTCACCATCATCACGACCCTCCCTCTGCGTCAAGCCGTAGTAGCGCACGGCCTTGCATTTCATCTCCTCGACATCGGTGCACTCCTTCTGGATAGCGCATCCTTCGTCGACACGGGTCACTGACCACACTCCACCCGCAATTGTAAACTAAGACCTCGGTCTGGTTTGGCAGTCATGTTGCGAAACATCGCCTCGCGATCCATGCCCCGTGCGGCTTGGAGGGCTTCCACTCTCCCTTCCGCCTCGGCTCGTATCGCAAAGCCCTCCTCGTTGAGCGCTTCTCTCCGATACTACCAGTCTTCGTCCAAGTCCCAACAGGCTAGCCCCGCTCCTGCCAAGCCCCAGGCTCCTTCCGGAAACGACACCTTCATCAACACCACCAACGCCTACTACGCCGAGGAGATGCACAAGCTCTGGAAGAAGGACCCCTCTTCCGTACACGCTTCTTGGGATGTCTACTTCAGCGGCCTTGCAAAGGGTCTTCCCAGCGAGCAGGCCTACCGTGCTCCCCCGACCCTCATGCCTCTTCCCATGGAGGCTCCTCCCGTCGACGTCTCCAGCTTCGGCGGCTCCAGCGAGGCCGTCGATGACCACCTCAAGCTTCAACTCCTCGTCCGAGCTTACCAGGTCCGTGGTCACCGCATCGCCCGTCTCGACCCTCTCGGCATTCTCGACCCCGACCTTGACCCTAACGTTCCCGAAGAGCTCAAGATCGAGCACTACGGCTGGTCCGAGTCCGACCTCGACCGCAAGATGCGCCTCGGTCCCGGTCTCCTCCCCAACTTTGTCAACAACGGCATCCAGGAGCTCACCATCCGCGAGATCATCGATGCCTGCAAGCGCATGTACTGCGGCTCCATCGGCGTTCAGTACGTCCACATCCCCGACCGCGAAAAGTGCGACTGGCTCCGAGAGCGCATCGAGACGCCCGAGCCTTTCAAGTACTCTGTCGAGGAGAAGCGCACCATCCTCGACCGTTTGATCTGGTCCGACTCGCTCGAGCGCTTCATCGCCTCCAAGTACCCCAACGAGAAGCGTTTCGGTCTTGAGGGTGGTGAGTCGCTCATCCCCGGTCTCAAGACGCTCATTGACCGATCCGTCGAGCACGGTGTCGAGAGCGTCACCATCGGTATGCCACACCGCGGCCGTCTCAACGTGCTCGCCAACGTCATTCGCAGGCCCATCGAGGGTATTCTCCACCAGTTCGCCGCCAAGGAGGACGACGGAGAGGGCGGAGGAGACGTCAAGTACCATCTCGGCGCGAACTACGTCCGACCCACTCCTTCGGGCAAGAAGGTCGCCCTCTCGCTCGTCGCCAACCCTTCGCATCTCGAGGCCGAAGACCCCGTCGTTCTCGGCAAGACCCGTGCCCTCCAGGACTTTGCTAAGGACTCGGAACACACCTCGTCCCTGGCGCTCCTCATGCACGGTGATGCTGCTTTCGCCGGTCAGGGTGTCGTCTACGAGACCATGGGCATGTACAACCTCCCCAACTACGCCACCGGCGGAACCGTCCACATCGTCGTCAACAACCAGATTGGTTTCACCACCGACCCTCGATTCGCTCGTTCCACCCCTTACCCCTCGGACATTGCCAAGTCGATCGACGCTCCCATCTTCCACGTCAACGGTGACGACGTCGAGGCTGTCACCTTCGTCTCGCAGCTCGCTGCCGACTGGCGTGCCACCTACAAGAAGGACGTTGTCATTGACATTGTCTGCTACCGAAGGCACGGACACAACGAGACGGACCAGCCCTCGTTCACCCAGCCCCGTATGTACGCCGCCATCGCCAAGCAGGAGCCCACCCTCACCAAGTACGCCGCCCAACTCGTCGAGGAAGGCAGCTTCACCAAGTCGGACATCGAGGAGCACCAGAAGTGGGTGTGGGGCATGCTCGAGGAGGCCTTTGACAAGAGCAAGAACTACAAGCCAGAGGAGCGCGAGTGGCTCTCGAGCGCTTGGGAGGGCTTCCCTTCGCCCAAGGAGCTCGCCGAGCAGATCCTCGACCACAAGGACACTGGTGTCAAGGAGGAGACGCTCAAGCACATTGGCAAGACCATTTCCACCTACCCCGAGGACTTTACCGTGCACCGCAACCTGGGCCGTATCCTCAAGACGCGCTTGAAGACGGTCGAGGAGGGACAGAACATCGATATGAGCACCGGTGAGGCGCTTGCCTTTGGTTCGCTCGCCCTCGAGGGCAACTACGTCCGTCTCTCGGGTCAAGATGTGGAGCGTGGTACCTTCTCCCAGCGTCACTCGGTGCTGCACGACCAGGAGAACGAGGGCACCTACACGCCTCTCCAGCACGTCGGTGAGGGTCAGGCGCCCTTCGTCGTCTGCAACTCGTCGCTCTCCGAGTTCGGATGCATGGGTTTCGAGCTGGGCTTCTCGCTCGTCTCGCCTCAGAACCTGACCATCTGGGAGGCGCAGTTCGGTGACTTTGCCAACAACGCGCAGTGCATCATCGACCAGTTCATCGCCTCGGGTGAGCGCAAGTGGCTGCAGCGAACCGGTCTGGTGCTCAACCTGCCCCACGGTTACGACGGCCAGGGCCCCGAGCACTCGTCGGCGCGTATCGAGCGATTCCTACAGCTGTGCGACGACCACCCCTTCAAGTTCCCCACCCCTGAACGCAGCAACCGTCAGCACCAGGACTCGAACATGGCCGTCATCTACTGCACGACGCCTGCCAACTACTTCCACGCGCTCCGTCGCCAGGTGCACCGCGACTTCCGCAAGCCTTTGGTCAACTTCTTCTCCAAGTCGCTGCTGCGTCATCCGGAAGCGCGATCGAGCATCGAGGACTTCCTGCCTGGCACTGGCTTCCAGCGATTCATTCCCGAGCCCCACGCTTCCGAGGGCAAGGACGAGCTGGTCGCTCCCGACCAGATCAAGCGTCACATCCTCACGTTCGGCCAAACCTACTTTGAGCTCCTCAAGCACCGACGCGAGAACAACATCAAGGATGTCGCCATTTCGAGGATCGAGCAGCTCTCCCCCTTGCACTACGAGGCGGTGGTGCAGGCGCTGGACAAGTATCCCAACGCCGATCTGGTCTTCTGCCAGGAGGAGCCGTTGAACAACGGTGCTTGGAGCTATCTGCAGCCCCGACTGAGGACGGCGTGCAGGCATACGCAGCACCACAAGAACGATATTGTGATCCTGGCAAGTAGGCCGCCTAGCAGCTCGGTGGCGACCGGTTCCAAGATCGCTCATAAGGCCGAGGTCGCTGCGTACTTGAAGGACGCTTTTGACCTCGAGAGGAAGGCGTCGGATGGAGATCACATGTAGAGTCGATATACGCCGGGCTTTGTTCCACACTTTTCCAATGATCGTGTTCCCTTTGTCTCTTCCTCAGAGTATCACATCCGGCACACGCAATCGAGAGCAACTGAGAAAGAAATGACGATTGCGAATCCTATTGCGGGATACCCTGCAACTTGTTCCCCAGCAAAATAAAGCTCTCGTAGCTCGTCTCTGTGCCGGTATAATTGACCTTAAACTGCTGGACACCCGCATAAGCCTTGATGGCCTTCCTCCAGTAACACGCCGCACTAGCGGGACTGACGTATCTCTCTCTAAAGTAACTCCACTGGTTATCCGCGATGCGTTTCGCCTTGTCATCATCGGCCAACAACGCGTCCATGACCTCGGGCAATCGCATCCACGTTCGATCCCTATACACGTTGCCTCGTTCATCCTCGACCTCGACGCCTGGATCTTCGCCCGTGTACTCCGGTACAAAAACGATGTTCTGATCCGGCGAAGTGGGATCGGCGTTGTAGAGATGCGTCCAGTGTTGAATCCATCTTGGTTCATGGGTCACAATGACCGAGCGACAGTTTTGAAGGTAACGGAGACGACCGGAGTAGGTCATGCCTTCGGGGAAGGCGTGGTATTTCCACTTGCAGTGGTCTTCCATTGTCACAAAGCCTTTGCGATTGGCCCAATCGAGAGGTTCCACGTCGGACCAAGGTTGACCTTTGCTAGCTGCGAGCAAGGCTTTTCTATCGGCAGTGCCAACGCCCATCGCCCCGCGCCAGAAGAGTTTACCGATCTTTTTGCTCCAGGGGACCTTCTGATCGATCGCAAGCGTCTTTTCTCGATGGTTTGTGTAGGAGCCGATCCCAGGTTCCGGCCAGCTGTAGAAGCCGTAGTCAGGCATCAACCACAGATCGACGAGATAGGGTGCTCGATCGAGCGAAAACTTGCCCATGGACCCCCAATCGTTGGCACTGAGACAAAATTCGGCATCGGGCAACTTCTCCCTCGCGGCCATCACCGCCTGATCCAGCAACGCCAACGCCGAGTTGACTCTCGTGAAAGCCGACTGCTGAAAGTATTTCAGGTGAACACGATTGTTGTGGATCACCACGCGCGCATGCGACCAGATGCCATCGTCACACACCTTGTCCAGATACTCGGCCGTCATCGGATGCTCGGTGTAGTATTCGACGCTGCGATCGATTTCCTTCCAGAGACCGGGGAAGAAGGCATCGCATTCGTCTTCGGTGAGCGTGAGGTCTTCGGGGTTGAACGGCGAATCGTACCGCAAATCGGTGCGACCGGAGCCGTTGATCCAGCGAGAAAACTCGGAGCCGTCGACATCGGTGACGCTGGAGAAGCCGGTAGGTTTGGACGGGGAGGACCACGGGAGTCGACCTGCATATTGGCCGGCTTTCGCCTTGATCGTCGCTGAGGCGGCCGAATCGGACGAGGCGAGACCGAAGAAGAGGAGGAGCGCGAAGAGCGCCGCGCCGATCAGAGCCCATCGTGTGCGTGCGCGGCCAAAACCTGATGAGGAGCCGCGCGTATCTGATGTTGAGGTCGGAAGTGTCGAGCTGGTGGGCACGCGCACGTACTTGTTGAAGAGACTCGACATGATGAGCGACTGTGAGGGTGGATGTGGTGATATGTCGCAGAGGCGGCCGCGATGGATCACGGAATCATCGCTTGGTGGATCAGGGTCGAGGGTGCAGAGTGGGCTGCAGGGGCGCGTTCCGTTCTGAGACGGAGGTCAGATGAGCTGGACAGCTGCAGGTCGGTTCTGATTGAGCTAGCGCTGCTCTGCGTGTGGGTATGACAATCCGAAGTCGTACTGGAGCAGCCCTGAGATGCGCCGATGATGCGTGTCAGAAAGCGCGATGTCTGTAGTAAAGGCGACGAAGGAGGAGAAATGTATCGAAGCGGAAGACCAGCCAATGATGGCGGAAAGAGATGGTTGTCAAGACTGAGATGCAGATGCAAGTCGATTGTCATGAAATTCGCATCGAGCTGGTCTGAGCTTGAGCCAAAATGAAAGAGCAGCTGTCGGCCATCCTGCGCACTTTCATCAGCAGACCGCAGCGTGGCCAGGCGAGCAGTTTCAAGAAATTCCGAGGTGCAGGCTGAGCTAGACACGAGGCTGCTTGGCTGCTGCTGCCTTGGCATCTGTCGGTCAACACCAAACAAAGCTCGCCCTGCTGATGTCTCTCTTGGCTCAGCTGCATTTTCAATTGTTCTCAACCGTATTGCTGGTCTAACATCTTGAGCCAATTCGCCGGTGCTTGTGAGTCGCTCCTCAACGCTATCTGACAGCTGCTGCAAGGAACACGCACGAGTCACCTCCACCGCTTGCCAAGACCCATCTTCCTGGCTTCTTGCATCCTCCTCACCGTCACCCCTGCCACCCGCATCATGTCTGCGACACAGGCGCCATTCAGCGCGCCCATCGCCAAAGATGGTCCTGACGCCTCGCCCATCCGCAGCATCCTCGATACGGACCTATACAAGCTCACGATGCAGCAGGCCGTCCTGCGCCACTACCCGCACACCCGCGTCGCCTACCGCTTCACCAACCGAGCAGCGTCCACCATGAAGTTCACCCGTACTGCTGTCGATCGTATCCGCGGCCACATCGAGAAGCTGGTCCATCTGAAGCTGGAGAAGGATGAACGGGCATGGTTGGAAAAGACATGTCCGTATCTGCGTAAAGACTACTTGGATTACCTAGAGGCGTTCCGGTTCGACCCGGCCAACCAAGTGTCGGTCGACTTTGTTGCGACAGACGGAGAGTGGGGGGATTTGAGTCTCAAGGTGCAGGGTGTGTGGAGCGATGTGATCTTCTACGAGGTGCCGTTGATGGCGATCGTTTCAGAGGTGTATTTCTCCACTGTGGATACCGAGTGGTCGCTCGAGGGGCAGTTCGAGCAGGCTCAACGAAAAGCGACACAGCTCACCTCGCAAGGCATCCGCTATTCCGAGTTTGGCACTCGCAGACGGCGCTCCTATCAAACGCACAGGCTCGTTCTGGAGGGTCTCGTCGCCGGCGACGCAGCCTCTTCCTCCTCCTCAACATCAGGCAAGCTGTTGGGAACCTCAAATGTGCATTTCGCCCACCTCTTCGATCTGGTCCCCATCGGAACGGTAGCACACGAATGGACCATGGCCGTTGCAGCACTCGAGGGATACGCCCATTCGAATCTCACCGCTCTCCAGCTCTGGGACGCTGTCTACTCCCCACCCGATTTCGTACCCAACAGCCCGACGCACGACCTCACCATCGCGCTCACCGATACGTTCTCGACAAATGTCTTCTGGGCCGACCTCCTCGACAACCCAGCCGGCATCGAGATCGCCAAACGCTGGCGAGGGTTGCGACAGGACAGTGGCGATAGCAAGGCTTTTGCCCAAAAAGCCCTCCAGGCGTATCGCAGCATTGGCGTGGATCCCAGCACCAAGGTCGTCATCTACTCGGACGGATTGGATGTCGAACGATGTCTCGAACTCGCACAGTACTCGAAAGAGATCGGCATCGGTGCTGGCTTCGGTGTAGGAACCAGCTTTACGAATGATTTTCGCAAACGGGAAGGCGAGGAGAAGAGTAAGCCACTCAACATCGTTATCAAGCTGGATAGTGTAGAGGGCAAGCCGGTGGTGAAGATCTCGGATGAGCTGACGAAAAACACGGGCGATCCGGCAGAGGTCCTCGCTGTCAAGAGGAGGTTCGGCATTCCAACATCGACGCATCTCAGTCGGGATGTCGTCAAGGATATCACCCTGGGTGGAACGAGCGAGATAGAGGTCGAAGATGCTTGACGCATGCAATATTTGATCACATAGATATTCTCAGAAGTGTGTCTACCTGAAAGACGGTGCAGGGGTGGAGGAGACGCCGCCCAACGAGCTGCGCAGATTCCGCAACGCTCGATCCACTTCGAAGCTCTCATCGCCCAAAAAGGTCTGCCCGCCGTCGACGTCGTCGGAGGCATCGTCGAAGCTGAGGCTCGTCTCTGCCAGACCGCCGCTGACGGAAGGGGTGATCGAGCGCGCGCGGATCGAGCTCGGCGAGACCGACCCCCTCGAGGCGTGCCTCGCCCTGAATGCTGCTAGTGGCGAAGACGATGCTCCCGCACCCAATCCCATTGCGTAGTCCGCTCCGGTTTGAGTCGGTGTGCCCATCCGCGATGAGCTGCTTCCAAACCCACCGCCGCTGGAGGGCGAAGGCAACGGACTGGATGTTCTCCGCAACGACGGGGAGAATTGCGAGTAGTCGGTCGGTGCAGTCGGCGAACCTCCGCTGGGCGAACTTCTCTGCGGAGACGAGCGGGAGATCGGCGACCCGGCCCCGATAGTGGACGTCCTCGTCTTGGGCGACCCCTTCAATCTGCTCGCCGCAACAAAGTTGATCGACTTGGCCACCTGGGGCGAGTGCATGCCCAGCACCGGTCCCATCTTGCTATCTGTCTTCGGCGCCTCTTGGATCTGCTGTGGTGCGGATGTAGGCGGAGAAGCTCGGGACATCTGCACGCCTGCTTCGACCGCGTTGAAGAACAGGATGACGCTGACAGCCCACAGGATCCACCCAACGATACCGTCCACCAGCTCGTCAGTCTCGCCTCCCACATGTAGGTAGATCTGATCCAGCGCCGTCCAATATACGTCTCTTGGCCGTGTCGAGAATGCGGGTACGATCCAGAGCAGGCCCAGCGCGCCCAGGTTCCACTTGATCCGCCGCGCGAGGGCGATCGATGATTCTGAGTTGCCAGAGGCGCCTGCTGTTGAGGCTACGACCGCTCGTGTGCCGCTGATCTTGTTCGACGGCGTTGCGGAGGGAGCAGCGCTTGAAGTGGTGACCGCAGTTCGACTTGGTGTTTGTGCTTGTGCGGGAGCGGGTGCGGACACGGCGTTGTAGTACGGCGATCGGTTTGGTGTTGTGGTCGTACTCAGAGCTGAAGATGACTGTTGCTGCTGCTGCTGCGGTTGCGAGGGCTGCTGCACTTGGGGCGGAAGAGGCTGGTTCTGGAATCGCACACCTTTCGATTCGGCAGGTGTCAACGCCTGCGAGTACGCCGCATTGTTGTGGTACGACGTCGACGGGGTTCGTACGGGCGTGGCAAAGCCGTACGCCGACGGCTGTGGTCCAGTTCGACCGGGAGACGGTGCGGTCTGAAACATGTTGCGGATGATGGTAGGACTAGAACAACATGGGATCGCGAGAAGGCTTCTCATCAAAACCTCGAAATTGGCGCGTGCAGAAAAATCGTAGTCTGTGAGATCAGATGCAGTGACATGCGACATTTTTTTTGGCACGTGAGGGAGGCGCCGCTTAGAGAGTGTTGTTTGAAACAGCGAGACAGCCCCTGAGTCTAACTCAAGGCCAAAAAGACCAACACTTTCCAAAGAGACGCAGGGTGTGCATATCCTGCAGCTCAGCCAACTCCACCCGCACACTCTTGTCTTCACCACCATCATTGTCGTCGCCATCGTCACCAGCACTGATCCATCCTAGTCCATCGCAACTTCAACGCACAACACCAACGCAGCGATACCATCAACACGCTCTACAAACTCGTCCTTCACCCATACACAAGCCACGGACGATCCTCGTATCACACTCACAAAGTCGCAATGACCTCGCGCAGCACCGCAACCTCTTCAGCGGCGGCCTTCCTGAACGGCGGTGCCTCTTCGTCCACCTCCTCCTCGCTAGGCCGTAAGATGGGCAACCACCCACGTCAATCCTCTTCGGCTCTCTACACGGCCTTCTCCCCCAAACAGATCCAGGGCTTCAAAGAGGCCTTCAACATGATCGACACGGACTCGGACGGGCTCATCTCCCACGCTGACGTTGCAGCGATGCTCTCCAACCTCGGCACTGACGCCTCCCCCTCTTCCGTCTCCGCCTACTTTCGACCGGGCTCGAGCTCAGGCGGAGTCAACTTTACGCAGTTCCTCACCATGTTCGGCGAACACCTGGCCGAGTTGGACGACCAGTCGGTGCTCATGGAGGCCTTCGAGTGTTTCGATGAAAAGGATGTGGGTCGCATCGAGGCGCAGGAATTGAGGTTTTGGTTGAGCCAGGTAGGGGATAAGATGAGCGATAGGGAGATCGACAGATTGTTGAGTGGGCCATTCATGGACAAGAGCGGGAAATACTTCGATTACAAGGCGTTCACCGAGGCGGTCAAGATGAGCGAGCCGGCAGAGATCGAGTAGATTCACCACGACTCGAATCCTAACACCTGTATACTATCTCTTGCTCTCATTGTTGAACACTGGCTCGCATTCAGCTTTCGTATTGCTTCGTTGCACCTCGGGCCAGCCGCGGCAAGTTTCGTGTGACGACCCCTTGACTTGTACGTCTGCCCCTCCAATTACCTCTGCAGCGTCGCAGGCAGCAAGTTGCCCCACCTCGCAAGCTGCCTCATCGTCTCAGCGCAGCCGTTGATCTTCTCCTCATGTTCCAGCTGTGGTAGACCTCTGAGGCCGAGATTGTACGAGAGCCGGTCGTACTGCAGCAGCGCCTCGGAGAGCTGCGTGCTGATGCTGTGAAGACTTGAAGCGAGATCGGTAGCGTCTTGCAGGATTGCGTTCGACTTTGGAGAAGAAGGGCAGGTCGAAGACAGGGAGTACGGTGGAGTGAGGAGCGGTGTTGGTGGTCGGAAGGTGAAGGCAGGCAATGTGGGCTGGCCAGCAGCTGACAGAGGCGATGGTGAAGGCGAGGGTGAGGGTGTGGGAGGAAATCGTGGGGCTCGATTGAAGGGAGCAGGGCTAGGCGCAGAGGTAGGAGCAGTGGAGCTGAGGCTTTCCTGCGTTTCGTTTGGGCTGTCCGTATCGGTGGCGGTGTCCGAGGAGGTATAAGCATCCGGATGCCGTGGCACGCTAGAAAGCGTGTTTCCCGAGTGTACAGGCCGCGATTGCTTCCTGTGAACCGACGCTTGTCCCCTTAGTTCTGCTGATTCTCTCCAGGCCTATGACTTGGCTTGATCTGCATACGACCTTCCTCCGTGGCTTTCTGTACCACTGCACTCTGCTTCTCTCGTGATCTTCTGACGTTTGCGCGAGACTTCCATTGCCGGACCGCCTTCTTCGGTCGTACGTCTCTTTCTGCTTGCGTTTGGCTCCGAGACCATGTCATCACGCGTCCTCCGACGCGCCTCGTAGTCCTCCTGGCTCACGCCCGCGAGGCGCAAGTATAGGCTCTGGCTTCTTTCAAAACTCCCCGGCACGTCGACAACGTACGACAGCTGACTCAGGTCCATGGGTGAGCAAGACTGTTCTACCTCATCAGTTGGCGAGCAAGCACGTCGCCCCTCAACAGGGACCCCTCGAAATTGTGGAGCATGAGCAACGTCAGGGGCCGGCGTGTGGTCTGGGGTTGGGTCAGGCGACGCTTCTTCCTTCTTGACCTCTGTGTCCCACAGCTGGCGCCTCCTGATCTTGTGGAAGAAATATCCTATGCTGGCTTCCCTGTTCCTCTCCCGCGGGCGGTGCAGCAGATGTCTGAGCTTGGGCTGCTTCTTGACGCTCTTAGGTGAAGCAGACGTGTGTGCTGTGCTGGAGGGCCCTCGTTGCGGGAGGGGCGAGTTCGTCGGATCGGCGGACAGAAGCGATGCTATGTCCGCAGTCCACATGTCCTGTGGGTCGAAGTCGGGGTCGTCGTCTCGCCTAGCGACATCACTGACGGTGTGTGTGTTGACTTCATCAGTGAGGAGTGCCTCGACAGCCTGCTGGGCTGAGCTTGGCACCGCGCCTGCTTGCTCTTGCGAGTCGATTGTGGCGCGATCCGTCTCGTCGTCTTCACCTAGCTTGGCGGCATCGTTGCGCCCGTTCATCTTGCCAATATGTTGACTCGGCAAGCTGACGCGAGCCAGCTTGTCCTTCTCAGCTAGCTTTCTGGCCGCCCTGTTCCTCTTCATAAATTCGACTCGCCTGGACGGGAAGCTGGGGCGCTTGACGGTCATTGTGAAGTGTGTTGAGCGATTGTGAGGCTGGCTCAAGAATCAGACACGCAACCTTATGTAGGTCTTGGCACTTCAAAGATACACCCGCTGTCCCGAGCGTCCACGCAAATGATCAACTCAGCATCTAACGCACATGAAGTGCACGCGGGTGTTGATCCGCCTTCATATCGGAAAACAAGCTCCCGTGGGTGCGCAGGAACGAAACTTCATAAGCGCAAAGCTTCTCGTGTTGTCACATTGTGTTGCGTGTCAACGCATCATACCCACGTCTGGAATTCGAGTCAAGTCACACCCAATCATATCTTGTCGAAGCTGATAAGTCAATGTATTTTTCGCTGATATGTACAGTCTGGAGTGCAAGTTCGTATGCTGCTGTCGTCACGCGGCACCTCCTCTTGACTAACGCTCTGGCTGATCAGGCAGCAAACCCGACAAGCGCATGAACAGCTCTCTGTTGCGCTCCATCCCCGCCTTGACGTCAACCAAGTAGGACCCTTGTGGCGGGTCAAATGGCGAACTGGACCGTGCTTGTCGGTCGTCCAGCTCGTCGTCCTCCTCGAGATCCGGAAAGTGCTCCTCGTACACCTGAGATTTGACCGACTCGCTTCGTATCAAACTGCGACCCTGAAGCGACGGTGCCATCTCCGAGTAGACGCGTTCGGACACCTCTCGCACGATGCGTTGGAGAAGGTTTTGATCGATGCTACTTGCTGCGGTGGAAAAGGAGGTCGAAGGGGTGGAGAATGTCCCACTTCGCGTTGAAGGGGTGGTTCGCGTGGTGGACGATACCGAAGAATAGCGGGTTGACTGGGACGACGATTGGGAGTAACTTTGCTGGGACGACGACTGGGAGTGACTCGAGCTGGCGGCCACGGCGGGGTATGTTTCGCGGCTGCTGCTAGCATTGGGCGCCGACACGGTCCGACGAAACCCACGCTTGGCAGTGATCGTTTCGGGTTGAGTCGGGCTGAAGAAACCCAAGAAGACTGTTTCTGGATCGCGCCTCTGCCGGGTCCTTTTCGTAGGCGACGCTTGCACTTTACGTTTGCGTTTGGTGGGCGACACTTTGCTCTTTGCGAGCGATCGCGTCGCCTCTACACGCCTCGCTCGAGCTAATGCCCTTGCCTTTCTCTTCTCGCCCCACCTTTCGTCTGATGTGTCCGTCTCCTCTTCGTACTCGCCTTCGTCCTCCTCCTCGTCCTCCTCCTCCTCCTCCTCCTCCTCGCCTTCGTTCTCCTCCTCGTACTCGCCATCAGAAGTATCTGGCATCTCCTCCTGACGCACCCGCTTCTGTCGGCGCGTAGTCTTGACTGAAGTTTGGATCTGACGCCGACCCCGTCGTTTGGTGCCGGTATCAAGGTCTTCGCCGCCTTCGCTATCGCTGCTGATCTCGACAATGTCGCTCGTCACCCCCTTTCGGACGGGTGGAAGCAGATCATCGTTGGTCGGAATATTATAATATTGCGACCTGATCCCCGGAGGCAGCCTCTTGAGTTCAATGAAGAGGCTGGGCTCATCATCGTCGGTCACCACGGGCTGCCTCGGTGCTTCGAGCGTGATCTGAACGGCGGGACTTGGAACCGATTGAGCGATAGGCTCGAGTGGGACAGCTTGCTGCTGGGCTTCCACGCTATGATCTGTACTCCCGGTCGTCTCTTGCCGAAAGCTCACTTCTTGACTGGGCCGACATCCCTCCTCTTGACTCGACACAAGCTCGTCCTCCTCTTCTGATGGGTCCACGTCTGCCCAAGTGAAGCAGATCGGCGAAGAAGCACGTGCCTGAGGCGATCCTGGCGTCACCGCCGGGCCTGTCATCTGCTGGATCGTCTCTTGACCGTCTTCGTTTGCCTGACATGCAATCGCTTCGCTGGCAATCTCGGGATGTGGCGATCCCGGCATCGCAGCTGAGCTTGCCATCCACTCGACCGCTTCTTGCGCAATTTCGTCTGCCCGACCCGCGATCACTTCGTTGTAAGCCGCTGGATGAGGCGACCTCGGTATCACAGCTGAACTCGTCATCTGTTGGACCACTTCTTGTCTGGTCTCGACTGCTTGACTTGCGACCGCTTCGTCAGCCGTTTCGCTGGGCTGCTGATCTCCGCGGATCTCGACACCACCATCGGCGTTCTCTGCAGTCATCCCGTCTTCCCTATCATCTTTCACAGTCAATCCCTGCGCTCGCCTTCGCTGTCTGCGACGCGCCATGTCGCTCCTTGCCTCCCTCGCCTTAGCAAGATTCTGGAGAAGCGCTTCCCGATGGGGTTCGCTAACCTTTCTCTTGGGCCTGTTCGGGTCGGCTCGAGCAGCAGAAGCCTTCGCGGACCAGGCCTGCCGGCCTTTGGCCGCGTTCTGCCGGACCGCTTGCAGATGCGTCTCGGAGAGCTGCCTCTTTGGCTTCTTCGGCTTCTCTGAAGTGCAGAGGGCCTCTTGGGGAGCGGATTCGGTCTCGGGCACCTGCGAGCTGTCTACCTTACCAGAGATTTCGGGTGGTTCGTGTGCGGCAGTTGGCTCGACTTCGGTGGCTGGGCTTGCCGTGCTTATCGTCGCTCCAGCGCTGCTGGCTGGAGAGGGTTCGTGTGGAGTAGCGAGCTCGACTTCGGTGGCTGTGCTTGCCTGTGTGATCGTGACGCCCGGAGAGCCCTCGCAATCTTTCTGTTCGGTTTGAGAAGGGACTGATGCTTCGGTTGAAGCCTTTTCGTTCGCCTGGTCCGCCTGCTCGCCAGAGACTTCCGGCGGCTCGTGTGTGGTAGCGAGCTCGAATCCAGTGTCTTTCCTTGCCTGACAGGTCGTGACGGCTGGAGAGCTCCTACGAGTCTCCTGTGCGGTTGGAGAACAGACTGCTGCTTCAGATGAATCCTTCTCGTTCGTCTGAGGCGTCTGCTCACCAGACACTTCCAACGGCTCGTGTGCAGCAGTCGGACTGATTGTGATCGCAGTCGTTTCGGCTGGAGAACCCTCGCAATTTTCCTGTGCTGCAGAATCTCGACGCTCCTCCTGTGCGGATGGTGGACCGGTTGATGATGAGGAGGCATCCATCTCTGAGCGCTTTTGACGACCAGTGAGGCCCGTGCAGACCCGCGCAGACGTAGAATGGATTTGCAAGAAGGATGCACGCTTGGACCGCTCTGGAGGGTCGAACAATGGAAGCGTTGCACGTGGCAGCCACGAGGTCTCGAGCGCACGCTGATCTCGTTGCTACCGAGAACGGTGCTGCTGAAGGAGCGGGTGGAGGAGTTGGCGAAAACGTTTGACAACGAAGGCAACTAACCGATGAGGCTGTGACATCTGGGAGGGGGATGGAAGCACGCCAGATTGGGTAGATAAAGGGCAGATGAGCAGCTGACCGAGTGGGTGGTTGGACCAAGACCGAAGGTCGCTTATCTGTGCGACTTCATTTCGCTGGGCCTTTCGTGCTGCCGACCATGGCAGAACCTTTCGAGCTGCTTTACAAGTGCAACTTCATCTCGCTGGCCCTTTCAGCTCGTGGTAGATCTTTCGAGATTCCTGACGACTTTGCGCCGGGGTATACCGGGAGGGAGCGGTTGCTGAGAGGACAGCGGGGGTCCCCCTCGTGCGAGAACTAAGTTTGACGTAAGGACGCCTGGCGACTGGCCTACATTCCGAAACAGGCCGTGCTGCGCCGTTTCTGCGCAAGAGGCATCGCTTTTCCGAAGGAGTCTCTCCACAGCTCCTGGTGCCGTTTGCGCACTTTGCCATCTGAGTCCCTCCCTGCTTCTCACCTTGCTACACTCCTCCCAGCTCGTCGTATCTACCCTTTACTTTGGGGCACCTGCACTCGCATGCGCCAGCATGTCCGTCCCTCCCCCAACCCCCACCGCACCACACGAGATCCTGTTGTTCGACGTCTCCCCCGTCCACCTCACGACGCAGCACTCCGGCTGGTTCTCCTCATTCACACGTCGAGCCCTCTCTCTCTCTCCACTATCACCTCTAAGCCCACGTTTCAGCTCATGTATGCACCCTCGCCGGTGGAGTACGAAGATCTCATTGCGTACGCTCGCACGCTCCAACACGGCGTTTTCGGCATCGTTCATGGATGGAGTGCGGACGTGGACGCCGTGGAACTGGTGGTTCTGATGGACGACGGCGGTGTGTGTATGGGAAATCTGGTCGGACCCCGTTTTGTGGTGGATTGGACGACCGAATTTGAGCAGCAGCCGGGGCATGTGCATGATAGGTATACGGCGAGTACGTATGTGCCCCGATCGAAGCTCGTTACCACCTGCCCGGCAGCCGAGCAAAGCGTCGAGGTGACCAAGGGAAAGGATCGAGGTGTGAACATGGCGAAGGAATGTGCGAAGGTGATCAATGATGGAGCAAATGCGATGGCCAGACAAGGCAAGGAAGCGTCCGAAGTTCCTACCAAATCGAATTCGAACAAAGGCGCGACGTTGGCCAAAGGACACGCAACTGAATGCACGAAGTCCTCAACCAACCCCAAGCAAGTGATCAAAGACGTCTGGAATGTCGCCAGGCGTCTGCCAACCGAGCCGGAGGTACGCGCACACAAATGCCTCGACTACGCCACCTCCTCAACGTCGAACTGCATGTGCGAATGGCACACGTGCTCCAGCTCCACCGTTCACCCTTGGCTCGCGTTGCGCGGCGACTAGCACCCCGCTCACACAACACAAACACACTGCAAATGAAGTTGGTGAGCAAAAGGTATATTTCTGAAAGTTATGTAGTGATGCCGGGCGTGCTTCCCTCCCGCTCTGCGCTACCGGGAATGATGATTTCCATCTGCTCGTCGCTCTGCGCGAACACGGCGAGTCTGTTGACCGTCCCCCCCTGTGCGATGGCGCGTTGACCAGGGGGATGGGAAAAGTAGCAATCCGCACGAGTGCAGCCCAGACCGAACCGGCACGGTGTGCTCGACGCAACGCCGCTCGAAGGGCCGGACCGCGACGGTGGGTGGGAGAAGAAGCAATCTCCCCGCGTGCATGCCGCGCCGAATCGACACGGTCGAGACGTAGATTGGCTCGGGAGCGCCGTGTCCATTGACAGTGTTTGTCGTGCCACCGGTGCGGGCGCCACAGCGGGAGCGAAAGATACCGGCGCAGCAGCTCGTGGTCGGATGCGCGCCACAGCAGGACTGACGTGGCTCCGCGTGCAGTCCTTGTTCGTGCAGCCTGCACCGTAACGGCAGTTCTGCTGGCTGAGAACGAGCGCGTTGGGGTCGCCATTGGGTCCTGCGGCGGATGGCGATGCGTGCGAGTAGGGACACATGGGATTGGTGCAGCCGAGGTTCCAGCGGCAGATTGAGGTTTCGGTGGGCGCGGTGGGGAAGTCGCTCGAATGGGTGGATTCTGGAGCTGCTGCGGGGGGAGGCTGGTTGTCCGGCAGCATCGGGTCGATGCGCGAGAAGATGGACGATTGACCGTTTGCAGCTGCTTCAGGCGCAACAATTGAGGGCTCTGCTGCTGGCTGTACAGCGGCGAAAGAAGGGACAAACTCTGCCGCTCGTGGATCCGGAATGCCGGCGCGGCCAAAGATGCTGATGCCGCCTGTTTGTTCGTATGTCGGCGGCTCGGGGTCGTCGTTACGATTCGGAGTCGGGAACAGCTCCCTGCCCGCATTTCCGTTGGGTGCTGTGTCGGCTAGAGAGTTGCGCACAGCTTGATCATAGGCACTCTGAAACGCCCGTTCGCCGGGAGGAGCCCCCACCCGCGGTGGTGGATTCCTGCGTCGTTCCTCCGCCTTGTTTCGCCAGTACGCCGCGCCGTCGAATGCGGTTTGTTCGTCCCGCCGCGTGGAGGATGAGTTCTTCCACGCTTCGTTGCTGCTGTAGTCTCTCGACATTCTATGATCTCGGCGTTGTGATGCCGGTGCAGGTGGGGATCTGCTTCTTGACCGCCTCTGGTCGCCGCGACGAGCATTCAACTGCGCTGGAGATCTGCTCCTCCTGTTGTCACGAGCGCGAGAAGCCGAGCCAGACGCCTGAGGGGACCTGCTTCGCCTCAAACGGGCATTGCGCGTGCGCGCTGAATCTTCGGCAGCGCCGGTGTTGGAAATCGACCCGGACGCAACGGCGGCAGCAGAAGTACTGCCCTCCGCAGCGTCAGTCGCAGCGCCATGTTGTTCGAGGAAGCTCCGTGTCGCCTTCCAGATCCACTCTGTAAATGCGCCATCGTACTCGTCCCCAATGAGCTCTTTCATCTCGGCCGTGATCTGCTCGGCGGTCTTCTGGTTGGCGAGCATGACGACGATGTATTCGGCCATGACAGGGTCGTCTTCGGACGAGTATTCGCGGTTGGCGAGCTCGACCTGGATGGCCTGCTGCAAGCCCTCGCACTGTGCGAGCTGCACATCCAAGTTGCGGAAGCTCGACATGGTCCGAGAGCGCTCCCCGTCGTGTGATGGGTGGATGGATGGTGGAAGGATAAGGAGTTGCGGTTAGGGTGGAGAAACATGCAGCTTGACGGTGTCTTGCGACTCAGCCAAGTTGAGAAGAAAAATGGATCGGGTGGGGTCGACGCCAGATCGGGGCGAGTGGAGTGGACGCGAAGAGCACAAACCAAGCATCCTCATCACATCTTCAACACTTGGACCATCATCTCCCTGGCATCACTTCACCCAGGTCGTGGCCAGTCAGCTTCAGCACATCGCACATCTTCATCTGCGAGGGTAGCGGGGCCACTTACGACTTTTGCCAACCAGCGAACAAGGATCGCAAATCGACCGGCAGATCAACTCGTCCGAATACATCTCCTCTGTCTAAACCAGAAGGATCACCCTCGACGCAACACCTCTCACATAGCGCTCGCTGCTAGCTACAACATACTCCATTATGGTGCGTCTTCAGCCGTACAGAACACAGTTGACAGTCAAAACTGCGAACCCCGACCAAAGATGCTGACCTCCTCTTTCCTCTGTCCTTCTCCTGTGCAGTTGCCATTGTCGTTGCTCAATGCGGCGAAAGACAAGCCAATGGTAAGTTGCAAAGTTGTGTCCGGCTTACATTGCAACCTCGAACTCTCGCTGACTCTGCTTCGCTCCTCGCTTCATTTGATCTCATCGGCACAGCTCGTCGAACTCAAAAACGGCTCGACGTTCAATGGCCACCTGGTCGCGTGCGACAACTTCATGAACCTCACTCTGCGCGAGGTATACGAGACAAGTGCTGTGAGTCTCCTCCTTCCCAGCTTATTGCCTCTCATAACGCTCATTCACTGACAACTTTCTTGATGTTAATGTAAAATAGAGCGGTGAACAGTTCTGGAAGCAAAAAGAGTGCTACATCCGTGGTAGCACGATCAAGTACTGCCGAGTAGCAGATTCGGTGATCGACCAGGTCAAGGAGCAGGAGGAGCAGGCGCGCAAGCAGCGACAGCAGGGTGGAGGTGGATTGTCTGGTGGTGTCAGCCTAGGCAACCGCGGCGGTGGTGGTGGTGGAAGAGGCTTTAATCGGGGTGGTGGACGCGGCGGTGCTGGCGGCGACCGGGGAGGGAGGGGTGGTGGTGGTGGTGGCGGAAGGGGAAGGGGACGAGGTCAGTAAGCCAATCCGCTCTCTTGTATCAACACATCACACACGGCACAGATCCAATCCACATAACATGCAACACAGCGTACAATTCCATGTGATCACGTCGATGAAACCAACCACGATGCTCGAACGCTTCGCATCTATTCGACCTTGCCAGACCCACGAATCGCTTCGGCACCAACATCCTTGTGCTGGCTCCAGAATCCCTCGCTCACACCGGCATCGCCCTCCATGGACTGCCGGATCTTCTCCACCCCCCTCTTCTCCTGGTCCATCTGCCCGTCGACGTGACTCTTCATCGTCTCGACACGCAGCATCCACTCTCTCCTCCTCACAATCATCTCCTCGTTCGACCCCCTCCAGATGAGTCTCTCCAATATATGCCTCACGCCGCTCCTCACGAGCCCATACACGTGTTCGGCCAACAACGCCACCAGGATGGCCGCGACAATCGCCCCGGCGGGTCCGCTCGTCGGCACGTGCCGCGGAAGCAGTCTCGAGAAGCTCAGCGCACTCTGCGCCCCCTCCCCCATAGTGACATTGCTCGGATGCAAATGACTTCGCATCGTCGTCTCGTATCGACTGTGTCCGTCCAACAGCGCCTGATCGCTCTGCTGGAAGAGGTAGACGAGTGCAGCGTTGTTGAGAGCGCCGAGCCACGCAATCAGCCCAAACGTCTCGAGCCACGGCCCGATGGTCTCGGCGCGAACAGGGATGGGTCGGCGATTGTTGACACTGATCTTGGCCGCATCCGAACGGAGTTCGAAGAAGTTATTGACGAAACCCATCACGGGTGAGAGGGGCCAGGAGACAGACCAAAGCACAATGAAGCCGAATTGGGTGGCCATCTCCGCATAGTCGCCGAAAAGATCGTAGGGTGGCAGGAGGAGTTCTCGTCGAACGCGCGAGACAAAACGTCGTTCCGACTCCTCCCTGTCGTCCCCACCCGGGGTTGACTCGCCGGAAGAGGTGGTGTCGACAGACCCCTGACGCGTAGGAGTCTGACCAGCGCCATTGGACGTCTTCTTCTCCGCCCGCTCCTCTCGCCACTCGGCAAATTTGCGCATCAGCACCGGGAGCGCCAACTCGGTGAAGGCGTTGACAAACTGACTCGTGACGCTCACCGCAAAGAGCTGCGTATGCATGCGGTCGGGGTTGATGTGGAAATCGATGCCCTTTTCCGAGATCTTGCCTTGAAGTTTGGCCTCGCGGATGGAATCCTCGAAGAAGCCGCGCGACACCATGGTTTCCATGATCATCTCGCCGAACGGGATGTACACGTAGGCGCTGAGGGTGAGCGCGCCGTACGCGGTGATCGCCTGCATGGCAAAGCGTTTGAGGGTGAGAGAGTAGTCGTACGATTTGGAGCTGTAGTGGTTCTCCCACTTTGTGATGGCTACTGCAGTCGCCTGCCAGGCAGCCATGATTTGTGGCACTGCGACCACCAGCAGCGCGGTCGGGATGAATGGCACCGCTTGCTTTAGCGGTCCGTGGTAGAGCTGAGTGATGAAGATCTCCACCACAAACATGAGCGTCATCGTCGCTGCCAGCGCCGAAGCGAAGAACGCGACGATGGGCAACGAGAGAACCACGCGCAGCTCGCGACGCCACCACTCGAACACCTCCTCGGTCTCCTCGGTAGCAGGGTCGGTTCGCGTAGTTCGAGGCATAAAGTCGTGTCGGCGACGATCGACTTCCGATACACCGAGGGTGCCCCAACGAACCGCCAGCTTCCGCTCCTTCATCCTCCACAGCTCGACTGTGAGGCACGACCACGAGACGAGCCCGAGCGAGTAGATGGGCGAAAAGGGTCGGCCGAGCAGCCAGAACGAAAGTCCCAGCAAAGCGGCCGGTGCCAGCGCCTGGAAGTAGTAGTTGAGGAAGCCAAAGTAGAGTGCGACGTCCTCGCCGAAATGCTCGCGGATCGAATCGAGGTCTTCGAGACCCACGCCGTAGAAGGCTTTGGCGGGCGAGGTGTGCGACCAGCGCTTGATCCAGGCTTTGTTGTAGACAGGGTCGTGGATGGCACTCATATCGACGAGGTGCGGGAATTCGGTGAGACCGAGGCGCAGACCCGCGCCGGAGGGAACTTGCGACTGACCACCGGCGTCCTTGACGGCGTGACTGGCCAGGTCGGGCAGCGTCAGCAGCGAGTCGACCAATCGCAGTCGTGATGCTGGCGTCAAGTGCAAGGCTGAGGATTGGTTGGAGCCTTGCAAGCTGGACGAGCGCGGAGGGGGAGGTTGCACCGAGAGCACGCCGTGCAGATAGTCCGAGAGCGCCTCCTGACGTGCCAGCCTGTGCAGAAGCTGCGCATCAGCCTTGACGAAGATGAGGATCTGACCAGAGCCTTTGGACCCCTCGCGACTGGTAACCTGCAGACCCGTGCCGCGAATGCGTGAGATCAGGTTATCATACTCTGCGGCGATCTTGGCTCGCTCCGAGGCAGGCACCTTTGTTGAGGAGCGAAGATGCTTTTTCGAGATGTGCTGGAAGACGAGGACGTAGTCTGCGATCTGCGAGTCTGGGGTCGACTGCGGTACTGGATATTCAGAGGAGGGATCGACGACATCCTTGACGCTTTGCTTGGCGGATTGAAGGGCGCCTTGAATGGGAGGAAGCGCCTTTTCAGACATGTTCGCAGCGGTCTGTCCAGGGCTGCTGGATGACGACTGCTTTGGTGGGATTGCTGGAGCAGCACTAGGTGTATCGTGCTTGACGCCGTTCATGATGTCGAACAGAACGGGAGCCTGCGATGATAGTGCAGAGAGAAGAAGCAAGCCGGAGCGGGTGACGCTATCAGTTGCGCTGTGCTGAGGCGGTGAAGGCCATGCATGACAGTTGAGCACATGCACGGACACTTTTCTTGACAGCGGAAGTGTGCAACCATTCCGTCATCTTGCCGAACCATGACTTTGCATTTTCAATTTCTTCGCGCCATTTCTCCACATTTCACAGTCCTCAAGCCATCAAGAGACCGCACAACGTCAGAGCAAGGCTATGTACGAGCTGCTGTCGATGACGGTGAGCAATGCTCTACTGTCACATAGCGTAGGACGAATACATGCGGCTAGGATGCGAGACGTCGTACAGCAACTCATGCCAATGCAGGGCGACGGTTTCGAATCGACAGGTAGAGCAGCACAAAGAGCGTCTCGATGCGTGCCTTGACCATCTGTGAGGCGTACATGAGTACAAACGGAGCAATGATCAGCATGATGTCCAATCAGCGACTCGTCAATGAAGCAAGCAAAGCGAGGACTTACCATAGTGGTACCGAAGCTAAACAGCCCCTTGATCAGCTGCGAGTCCAATCCTTGATACAGTCCCTTCAGTCCTCCCCTCCTCACCGTCTTCCGGAGCACATCCAGCAAGTTCCTGTACATCTTCCTACCCGTTGGGCTCCTCCACTGCAGTCGTGTCTTGCAGAGGATCAAAGGGAAGACAATGATGGTCGAGATACTGTTTCCGATGGCCGATGTGACGAACGTCTGCAGCGAAGACGGCCTCTCGCGCTTCTCCTTGGGTATCAACATGGTCGAGATGGCGTTGGTCGAGTAGAACGTCAGCGCAGGCGAGATGCTCAGCATTGCAGCCGTTTCAAAGCCAGACCAGAGACCCAGCCAGCCTTTCTCGGCAACGATCTCGCGCAGCACATCCGTGATCCCCGCCGCCTCGGCATAACCCCCTTCGTCGTCCGATTCGCTGTCCGAGCTGGGTTGGGCACCACCAGTCTCCTTGCGCTTGGAGAGAGCCTCCTGCTGCTCCTTCGTCTTTTCCTTGGGCGTGGCGGACGTCTGCATTCGAACAGTGACGTTGGAGAGCGGCGTGGTGAAGAAGCGAGAGACAATTCCTGCCAGCGCTCCAATAGCAAGATCCTCGGCTGCAGTGATGACGATGGATGGCGCCTTGCCTTTGCCTTTGCCTCCCGCGGGCGGTGGTGGCAGCTTGGCCCTCTTGCGGTCTTTGATGTAGTCCATGAAGAAGGAGCGAAAGTAGAAGAACAAAAAGTTGGAGAGCGTGTTGGAGAGTGTATCGGAAGCGAGACCCTGGTAGAGCCCTCGAACGCCGTTCTTGTCCACGATCTCCTTCAGCGCCGCACTGATCGAGCGGTAGCCTCCTTTGCCATCTCGCCCGCGAGATTGGGTCTGGCATCGTGTGGAGAGCAGATCCAGTGGATAGACCAAGGTGTTGCTGGTGATCGAGCCGAGTGCGCCAGCCGTGGCCTGGGCAAAGGGCGGAAGCTGACTCTGTGCCATCTTGATGGATGTATGCGATTCGACCGATTCAGATTGGGTGCTGACAGGTCCTGACGTCGTTCTTAGATGAGGACAAGCGCTTGAGCAGGATGGCTGAGCCGTTACACCGCAGCAATGTGAGGATGCAGTAGCGTTGGATGTGAGCTTGTGCGACAGGCAGTGAGAACGAGCGGGTGTGAGAACGGATGATGGTCGACCGGAGGAAGGATCAGGATACGGCATGAAAGGCAGACATCCTCCGGTTGCTTCTTTTGCCCGCCTTGTCCGTATCTAAAATTGTCCCATTCACGCGGGCACTTGCGAATCTCGCCTTGTGCCGGCTCAGAAATGGAGGCCGGCCGCGATGGTCGAGATAAAGTCGGCAAGCGAGTCAGGGTCTTGAGACCGCAGACAACGAGCTAACTCGATGCTGACAGATGGCTTTCCTCAGCCTCAACCTCTCCCTTTCCGCATCGCTGCCAACGGCCCAAACCTCTTTGGCCCATCACTGTGACTTCGGTTGGCCATCATACTGTATGGCCCGTTGAGAAGGAGTCGAAGGACTTGCTACGCGAGAGAGGGCGCACCGCCAGCCGGCATCCAAAAAGAACCCGATAAACCGGACAAAGCTGAGAGAGCACGGTCTGGGCTTGGTTCAATTTCCATTTTCAAGTTTCATCAAGGTCGCCGTCTGCTGCCTCAAAAGCGATTCCAAAATTGCTTCCCTTTCCGGCCATTCCTTTCTGACAGCGATGACGTCGTGGCGCGCCCACCTTTTCCCGTCCGACTCGAGGCTAGCGCAGTCATCAAAGCAAGAGCTTCGAGGCTACCACAGAACATACACTCAACTCACACAAGTCACTACGATGAAGCACGTTTCATATCATATTGTTTAGGAGTATGCAGCATGAGCAGAGACATGCTGACAATGGAATGACTATCAGATCCAATCAGCAGCCTTGGCCTCTGCCTTCCAAGCCGATGAGTCGCGGACGAGCTCCCTCGACTCTTTCGCAGGCCGCGAGATGGCCGACCCTTGACTGATCCACGACATGACCGCCTTGACCAGCTCATCCGCCAGTCCAAGCTCGTGCAATGCCACCGCATCCTTCTCTAGAGCCGCGCGCACACTTTGAGACTGCAGCGCGACGTCGCCTGCGCCACCGCCAACCACGTGCTTCTGCAGCACCGTCGTTGCCATAGCGGGGTCCAGCTTGACCAGCGAACCCACCACCTCGGCCATCCCTTGTCGGAACGCATCCTTGATCGTGATAGGCGCGTCAAACGTAGCATCTATGAGCGCCAGCACTTGATCACGGCTCGCCTGTCCGATGTTCTTGGCAGGTGCGTTGGTGAGGACGTGGGCGAGAGCATGAGCGAACGAGTCGGCCAGATCAGCTGGATCGCTCGAACCGCCACCAGCCGCTCCTGCCAACCCAGCAGAAGCCACAGCGCTGGCACCACCACTCTCACCCAGACCAGCACGAGCGCCCTGCACCAGCTCGGCGATCACAGGATCCACACGTGTCTGCAGCGCCATCAGGTTGCCCAGCGCCACACCGGCCTTGGTGCGCACCGTAGCGCTTGACGCATCCGACACCGCCTTCTGGTACGATCGCTGCAGCTGCGGGTAGAACGGTCGCACCAGCGCAGGAATGCGTCGCACCATCGTGTCCAGACTCGTGAGGATGGCGGCCTTGACGGGAGGCGGGTGACGGTCACCGCACAATCGAATCAGAGGTCCGATCATCGACGTGACAAACGGCTTGATGGCGTCAGACGACGTACGCTCCACAATATCCGACAGACCCAACGCGCCGTTCTGCCTCTGGTCGAGAGTGCCGTTCATGAGACCGGCGAGGAAGACCGGAACCAGTGGGGACGCGCCCTTGGGTCGGCACAAACCTGCCAGCTCGCGGCCGGGAGCACCCGTGTTCTCCAAACTGCGACGCAGCGGCACCACCAGTCCTTCCAGCTCGTCCTTGCTCACCGTCTTGAGGCAAGCGTCCAGAGCCTCCCATGCAGCATCGACCACGGCCGGGACCGGGTCATCGAGCAGCGAGACAAGCTTGCGCAGCCAGTCGACCAGATAGTCCGATACATCGACCGATGACTTCTTGACCTGGCAGAACACCTTGAAGAAGTTGCATCCAGCCACACGCTGCTGCGGCGACGAATTGGATCCCGCCCATCCGAGCAGGAGCAGCATCGTCTGGTGCAGACCGTCGACGTCCGAGACCGAACCAAGCAGTGCTTCCACGGCAGTCTGCAGGTCGGCACGGATTGTCTCGTCCTTCTCCGTATCCAGCGCCTTGGAGAGCGCTGTGAGAATGTTCGACAGACGTCGGTTGAGCGCTGTGCCGGCGACACGCACCAGCACGGCAAGCGCACGAGCATTGAAGGATGTGATCGGCTGGGCGATCAGCGTGGGCACCAGCACAGGGAACACCACGTCCGAACGAGCTCGCATCACCTCGCGCAGCGCGGCCAGTGCCGTCTCGGAAGTCCCACCGCTCGTGTCCGACAGTGCCTCTAGCAGCGTCGGGATGGTCTCGTCGATGGCGCGAGGACCAATGTAGGTCTGCGTCGCATCGAATGCCTGGGCAGCGGCATGTCGCACTGACTGGGACTCGTCGACGAGCGCGTGACGAACGACGGCAATGATGGCATCCTCGTGATCCTCCAGCTGACCCTTGGTCGAGTTGGCCAGCACCTCGGTGACGGCGTAGCAGACACCCGATCGCGTCTTGGGATCCTCCGACGTGGCACCACGCATCCGCAAGATGGGAATGGTTTCGCGCAAGATCTTCTCGCCCAGCTTCTTGACCAGCTCTCCGAGCGTCCTGGCGGCCATCTCCCGGTTCTCGTCGCCGTTCGAGGCGAGTGACTTGATGAGAATGTCGAGCATCGTCGGCAACACTTCGCGAGCCGTCCGCGGTGTGTTGTGCACCAAGGCCTTCCACGTGTGGATGGCAGCTTGTCGTACAGGGATGTTGGGGTCTTGTCGCACAATGTAGATGGATGCCAGAATGCGATCGCGCCTCTCTTGACCGAGCGCTTCCACGAGCGCACGCTGCACCGAGTTGTTGGCAGCCAGATGCTCCATATCCTCGTCGACACCTTCGTCCTCCACCTCGTTCTTGCCCGAAATACCGGAAAGACGGAAGAGCAGATCGGCAGTGAGCTGCAAGGACGACATTCGGATACGCCACGCCTCGTCGAACAGACCCGTCTCGAGATGAGGCAAGAGCAGATCCACCGCCTTTGACGAGTAATTGGCGATGATCATGCGACCAGCACGCATCGAAGCCTCTCGAACCGTCTCGGCGTCGTCGGCGATACCGCTGAGGATCGGCGGGATGATGCGACCAAGATGAGGCGCGAAACGATGACCGAACGTCGCGGGAAGATAGATGAGCAACGAGATGTGGCCTTCTCGCACGTAGGCCTTGGGATCCGAAGCGCTGTTGATGATTTCGGGCAGCAAATTCTCCATGCGCTCCATGCCGAGACCCGCCAACACTTCGGCGAGACCCTGGGCAGCACCTTGGCGATCGACACCGGTAGCGTCGGATCGCAGCACACCCAAAAGCGAGGGAACCAGGTCGACAAAGTGCACTTCTCCGAGTCGCTCGACGAGCGTACCGAGCGCCTTGGCAGCTACAGCACGCGCCTCGGGCACGGGCGAAATGAGCACCAGACGGACCATCGGGATGAGTTTGCCAAGGTACGGCACAAAGTCCTTCGAGTCGGTGAGACCGGCCAAGTTGCCGACAATGCGAGCTGCATCCTTCTGAATTGTGGCGCTGCGCTCCTTGAGACCACGATCGATGATGGGAATAACGAGCGCCAGAGAGGGCGAGTCGATGTAGTGGACGAAGCTCGTCTCGAGCACACCCTTGAGAGCGGTGCCCGTCTTGGTGTTGGGGTCGATGAGAGCCTTGAGCAGCACCGGGACCAGCTCCTTGATTTCTGGGTTGTTGATCACCTCACCGAACTGCTTCAGACTCTTGTTCGCTGCCGTGCGCACCTGAGTGTGCGAGTCGGTCAGTACCTCGCTGAGGCGCGGGATGACGGTCGGCAGCGAGAGCGAGAGCTGCTTGGGCGCACAGTAGGCCATGGCACCGAGCAGCTCAATGGCTCCCTTCTTGGTCCTCCACTGCTTCTCGTCGAGACCAGACAACAGTGTAGGCAGAATGATCTTGACACAGTGTCCAGAGACATTCTGCATGATCGCCTTGGCGGCATCCTGCGTGGCCTCACGCACATCACTCGAGACGTCACCGAATCCGGCCAGCATCTGCGGCAAGATGCCGATGATGTAGGGCTCAAAGAGCCTCTTGAGCGTCAACGTCAAGGTCTCGTACGCGAACATGACTCCTTGTCGGCGCGTCGGGTTCTTGGCGTCCTCGAAAGCTTCGGCGAGCTTGTTCATGACGTCAAACTCCTTGATGCTGCTGATACCTCGACCCATCACGAGGCCTGCGAGACCGTACGCGGCACCACGTCGGCTAGCGTACTTGGGAGCATCGAAAAGCTCCTTGAAGAGCGAATCAAAGAGGCGCGGGACATCCTTGCTGATGGCGCGGACGAGCGGCGGCAAGCAGTCCGCGACGGCTGACTGGACAAGCTCGGAGGGTGTCTTGAGAGCGTCAGTGAGTCGATCAACGACCTTGCTGACGCGGGGATCCTTGGGGTCGAGGTGACGAGCTTCGCGACCGAGAAGAATGACCACGGCCTCTGTGATGCCGTCGTCCGCTGTCGAGCCCTGAGGGTTGCTGAAGAAGGCTTCAAACATAGCAATTAGCTTCGAGAGGTGCTCCTTGCCGTGTGTATCGATCACAACAGTGGCAGCTTCGAGCATCTTGGGTCGCACGTCTTCGCTGCGGTCTCCAAGCGCTTGTCCGTCGATCATGAACTCGAAGAAGGTGGGTACGTCGGTGCCTTGCAGGTAGGGAGACTGGTGACGCAAGGCAACGGCGATGGCCGCACGCGTCTGCCAGGGGTCCTGACGGTTCTTGGTCGAATCGATGACCATACCGAAACGGTCGTATTCGGCAGCCAACACCTTGTTCCTCTCCTTGTACAGCTGGCAGAGCTTGGCGACGACACTTGACACTTGCTCGGGGTGCTGCTCGGTAGCAGCAGCAAGAGCACGGGCACAGCTGTCGCGGACGTAGGCGATCTTGTGCTCGAGCAGAGCAATCAGCGGATCGGCGAAAGCCTCTGGCACATCGAGACCGTTCTCCTCCCACGCCTTTTCGGCAAGTCGCGCATTCTCCTCGTCCTCGTCGTGACAAGCCAGCCACAGCTCCAGAGGGAAGACGAGATCGGTGAGATCGAGCGGCTGGATGGCTTGAAGGCAGCCATTGCGCACGTACACCTCGTCCACCATAGTGTTGGACAGCAGCTTGTGGATTTCAGCGGGCAGTGCCGTCGTCCTGAGCGCCTCGCCAATGTCCCGCAGCGCCGAGACAGCATCTTTGGAGATCTGTGTGTGCTTTGCCACGATCGTGACCAGGCTGTCGATGAATGACGAACGAGGATAGCGCATGTCTTCGCACGCGGAGCCGTGAAAGTCGATGAAGTCGAGCGAGAGCTGGATCTGCTCCAGGACCGAGTCTGTGTCCTCTGAATCGACACCAAACCCGCCCGCCCGCACGATGCGAACGATGAGCGGATCGGTGAAGGCGACCGTGCCGGGATCCAGAGGAGACTGCTCGGACAGAGATCGCAGACGGTAGAGAATGCGAAGCACAAGCTCGTTGATGGGCTCAGCGCGGAAGTCTTCCTGCACGAGCTCCTCGTCGATGGTGCGCAGCAGCGCCACACCGATGAACATGGAGTAGGCTTCCAGTCGGATAGAGCAGCAGCTCGAGAGCGCCCAGAAGGCCTCTTTCGCCTCCTTCTCGAACAGTAAGCGAGCTTGAGAGATCTCAAAAGTGTGGAGAACAAAGTTGACGAGCGTTTGCATGTAGCTCTGCATCTCCTCGGTACGCGCGCCGACGATCGACGAGACTGTGCGGAGCGAGCGCACATAGCGAGACCGAATCTCTTCGACTTTAGCTCGTGCTTGCGCCTCGATCTTGGACTGTGCATCGACAGCAGCCTTCTGCTCCTTTGTGAGCGTCTTGTTCTGCGCTGCCTTTTTCTTGGCAATGTCGGCACGGAGCTCGGCTTCCCACTGATCCATCTTTGCGTTTTTGTTGTTCTTGTCGACCGTCTCTGTCTTGGTGTTAGAGAGTACGTCGACGTACAAAGAGCCAGGCTCGGTACTCCACATGCCCAGATCGTCCTGTGTGAGTGCGCGTAGATCGTCTAAGGGCGCATCCACCTCGATCTGCGAGACGAGCTCGGCCATGACAGAGTCGGGAGCGAGGCGAACGAGTGTCGTCAGAGCGGCGAAGCCTGCTTCTCGCAGATGGGCGTCGTCAATGGCCGTGCGCACAGCCGAGATGAGGTCCTGCTGTTTGGAGGTAATCAGGTCGATGGGGAGGATCTTGGCCTTGAAAGTGAGATCCATGAAGCAGGAAGTGCCGCGATCGAGCAAGTCGGCGTGGTGAGAAAGCACGAGCGTGTCGACGAGCGCCTTCTTCCTCGCCTCTGGGTCGAGCTCCTCCGAGAAAGTGGAAGCTGCGGACAGAAGACGACGAAGATCGCGCGCACGGGTCTCGGCAGATGGCTTGGCGTCCTCCGCATCCACAGATGCGGTCGCAGCAGCACCAGTCGACGCCGATGCCGCGGAGAGTGCGCCATTGGCTTTTGTTGCCGACGAAGCGGCGGCACTTGTCGAGAGCTGCGGGTGCTGGAGGAACGAAGAGATGCCGGAGGTGACAATATCGTGTGTGAGGACAGGCTCGACCTGAGCAAGCTCTTGTACCAAGGCCAGCACTGAGCGCTTCGAGTTGGGTCCCGTGGCGTGGAAGAGCACGTGAATAAGCGCAAGAGCGAGCTGGACCTGCACTGCCTGATCTGCGGTCAAGATCTGGCTGCGACGCTCGATGATGGCTTTCAAAGCGCGCGAGAGCCAGATCTCCTCTTCTGGTGTGGCGATCTTGCGGAAGACCTTGTCCGCAAGAAGGAAGGAAGGCTTGGGCTCGACGATCAAGATACCTTCTAGAGCGGCATTTTTGCTGAGGACGCCGTCAATCTTGCTAGAGCCTAGGCTTGCTAGACGGCCTTCGAGGACTGCCGCAGCGATGTAGCCTTCAAGAGGACCACCAGGAGCCGTGAGCGGGTTGGTGGACGCATTCTTGAGATTGGCCTCGAAACCAGGCAAGAGGGATTCTGCGAAGGCGCGGGTGGCAGAGGTGGCTGCCTGCTCAGCTGTCATGGACCAGAAAAGGTCTCCGACGGCCAGGCAGACGGCTTTCCTGATGGGGACCTTTGCGTTCTGCATCTCCTTTGTGATGGCGGCAGATACAGACGTAGCTGGCAAAGCGTCAGCCTGTCCAAGTAGCCAGGCGAGGTGATGCGCGATGGCAACAACAGCAGCATGCATGGAGGCCTCTTGCGACTCCTTGGCCAGCAGAGAGGCGATGACTTCGACGACTGTAGAGCTCTTCGCAGCCTCGCCGGGTGCAACAGAAGAGAGCATGAGATAGATGGAAGTCCTAGCCTCTGGCGTTGCTGCCTTGCCTGCCTTGAGAATGGCAAGCAGTTCTTCTACCACCGCCGTCTTGGCAGCATCGTCGTCGCGGATGCGTGCGGACAGAACCGCGAAGAAGTCGGAGGCCTTTGTCCTGGTGGCCGCGTTGGAAGACCGTGATGCGGAGATGACGGGATTGAGCAATGGCTTGGCATGGGGGCCTACGTCGACTTTGACAGCGGTGAAAAGCCTTGTTGCGATGGGCAGAGCCACTTCGGGTGAGCGAAGGAGCATCTTTTCCAGCTGAGGTCGCAGAGTGGCAGAAAGGTCTTGCTCTGTAACCTGATCGGCGACAAAGTCGTCGAAAGCGCGTAGCGAGTGCTCGGGCACGGCGGTCTTGGAAGCTACGATCTGTGTGCTGTAGAAGGCGAGGATCTCTTTCTTGACGTCCTTGATGTAGCCACGACCGATGCCGCTTGGCGCGCCTTTTGTCTGTTCAGAGCCCGCTCGGAGCCTTGTGCAGACACCGACAGCCTCGCCGAGGAGTGCTGAGGAGCGAATGGCGGCGGCTGGAGTAGGAGTAGCACAGAGGATGCTCATGAGACGTGGCAGGCACGCATGAGCTTTGCGCAACTTGCGGCGGGTCAAGGCAACGGCGTTCTTCCTGACACTGTCGCGTCCGATTGTGTCGGAGAGGATGGTATCATGAGTGGTTGCAAGGAGCTGGACAAGCGGCTCGAAGGCCGGTAAGGAATGTGGTTTTGGGTCCTCGCTGCTGGCGGTGACACGGGCGCACCAAGTGGAGTAGAGAGTGCAGACGTAGGCGTGTAGTGCTGCAATGGTCGGAAGCGATGTGGTGGTGGAAGGCTTGCAGATGCGTTCTGCCTCTCTCTTGAGCCAAGCGAGGGCATGTTTTGCTACAGGGCCGTTTGTGTCTGGTGAAGTAGCTGCTTCGTCCATGGAGACGAGTCTGGAGAAGACACCGAGGGCAGCGAGCCTGGATTCGCGATCTATGTATTTGGAGTAGGTACGCAGGATGAGAGTGAGGAGCTCTGCCCTCTGCACCGATGGAAGCTCGGACAGCTCTGCAGCTTTGACAGCGTCTCGTTGTAGAAATTGGAGGCGCTGGCGTGTGCTGGTGGAGTTGAGATGGATGTGAGCATCTTGAACGAAGGCGGACCAGTTGGTGAGAGGGTCGATGGTCTCCCTGTCATCATCGCCCGAGACGCTCATCTTTGCAGGAGCGAGGTCGTCGTCCGAGTCGTAGGGTTCCTGGTGGGGTTCTGAGGAGGCCCGCTGTATCCAGTTCTTAAGGTCGCGCTTCTTGGCTAGCATGCGGCGCAAGCGGTGAGGCGTAGCAGCTTGCTGTACTGAAGCAAGCGTAGCGTAGCAAGTGAGTGAGGGAGAGATGAAGAAGCTGAGCAGCTTGAATGACAAACACCAAAACCAAATTGGAAGAACTGAGTCTCGAGCACAGACGAGAAAATCGCTCGCTTCCAATTCACTCGACTGTCACACATCACGAGGCCAAAGCGTGCTCAGCCTTGAGAAAAGATTGCTCTCTCTCTCTCTTTGCCTCATTCGTCTCATCTTGATCGCTTGGCAAGTCGGCAGCATGACTTTGCGTGCCGTGCTCTCCGAGGTGCTGGATCAAGCCGCAGGCTTCATGCAAGTCAGCTATCGACTAGTCTAGACCGGCATGTCGAAGTCGGAGAAGAACGAGGATCGGCACGGAGCGAGTCGAATTGTTCTAAGGTGTTAGAGTGCCAGGTCGAGCTCAGCCGCAGTCGGTCCCTTGTTGGTGGACCCTGAAGATCGAAGTTCGTGAGCCATGGTACGGCTCATGTCGATGCTCGTGTCGCTTCTGGTAGAGTGAGCCTATCGTTCAATCTGTAATTCCACTATCCATCTGTGAGCGAGTATGTGAGCAGGAAGCAAGCAGAAGCGGACGGCCACTTGCCCTATGAGCAGATCTCTCTCTCTGTCACAGCAGATCGGGCAAGATCTACGCCTTCGGGCTGCAGGCAACTCTATTTTTGCGCTTAGGTGGAAGGCGCATCGGGTAGCCTTTCCTTGCCTGGATCTGAGAAGAAATTCGAGTCAGCCCGGCGCAGCTCAGCCAGCACGCGGCGAGCCTTTGCAGCGGACAGCGTGATCCAATCATTCATTCAATCCGCTCGGTCCATTTTCCATTCCTTATCTTCCCTTCCTTCACTCACGATCCCTTTCTCTGCAGAGATCCACATTCGACACACGATCATGTCCGCAATCAAGGACGCATTGGCTTCGGCCGCAGAGGCCCTTCACATCTCCAGCGACAAGAAGACGATCGGCGGCGGTCCACCCGTCTACGTCGACGAAAAGGCTGGCAACGATCAGACCGCAGATGGTTCCAAGTCTTCGCCCTTCGCAACACCATTAGCCGCTCTTCTCGCAAAGGGCCAAGACGCTTCCGTCTTCACCAAGAAGGCCGACGCTACTCCTGGTGAGGACGGCGTCGATGCTGATGGCTACGCTCCCATCTCAGCTTCTGCTTCCAAGAAGGTCAGCAAGCTCTATGCTACTGCGCTCAAGAAAAAGGAAAAGGCGAGCGAGCAGGCTGCCAAGGATCAGGCATCGGCTGCCAACGACGAGAAGAGGCTCGAAGAGAGCAAGAAGGTGATTCTCGAAGAACCCTCTTCCTCGGCAAAGAAGATCAAGATCAACCAGGGAAGCAACTTCCGTGATCAGCGCGTCAAGATCAGCGGATGGGTGCACCGTCTTCGTTCGCAGAAGGACCTCACTTTCATCGTCCTCCGTGACGGTACCGGATACCTTCAGGTCGTTCTCTCTGGCAAGCTCACCACCACCTACGACGCTCTTACCCTGACCACTGAGTCGACTGTCGAGATCCAGGGTCAGCTCAAGGCGGTGCCCGAGGGCAAGACCGCTCCCGGCGGCCACGAGCTCGTTGCTGACTACTGGAAGTGCCTTGGCAAGGCTCCTGGTGGAGACGAGGCCTACACCAACGTCGTCGCCGAGACCGCCGATCCCAACAGCTTGGCCGACCGTCGTCATCTCGTCATCCGTGGCGAGACCGCTTCCGCCGTGCTCAAGGTGCGCGCTGAAGTGCTCAAAGCTTTCCGTGCCGAGTTCGACAGCATTGGAGTGACCGAAGTCACCCCGCCCTGCATGGTACAGACTCAGGTCGAGGGCGGTTCCACCCTCTTCAGCTTCGACTACTACGGTCAGCCCGCCTACCTCACCCAAAGCTCGCAGCTCTACCTCGAGACCTGTCTCCCTTCGCTCGGCGACGTCTTCTGTGTCCAAGAGTCGTTCCGAGCCGAAAAGTCGCACACTCGTCGTCACCTGTCCGAGTACACGCATCTTGAAGCCGAGCTTGCGTTTATCTCGTTCGACGACCTGCTTGCGCATCTGGAGCAGCTTATTTGCGGTACGCTCTCGCGCGTCCTCGAGGACCCTCGCGCCAAGGCGTTGCTCGACCAGCTCAACCCCAACTTCCAGATGCCCTCGCGCCCCTTCCGTCGCATGGACTACAAGGAGGCCATCCAGTGGCTCAACGACCACGACATCCCCAACGAGGACGGTCAGCCGCACAAGATCGGCGACGACATCGCCGAGGCCGCCGAGCGCAAGATGACCGACGACCTCAACGTGCCCATCTTCCTCTGCGGTTTCCCGCGCGAGATCAAGAGCTTCTACATGAAGCGCACCGAGGGCGACGAGGGTTTCACGGATTCGGTCGACGTTCTGATGCCCGGTGTAGGCGAGATCGTCGGTGGATCCATGAGGATGGCCGACCAACACGAGTTGTTGGAGGCGTACAAGGCAGAAGGCATCGACGCCGCCCCTTACTTCTGGTACACCGACCAGAGGAAGTACGGCACCTGCGAACACGGCGGTTACGGCTTGGGTGTCGAGAGGTTCCTGGCTTGGTTGACCAACAGGTGGACCGTCAGGGAGGCAAGTCTCTACCCGAGGTGGACTGGTAGATGCACTCCTTGAAGCGGGCTCTTTCTGTCCTTGCCTATCACTTTGTTGTTCAGCAATTGAAACTTGCACAGACTCATCGCCATGATATGAAACCCTGCTCGGAATTGAGCTTTAAGATGTCTTTTGATTGAGGCGCTCTTCGGCATGATGAGCGTACGTGGTGGGAACGAGTGAAGCAGTCGAGCCTGGAACGTCTGCACCAAAAGACAGTTAATCTACTCTGAGCACGGGCATTGTAATGGCTGTGCTGTCCTTCGCACGTTGAATGTTTAGGTCGACTTGATCGCCTTCTCGGCTTTCCTGATAGCCCTCTTCCTCGTCGTCACCTGCTGCCCGTAGGTGTAGCTGAGCAACCAGCCCCTGGGCAGCACGAATGTCGTAGCCCAGTCGACCAGCGCATGTCCGGGCCACGGCGTCGACGTGTACGGCCTGCCAACGGCGCCTCCGTTCCTGCCGATCGTCTTGAGCACCTGCGCAACATACTGCTTGGGGGTCGGAATCATCGCGCTCGACCTGCGAATCTTGGACAGGTTGGAAACGACAAAGTACGTGTTGAGCAGGCTGACGGTGACATTGCTCCTGCGGAGCTCTTCGCCCATGGCCTGCGACCAGCCGCTGAGGAACGACTTGCTACCGGCGTACGTGGCCAGCATGGGGGTCGTCACTTGACCAGCGAACGAGCCGAGGTTGAGCACCAGTCCGCGTTTGCGCGCCACCATGCCGGGGATGATCATGCGCGACACGCGAAGAACAGAGACGACGTTGATCTCGATAATGTCCTCCATCTCCTCCTCGGTCGTCTCGGCGAAGGTGACGGGCATGTCGTGCGACTTGCCCACGTTGTTGACCAGCACACCGATGTTGAGGTCCTTGACCGTGTGCTCGAGGCCTTCGTACTGGCGTTCGTCGCCAAGCGCAAAGTCGATCGCCTGCGTCTTGGTTCGAACGCCAGGGCTGGCAGCTTCGATCTCGGCCGCAACAGCGCCTAGCTTCTCAGGGCTGCGAGAGACGAGGAGGATGTTGAAACCTTTCTTGGCAAGCTGGATGGCAAACTCGCGACCGATGCCGTCCGTGGCACCGGTGACAACGGCCCACGCCGCTTTGTGGTAGTCCTTCTTGTTGGCGCCAAATTTGGACACTGGCTTGCCGGGGAGGATGTAGAGGTCGGCAAAGAGCAGGACAAGACGAAGCACGAATGTTCCTACCGTGAGTGCGCCGAGGAGCGCGAGGACCACGAGGGTGGCAGAGAGAGGCGTCAGGCCGTGGTCGACCCGAAGACCGACGTGACGCAGAAGGCCGTCGAATTGCTGTTCGATCGCCATGTTGCCGTGATCCGATGGACGGTAAAGGATCTTGAGATGGTGTGAAAGAAAGTGAGGATATGATATCAAGTCGACGATCTTCTAACTAAAATCGCGTCTGTCGAATGAAGATGGCCAAAGCGTCACGCGTGAGGAATTTCTTCTTGGGGGTCGCAACTGCAGCGTAACGCGCTGGTCAGCGGCAATCTGTAAAAGCCGGAATCCAACATTGAGTCCGTCCTATCACATGCATACGTGCAGCTGACAGCTGTACATCAAGCAGCATTGAAGGCTTCTCGCGATTCCATCACCAGAGACTGATACGATATTCGTCTGGGCGGGAAGATACAGACAAGAAGGTCCTCGTCGGTGAAGCGGCCGAAAGCGCTGATCGACAGCCAACACCTCACACAGCCGGCGTGACCTCGACATTGGTCGTCATGGTTCTGACACCATCGTCCAGGAGCGTGAGAACAAAGCCGCAGCATAGTCTACCTTGGCGGCTTCTCTGACCGACTCATATGCATCAAAGGGAGCCGTGCGTGCCTTCAACTATATGCGAATCTAACCCAGGCTCAAAGACGTTCCGAGAGCGGTGAGGTGACGTGCGCACGCGGCCCTAGCAATGCTTCCTTGACATCCTGTCATCAACACGTCAGAGTCAAATGACATGACAGCCAATACTACCAGGCCAATCTCTCCGACAGCTTTCTAATACCCAGTATCGCCGTCTTGTTTGAGCTCAAGCCTCGACGTGATGCCGAGGTTGCATGGTCTCCATGCGTCGTCAAGGTCCAAGCGTACCTATTTACGTCTCGTGACAATGACGAGAGAGGCCCAGTGCAGGTCATCTGCAGGACCCTTCCGACGGATGCACGATGCGCAGCTCCTTGGTGCGGTGCTTCTTGACGTCCAGTGTGCTATGACCGACGGCCAATGCCGTCATCAGACGAGAGCTGCTGGCGGCAAGCCACCCGGTGGGGACTTCATTTCAGATAGTCGACCTCGACTTCACTTGAAAATTTACCACCTACTCCGCTGGACCTTTCTACAGCATCGCAAGTGAGGAGCGGAAAGTCGATTGGTTCTACCACGCACAAGCAGATCGCATCCAATGACCAAGCATGTCCTCGAAGCAGAATGTCGCGAGTCCCGGCAAGGCGATGACGCAGAAGTCAGCGCCCAGACCCGTTCGAGCAGAGGCCACCGCGTTTCAAATCACACACTTCTGGGACAAGATCATCTCCGTCGACCTCAACTTGGGCGACAAATACTTTGAGCTCAACAGCTGCAAAGTATCCTCTCATGCCATGATGCACGTGCTAGGGGCGTATAAAGATGGCGAAAAGCCCATCGATCACACTTTGTCGCAAGCAGACCAGAAGGAATTCATGTCTTCCTTCTACAGCTGGATGAACGTGGGCGGAATGCTGAGAGCCGACAACATACCGGGCGTCTCCTTCCGCGGTTCCAAGATCAAGGTTTTTTGCCAAGACAGCGAGACGCTAGTGGAAAGCTTCTACATCCTCAACAGCTCCAAGATGCAGTTCTCGAAGTTCTACACCGCCTTCGAGGCCAAAGGTTTTCCGTTCAAGCCGAAGCAGTGGACGCTTCGGAGCCTTCCCGCCGATCCCAACGAGGAGAGGCTCATTGCGAACTTCAAGAGCTACCTCGGCAATAACAAGGAGTCCCTTGGCGAGAATCGGGCAGTCTGGGCGAAGTTTTCCAAGATCTCGGGCATCGAGGGGAGATGCTTCGCAGGCACCCTGGTGCTGCTGAATGACGCCACCACGATCAGCGACAAGCGGCCGGATGCACCCTTCGTCGGAGTCGAGCCGGAGGATCGGCCGTACACATACTCTAGCTAGGACCGCAAGAACTCTGAGAAGCCGCAGCTTCTCGGCAACTCTGTCTCTTATCCCTCCCTGTGCATGTGCGTGCTCAGTTCGTTCATCCAAAGCGTTCGTCGAGCTCTAGACCAAAGACTATGCCCGTTCTGTAGGCCGCTTTGAACGCCCACTTCATGAAAGGGAGTCATTGTGCTTGCATCGATACAGGAATTGATATGGAGCATGCCGCACGAGCGTGACTGCGACGACTTTTCTGAAATCACACTTCATACCTCATCTAGTCGGAACAGAATACAACAATATGAGCGTGCAGGGATAGGAGATGAGCTCAATGAGCTCCGATTCGATAGAAGCATGGTCAGAAGCGATTTGATCGGACAATGATGTTTCGCGTTATGCAGTGTCAGGCTCTAACGGGCAGCATTGCGGTATCGACTTGCGATCATCGTGCGGCCTCTTCCGGACAGAATTTGCCCTAGTCGGACGAAGGGTTGACATCAACGCCAAGCATCTGGGTATGAATGGCCAAATTACGACGCAATGCAGACGTGGGCGAATCATTACCCACCATACAGAGCCGGTGCAAACGAAACCACAATGGTTTTCGACAGGCACGGTGAGATGAAGGCAAAGCTGTGTCGATGCGCTCTCAGATGCGGTCTCGAAAAGGATATAAACAGCTGTGAGTCAGAAGAAAGCTTTTCCCTTAACATCATCGACAGTCATCACCGATTTGTACTGACAGTGAGTTCATCAGTCATTCTCTGATCTGTCCCTTGCTCAATTCGCTCACCTTTCGTCCCGCAAATCCCCTTACGTCCTCGAGCAGAGCTACGATGACAGACACGATCAAACACGAAGAAACCACTATGCATGGAGAGGTCGCGTCCGACAGCCAGCCTAAAGTCGATACCGCCAACGAAGATCGTCCCCAGATCTCGGAAGGTCAGTCGCAGCAGCCGAGGCCTAGCGTAGTCCCCACGAGGGCACCGACGTTCGAGACTAGACACTTCTGGCAGAAAATCTTCTCGGACGACTTTGCGATCTCCGATGCAAGCTTTGTCTTGAACACCAGAGAGATTTCGCCGACAAACATGATGCACGTCTTGAGGGCGGGTCGTAAGAAGAGTTATGATTACGAGCTTTCAAGGAGCGAACAAGAACGATACATCTCTTACGTCTATCGTCAGATGGACCGACGAGGTCTCCTCCGAAACGGCAATCCACCTGGCATTTCCTTCGATGGATCAAAAATTATGGTCCTCTGTCCAGACGAGGAGACTCTCGTCGGAAGTTACGGAGAGGTCGCATGTTCGGCGCAAGAACTTTAAGGCTTCTTCACTATGCTCGAAACCAAAGGCTTTTCGTTCCAGCCCAAGCAGTGGGAGATTAAGGGACTAGCCGCACACTCCGATATGGAGAGGCTTCTGCAAAGCGTGCGAAGCTATCTCGAAAGAAATCAGGCTCGGCTCGGACGGCCGCGCGCTGTCTGGGCAAAGTTCTACGAGGCCTCGAGTACAAGAGATTCTTCGCGGGCAGTCTTTTTTTCGTGACCGAAGCCGCCACGATCAGCGCCACAGGTCCTCTTGAGCCCTTTGACGGCGTAGTGCCGGTGGACGAAAGAAGCTGGATTCTCTGAGCCGCTATGCCGGTACCGGATCGCAGATTGTCCCATTGACGCCCCATCCAGAACCGGCAAGCTGCAATTTTTTGGCGTCCTTGTCGATACTGATAGTAGTGGCTCGACGAAATCCAACTCCTGCTTTGCGATGTACTCTGCATTTCGTGTTGATCCGTATACGTCTGTCGGTTCCGGTGACGGCAGAACGCTGTCGTACGACACTGTCACGAGACCCTTACACCGCCGTGTTCAAACCTATCTCAGACGATCACGGTGTCAGCAGTCTCAGCGTGCTCAGCCGGCCTGCAGTTGACCTCGCACAACGGCCGTGATTATGGTCTTGATGACACCGTCCGCCTTCAAACAGTCACAGGTCGCGTAAGAGTCACCGCGAATTCTGCCTTTTGAGCGACCTTGATAACCAGCTCCTTTGATGTCAACAGGGAAGTTTTCGACCTTCTTTCATGCATGAGCTAGGGACCCAGGTTGCTTCGCGAGCTCAGGAGGTGTCAACATCGCAACTACGGCAACCACTAAATTGAAGCGGTCGTCGTCGTTGCTCGCCAACCGTCATTTGTCAAACTTCGCACAGCCCTTCGGAACGCAGTCGGTTGCTCAATCGGTTGGTCGGGAGAAGCTTCCGCGCCTTCCTTCTCGACCACGCGGAATACCACTGGCGAACAACCATGCTTATCAAAGCGTTCTAGATTGACAACCGGCAGACAGCTCAGAAAATGCACCGTCGATCAACCAACAGGTGAACCCTTGATACTGGGCGCACGAGATCTTGACAACAGAACCCCTGAGCGGATATGCGAGTAGAGGTTGAGCATCCAGTGCATCGGTCGACCTTCCCGGCCGCGCATCCGTGTCGACGTATGCCATCGCGAAGGCGAGGATGAGGCGCCAAGGACCCTCGAAAGCGGAGCATAGCCCGTTGACCCAGAGCGTGGGGTTCATTCGCGCGGGTTGTCATGATACGTGTCGATCATCGGCTGTACCCCGCCCACGTCGCACCAACTGGACAGAGTCTGGCTGGCAGCCACGCGAGACAAAAAAAGCGGCAGCACAGCCGCAGCGCGTTTTTCGCCGCCTTTCCCCCTCGTTTTGGCAATGCGCTTCACCGACGTCCACTCATTTTTCTCAACCAAGCTGTCGGGTGACTTGTGACAGCTCTCGCTTTCCTCGATAGGCGCGGTGGTTGAGCGTCCAGCGTACGCTGAGTGCCAGCATGCAGAAGAACAATCTTGGCCAGCGCGGTAACAATGTTACATTGACAGCGCTAGACAACGCTGTGTCGGTCAAATTCGCAGGCCGATTGCCGGCGACGCGCCGACGAGTCTTGCTCTTTTGTGCGCCCACCTCTTCCGCCCGGGCCAGACCCACTCATTGTTCACCAGCCTGGGCTATTGAACGTCTTCATCGAATCTGTGTATGGGCCATCCTATACAGGGCACAAGAGCATCTGCACCGCGGCACTGGCGGAGTCTCACTCAACAAAGAGCCTTAGATCTGAGACCCTTCTCTTTACTTTGTCTCACCCAGTCGCAAATCTAGACCCTTGTCTTTGAGGCAAATTTCTGCAGACGCGCGTGAGTGTACTTTACGCCACTGCGCTCGCCGGGGGGTGAAACGCCGAACAAATTGCTTTGTCTGCCCTGAACCACCTGTGATAGGAACAGGTGTTTGTTGAAACAGCGAAAAGCGTGTCGGTCTGTCTCAGGCTCGCCCTGGCCGTTCCTTGAGTGGCAAACAAAGAAAGGGATGTGTGTCTCGGCCACACCTGACGTTCGGTGATCACTGCGAACAAAGACGCCCTTGAAAGGTGCAAACAAGACCCAGGTTCCATATCGTGAAGGGCGAGACACGCCGATCAACGTCGATACCGGCGTGCTTGATGTCTTGCTCGAGATGCAGTTGGTTTGTAGGCGGTGGTGTTCGCCGCCTAGAGTGAGGAGTGATTAGCGGATGAGATGTGCAAAGGCGGTTCGCTGAAAAGTGCATTGCATAGCCGCCCCCCGATCCACTGCAGACCCGAGAGGCCGGCTGCATACTGGTCTCTGTTAGAGAAACCCGCATCGCATTTCCAACGCGGTGGTCGTTTGCGCTTCGACCAAATCGTACAAGCGTGCTCGTTGCTGTACTCTCTGTTGTCACATGGCAGATTGCGATGAGCTGTGGAGTGATCATGTGAGATCGGCAGGTGTCTGGCTCGAGCGGATCGACGGACCGGCTTTGTCTCGGCGAAGTGGGCGAGATCGGGCTCCGGTACCGGTAGATCTGACATTTGGGCGTTGTGGATGGGCGCAGGCAGAGACGCGCGTGTCTCTCCCCAAGCCGCTTGGCAGCGCGGCACAACCTTTTTGCGACCCCAATTTCGCTGCTTCTATTTTCGACTATTTCTCACAATTCCACAAGGCACGGCGCAGAAGCTTGGTCGAAGACGCCAGAGACATCATGACATCGGCATGCGTCTGTGAGATCGACCACCCCTCCCTGAATGGCTTGCTCCATTCTCGGCCCAAACCGGAACCTAATCCAGTCCCACGCTCTCGAGCGTAGGCTACCATGCAGACCGAATCACGGCCGAGCGAGGCAGCTGAGAGACCCATCACATCTTCCGTCACAGCGAAACAAAGGTCTGAGCGCAGTCTGGTCAAACGACTGGGACACAAAGGAGTGCAGGTCGTGAGAGCTTTCGCGGAAATCTGGACGTGGCTCGCTTGCTGCGAAATTCAAACTTCGCATGAGGACCAAGCGAGCAGTTCGCTTAGACACGGCCTCATCCTTGTAAAAGGGACCGCGCTAGGGCAGTCATGCGAGACATTCGCACCGGCATCACCGAGCATCTCGGCTAGAAACCTTGCAATCTTACACCCTGGAATTATTTGCTTTTCTCTCAACTCTTGACGCTCTGCTCGCCGAGGAGGCCATCTGATGGAATCACCACGCATCTCGCTTCGACGTCGACATACACTCCGCACATAAAGGGCGGCTGCCCATTCTCCTCTTCGGTCAAACTCTCGAGTTGAGATCTCGCAGCCGAGCTCGACCTTGGGAAAGCCACGTTGCTACCATCACCTGGATCGAGACGACCTTCTCCGAACGGGAGAGTAGAGCTTCGACGTGTCTGGCACACCTTCACAACCACGCTTTGACCGCCTTGCCTTGCGCATGTCCCGCAGCTCCGATTTCTCGGTATGCGGATCGATATCACATCTGACATCTGAAAGCTCGAGTGTACGCGAATCAGGGCCCCCGGTGACGACTAGACTGGCTCGGAAGACGCCAATCTGCGTCCATCGTTGACTCGCCAGAGATGGAAGCGAGTGCGCGAGGGACGTCTAACGGAACCACTCTAACAGCATGATGAACGAATTTTCGCCGCGTGCCGAGACCGGAACGAGGCAAGGCGAGACACAAATTGTGGGAAGCAAATACAAGCCGAGCCCACGCATTCATCGACGAGCCAAACTCATCCATCCGTCGTCCATCCTTCTATCCTTTGGCTACACAAAACAATGGGTGAAGTCAATGATCACCACGATCCCGACCACTGAAACCTGTGACGAGAACATGAAAGGGACCTGACATCTAGCTCGATCGGCCCTGATCCTGTCATTGTCGCCGATCTGGCCTAACAATGGGTCAAGCGACCATTGGATCACGCCGTGACGGAATCTCTGAACAATATTTGCAACTCCGCGAGCCTTTTTTTGGCAGGGAATTGGAATCCCGCTCTCTGCAGTCCTGTCAAAGAGGCGTGCTGGGCGCACGAATGCATACAACGTCACCCTCTTCTGTTCTCGGCCTTCAAATGCGCATGCATGAATGAAACAGCCGTCTGTGTCGCACGCACAAAATTGGTTTCTCATACGCATACAAGGTCCGACCATGTCACCAGAACCGACGTTCCGGATGTCTACCAACCTTTCTTTTATCGCAATGTATCAAGAGGTGGTGCAGGTTGCAGCCGCGCAGCAGTCAAATGGGCTTGCGTGCATACGTTGCAACACGACCTGCGTGTGGACAAGTCGGCCCCCTATTGATGCTACGGGGTCCAAGCGGCGGCGGCTGCAGACGGCCCGACTTGGGATGGCGTGTGTCGTCGCCTTTGGCTGTGGCGCCGTCCCGAATCGGCTGTCCGTAGGCCGATACTATGCGAGAGCAAAGCCCAGTCAAAAGCCTTTCAAATGCCTGCACAATTCTCCTGTTTGCTGTACCACCTCGTGAAGGACATGGGCCCCACGCAGCCACAGCCACAGTGGCGAGGTCAGGTGCCAAGGGCTGGAAGACACCGCTGGCGCTTGATTGGGCCGATGTCAAACAAGGACAACGCAGACAATGGCAGCGACAGGAGGAACTTGCGCGAGCACGCACCACGACAGCTCAGTGTGTCACGGAATGGCTTCCGTCGTCGTACTGTCTCCGAACCATGAGGAGGATGAAGCGAAGGCCCTCAGAACTCGCTCAAGCGCATCCCTTCCGCGAGGCTGACGTGCAGAAATAAAGCTGCTGCGTGCATGGTCGCGCACTGTTCTGTTCGCTCTTCGACGTTCCGTGCATCCATTGTTACCTGTCAACTAGCCGCCTTCCGAAGCGCTGCCCACAAAGGGGTGCACTGCTTTGAACGCATGTCGTTCGGCAACAAGGGCCTACTTGGACGGGTGTCACGTTCGGAGATTCGCCAGCGAGCGCCCTTTCCCTCTCGAGGTGATCAGTTCTTCGTCCCACTCCCACGCACCATGCCAACATAGCAACGGCTGCATTCGCAATGCAAGGCTTCGGCGCTGGCGGTGGCTAACGTAGCGCCCTTCTTTTGTTTTCTGGGCGCTCTGTTCGTCGCCATTCGGCCAACCTTGTTCTTGTCCTGGAGATGGTGGCGGTACTGGCTTCAGGGTCCGTCTGCATCTGGGGTCCAACTTTAGGCTGAAGTGTGGCTGGCTGTCTGGCTGGTAGGTTGCATAGCAGCCGCCTCTTACTCCAGATTCCGCAAGCATTTCCACTTTCCTGGACTCTCTCTTGGTCGATCTCAACCGAGATGCACAGCACAGGCCGCGGTATATGGGCTTGCCTTCTGTTGGCTGATCGACCCTGGCCCGCCTGTCGGTCGTTCCCCTTGCTTTTTCCACCGCCCCCAGGGTCTCGAAATGTACCGCCGTTGAATTCCGAGAGCGCCTCACTCCCAGCTCACCCCTTGCACTCGAACGTCGAGCTGTCAACGCCTTGCCAACCCCCCTCCTTCGGCCACACTTTGAGCTGGACATGGATGCACGTTCCGTCGCGTTGGATGGTACGGCCAAGCGGTTGTCATGGAGAGATGCTGCGAGGAACATGCTGCGCGGTTGTCCGTGTTGGGCGCGCTTGGGCGTCGTCGGAGAAGGGCTGCCGTTGCTATTTCTCTCTCTCCTTGCACCGCAACCTCGAGCTAAAATCCCACATGGCCCCCTGAATATCGAAAAAAAGCAGGGATTTCCCCATTCTTTTCCAGGATGGTGCTGTCGATCGAAAGTTCTGATCAGACCGGAGACAGACAGGCCCCTTTGATGAGACGCTGTTCGGTACCTTAGCGTGGGACGATCCGCTCGTCTTTCGCTCAGAGTTGCGGTACCACGCGCGTCCGATGGGCTCGAGCCTCGCGCTAAGCCTCTTTTGCGAGACATGCTCTCCCTCTGTGCTGCTTCGATCGCCGCCAGAAGGCTCAGGCTTAAGCACACTCGTGCTTCGCCCAATCAGCCCTCCCGCGCTTCTCCTGGCCCGCTGTCATGGTTGACTTTTGGGTCGATCTTTTCCAAGAAGGTGTGCGCGCTCGGTCCCCTTCGGCCCTCGATGATCCATGTCTCGACTAGTGTACCGAGGGCGAATCCACCGATCCCTGCACCCCTCGCTTTTGCTTTTGCTTTTGCCAAGGTCGACGCTGAGACCTGATCGGCTGCTTCTGTTTGCCGGTCTCATCCGGGAGGTTCCGTGACATGGATCTCGCCGTCGTGGTGTCTCTGATGCGCCAAAACATTGTCTTCTCAGCCAGGCACTCATTGTGAAGGACAGTAGCCGCTCAGACACCTGCTCGTGCATGGCTCTCTGTCAAAGGGGAGGAGGAGCGGTCGAACTCGAGGCGAGCCGGCAAGGAGAGTGGAGCTGCAAGCCCTTTTTTGCTCTTGTCTGCGTCGGAGCTTGTGCCCCGTGCGCCCACCACACTGTGTTGCACAAAACCTTTGCGCTAATTGGACTCCGCCTGTCACCTGTGCGTGGAGCAGTGGGCGCGGTGCAGAAATGCGAAACCAAAAACACGTTTGGAATTGTCTCTCAGCACGCAGCAGAGTCAGGGCAACCAGCTTCCACGCAGCCAGGGCGGCGGACGGATGATGCAGTTCACCCCTCTTCCCAGCGCTGTGCAAAGCGCAGGTCTCGCCTCGAAAAATATTTGTAAAAGTTTCTCGTTCCTTTTCCTCTTTGTCTCTCGGCTCTGGTGCAGCGCTGTCTCGTCTAGCATGCTCGGCTTTTTTATTTGTAAAATCGAAATTGAAACTTGGGCCGCACGCTTGGCAGGCAGGCAGGCAAGGGTCGTCTCTGTGTCTCGCGCCCTCACAAGTATGCCGGTCTCACGGCGGCGGCTCGAGAATTGCACGACCCTGCGTGCTCCTGCCGTCTGCTGCTGCTGCCTCCTCGTCGAAGCCGGGGTTCCATCATAGGCTCCCACGTCCGCCTCTCAAGTTTCGACAGACTGCCACTCACGGTCACACTGCCCTTTTCCTCCCATGCTCGACCTGCCATTCCTCTAGTCACGCTGAGCTCGCCCATCGCTCCTCGACCAAGGTCCGACTTGGCGCTCAGAGTTTGCCCTTCGTCACTGCTTTCCCCTTGCCACCACTGTCCGCACTGCCCCGCTCCGCTGGGAAAAAGCTTACTGTTGCCGTAGCTGCTGCTGCTTAGGGTTAAATTTTGTGCGCTCGGTCCGTTCCTCTGGCCCTCCCGTTCGGCTCTTGCCTGTGCCATACCCTTTCTCTGTGCCCCTCTCTCGCCACCAGAAATGGGTCTTCCTGGGGGGCCAACCCGTCCGTCGGCGATTCGTACTGGCTGACTGATTGACAGACCGACTGAATGACTGTCCGGCTGACCCTGTCATTGTTCTTCGTGATCCAGAAATGTGGGTGCCTCCATGTCTCTCTGCACCCCGTACCCGCTTTCCTGCCCTCCCCCCCTTCGCCCTGGCCCTCTGTTCCCCCTGCGTGCGCCATCGTTCCTGCTCTCTGATCCGTTTCTTCTTCGCCTCGCCACTCTGGCCCACAATCTTGAGAGAGAGAGGATTCCGCCGCTCGTCTGCCGCCTCGATAGGCATTCTGTGCTGAGATTCCTAAAACCTTAAGCCTGTCTCCGCTCCTGCCAGAACGCAATCTGAGACTGCAATCAAAGCCGTCTCGCCCTTGCCCTCCTGCCATCTTGCCCTACCCTTCCGCTATACTCGACCTCCGGTCCTGGCCTTGGTCGTCGGTTTCCAATATAGTCTCTCCATCTTTCGTGTCGAACCCATCATCCTCGACCCTCGTCCATTCGTACCTACAACGCTACTCTCATCGACCCTCCCTATTCTTGACCTTCTCAACCCACCGCCCCTATCCATCGACGCCTAGCATTGTTCTTCGCCGTCGCAACACCCTTCCTCACCGTCGCCTAGCATCCTTCATACTCCGGTGCATTCGACAGTCGCCTTTCATAGATCTCGCTCTATCGACCTCGATAGCGTGACACAAAAGACAAGCTCCCGTCGGCCTTGCCGCCTTCATTTCGCATCATCTACTCGGCAATCTCGCCTTCTTTAAAAGCATCTCTCGCGTCCTCTCAGCATCAGCATCTCGTCTCCTCACCCACGCCAACTGCATTCAGTCATCCACACCCCACAGCTAGACTTGCTTTCATAAATGTGCACAGCAGTCTCTGTCTTCTACGCTCTACTCTGATCGTCAGCCAAGCCACTTCAGCACCAGTCTTCTTCAACACTTCGATTTCGACCACCCTGACATCGTCATCATGGCTGCCACAGTAGCTTCCGCCTACAACAACGCCGCCGCTCACGGCTACCAGTCCAGCGTGACTGCCGAGTCGTCGTCTGCCAAGGCTTCGTCCTCGAGGTCTTCCCATCGCGACCATCACGACCGATTCTACGGATACCGAGGTAGGTTCAGCATGTACGCTTCCACGAGCTTCTCTCTCGATCTTCTTGACTGACCTCTTGCCATCATCACCTCCATCGTTAACACTGCAGAACCATCCGAGCTCTGCGAGAGATTCATTCTCTACCTCTTCTCCTGCCCGCTCGACTCGACCTCGGCGTCGGCATCCCTCCCTGCCACCTCCAACGGCAACCCTGCTCCCCGTCTTTCGGAGTTCATCGCCTATGCCCTCTACCGAACTCGCCTCCCTGAGGCGGTCACCTTCCAAGCTCTCTACCTCCTTCTTCGACTCAAGATCCGCTTCCCCGCAGCACGTGGCTCTTCAGGCCACCGCCTCTTCATCTCGGCCCTTATGATCGCTAGCAAGAGCAGCTGCGACGACACCTACTCCAACAAGTCGTGGGCCATCGTCGGTCAGGGTCTCTTCAGTCTGCGCGAGATCAACCAGATGGAGCGCGAGCTCTTCGGCTACCTCGGCTATAAGGTCAACGTCTCTCCCGAGGACCTCGAGATGTTCACCTGCGAGCTCGAGCAGGATGTGGATGGTGGACGTATCGACTTGGTGGTGCGCAAGATCCTGGAGCTCATGTCTCGTCGTCGCAGCATTGACGGGTCGTCGGATGAATCAGGAAGGGAGCGATGCGAGAGTGTGTCGAGCTCGCCGCCTACGCCTGCGCTGGAGTCGTCATCGGGCTTCTCGTCGCCGTCGACCGACTCGCATGCTGGCCCGTACCGTGCAGCTGGCCGACACTCGAGGCAGTCGAGCGTCACGCAAGCCTTCAGCCAGCGCGCTAGCATCTCGGGCCCATCGAGCAGCAACTCGATGCCTGCCGCTACACCTATGGTCAAGAGCGCCAGTCATCGTCAGGAACGAAGCGCCACGGCCCCGAGCTTCATCCACCCCTTCGCCAACACCGCTCGCGAGAGGTCTCGCCCCTACACCACCCCTTCGCACAGCATGCCTCTCTCGGCATCCTCCTCCTCGTCGTCGTACTACGCCGACTCACCGACGGCCTCCATGTGCTCGTCGACCTCGTACGCCGCTTCCAGTGCAACATCGGCGACGCCATCCCCCTACGCCTCGCGCTCTTCTATCATGTCCGGTCGCACCACGCCCGACACCCCACCCTCCGACATGGAGGCTCAGTTCGACGACGCACGCTACTACCCAGCCAAGTTTGACCTCAGCCCCACGTCCCACTACAAGCTTCCTTCCTCCCAGTCGGTTCAGGCGCACAACCTGCACCCGTACCACTGCTGGAGGTCTTAGACTCCGCATAGCATTTCAGCATTCACTCCGGCCCTCCGATGGATGGGCTCGGTTCAGACTCTCCTCTCACTCGTCAGAATCTCTGCTTAACAGCAAAACTTAGATATACCCCCCGTCGCCACCATCGCATTTAGTCACTAGCAATCTTACAGGAATGGGTCTCTTCATCTCTCGCACTTCTGACTGGCTGATCTTGAGCAAGGTTTCGCACTGAGACTCGACCGCGTGACTGAGAGGCAAGCCAGCGCGAAGGCACTTTACACGACGTCCCGTCCATGATACGCGGCGAGCGCCAGAGTGTCGATATCATGGACCCTGGAATTCGCCTTACAACCCAGTGCGCCGGTCAACGCGCAGAGATCGACGACCGGCATGCAGTGGACGACAACGGCGCACGCAATCCTCAGATTGGGCGCGCTGACGCTGCAGAGCAACGCATGTGGCTGTTCTCCCCAGGTGCGTGCGGGGTATGAAAAACAAAGTTCTAGGTTGCCCTTCTTTTAGTCCGGTCGAACCCCTAGATTGATTCCTCCCCCCTGAGCGACGTTGTTCGAGAAGACACTTGCTCAGCAACGGAGAGCTCACCCAGGATGATGGTGCCGTAGATGGAAAGGTTCGGACTCCGCAAGATGCTGGCTGGGCGTTGCAAGGGTACGATGAAGGACCCTTGCGACGGTGTTCATGCGTGATACCGTCCTTGCTGAGGCTTGCGGTGGCTCCTATCGCTGGCGAAGGTGTTGCACAGCCTAAAAAAATGTCTCGCGCTCCAGCAAGCATCCTTCGGCCAACCTACCAAGAAGGGCTTGCTTTCGCACTGCCAGCTCGAGTCGACTCTAGGTCTAACATTCCCAAAAAATGCGACGCAAATCGATCGCCGATTCGACCGCCGCACGTCCGGTTGTCCTCGCGCTGCTTGACACGAGACAAAGGGCCTGGACGTGAGAAATTCGCCGCCGGTCCCTTTGTTCCATCATCTCAAGCCAAGGGATACGAATTCTCACGCCGCGGTGTAGATGGCACAAAGGGATGGTGGTCACAATGCAATGTTGTAGGTGAGGCTTTGCGGAAGGCTTTGTCCGGTGAGATAGCGGGGGCTGGCCACTGACGTGAGGGTGTGGCAAGGGTCGTGGAGGTTTGAGGTTGACATCGTCTGACTTCTCCACAAGCCGTCTCTCCTGCTCGTTTGAACGTCGTCGCTGTTCGATGCTGAGCACTATCTTCACCACCATCTTTCATCGCCTATAGCTTCATCTTAACGCACCATGATCAAGATGGGGAAGCACGAATCAACCACGACATCCACGACATCCACGACATCCACCACACCCATCAGCACCAAACGATCCTCACCCTCCACACCGCTCGCCAAACCCACCATCCGTCTCCTATTCACCTTCCTCACACCACGAGATGCCCTACTCCTCCTGCTCCCAGCTCTGCTCTGCAGTCTCATAGTTGGACTCGTGCCGACTGCAATGTCCAAAGTGGTCGGTCACGCCTTTGACGCGTTCACCTCGTACAACCCTACGCTCCTTCCACCCTCCGCCATCCCGTCATCTGCGCATCATCGGCTGATGCACTCCATCCTCTCCTCGGTCTACTTGCTTCTTGGGCTAGCAGCGGCGTGCTTTGTGATCAGCACGCTGAGCGTCAGTGCGTGGATCTGCTTGGGGGAGCGTGCGGCGGCAAGGGCGAGAAGGGCGCTCTTCGAGGCTGTCATGGGCAAGAGGCTGGCGTGGTACGATACAGGAATGGGTTTGTCGAACGAGGATGGGGAAGAGGAGGTTTCGCCGGCGGGACTGATGACGAAATGCGCCAGGGAGCTCGACGACCTTCGTGTAGCGCTCTCGAGAGAGGTCGGCAATGTCGTACAGCACGTCACGACGGCGCTGGCGAGTCTCGTGCTCGCACTGTACACCAGCTGGAGCTTGACACTGGTGATTCTGGCGAGTATTCCAGTGGTACTAGTGCTCACTGTGGTGACCGAGATCGGCGCGGCAAAGTGGCTACAGAGGGAGCGAGTCAGTACTGCACACGCCACGTCCATGGTCGAGCGCGTCATCGAAGCCATCAACACGGTGAAAGCATTCAACGCGCAACGCAAGGAGACCACCCGATTCGAAGCCGAGCTTAAGCAGGGGTGCAAGTCATGGCGTAAAACGCTGCTGTGGTGGGCTGCACGATTCGGTGTCACCAGCGGTCTGGTCTTTGCGACGTTTGTCCAAGGGTTCTGGTTCGGCAGCCACCTGGTGGGCAAAGGGAAGATCACGCCGGGTCAGGTCATGACCGTGTTCATGGCGAGTCTGTTGGTCTCCTCGACGATGGGTCAGATCGTTCAGGCGCTAACGTACATCGATAAGGGCAAGATCGGCGCTGCTAACCTGGTCAACCTGATCAACTCGCCGGATGTCCCGCAACACAAGTTGCGCACTTCGAATAGCACGGCTTCGATGCGATCATCTGGCTATACGGACGACAAGACACCCCTCAGTCCCGGCTTCACCTCGCCACGCTCCGACATCTTCACAGTCAACACGCTCGACTACGATCCCCGTCGCGCGCGCGCGGTGCCCATGTCGATCGAGCGCATCCCCGCCTCACCCTCAACGCCTACCACCTTCACTCACCGACACCGCGCGCGACGTCGCGTGCAGAACCTGCGCCGCATCGCTCCCACCACGTGTCTTGGCGAGATCCACCTGCGCAACCTCTCCTTCGCCTACCCCTCCCGACCCTCAACGCTCGTCCTCGACAATGTCAGCCTGTACTTTCCCGCTGGCGAAACGACCTATGTTGTCGGTGGTTCTGGTTCGGGTAAATCCACGATTGCCCAGCTCCTTTTGCGGCTGTACGAGCCAAGCGGGGGAAGCATCCAGATCGACGACCAGGTAGCGGACTACCTCGACCCAGCCTGGATCCGTCGTCATGTCGGGGCGGTCTCCCAGGACAGCGTCGTCTTCGACATGAGCGTGCACGACAACATTGCGCTTGGACTCGCCACCTCCGACGGCATGGCTAACGTCTCACGCGCCGACGTGGAGAACGCATGCCGACTAGCCCTCCTCCACGAATTCATCCGCGATCTGCCCGACGGGTACGACACGATGCTCGGCGCCAAAGGCACCGCACTTTCAGGTGGACAGAGGCAAAGACTTGCCATTGCGAGGGCGAGACTGCGCGACCCATCAGTGCTCATTCTCGACGAAGCTACCTCTGCGCTGGACCCAACAACGCGACACCTCGTACATGAAGCGATCAAAGCATGGCGCAAGGGAAAAACGACCATCGTCATCACCCACGACCTGTCTCAGATCGAGGATGGCGATTTCCTCTACCTTCTCGAGAACGGACGGTTGGTCCAGCAGGGATATCGCGCGGATCTCGAGGCGAAGGTTGGAGCGTTTCAACGCATGGCGATGCAGCAGAGTCGATCGAGTGGACAGCCTGACGAAGAGGAAGCAGAGATGGTGCAGCAGCAGGTGGAGAGGACGTACGACGAGCCGAGCCGGCGGCAGAGGGGGAAGTACCGGTCGATGCTGGGTTGGGAGAGGGAAGGGGGGATCCTGTCGGAGCATCTCTCGCTGATCATCTCGCAGAAGCTCGAGAATGTGCCTTCGCATCTCAAGCCGTTGCGGCTGGCGGAGCGGCAGGCGATCAACAGCTACTTTGAGGATGCAGAGGCATTGAGAGCGACTGGGTCGAGTGCGAGTCATCGCCGTGCGCGGAATGGCACCGTCGAGCGCAAACGATGGGATGCACAACCTATTCCTCATTCCACGGACGCAAGTGGCTCAGTGACCATTGTCCCCTCTTCCGAGGTGCCAAGCCGCATGCCCACCGTGCGCGAAGTATCGTCCATCCTCTGGAGGACCATCCCTTCCCGCGCCCTGTTGCTGCTCGGCATGCTGATCTGCGTCCTAGCCGGAACATTGACCACCATCTTCTCGTTCATCCTCGCCAAGCTCCTCGCCACCATGGGTCGACCCGATCAGTCCGCCACCGTGCTCAGATACTCGCTCCTCGTGCTGCTCATCGCCTTCCTAGAGGGAATCTTCGCCTTCACGCGCTACCTCTTCATGGAGACCCTCGCAGACGAGTGGCTGCTCACTCTTCGAACCTCCTCCTATCGCAACGTCATCTCCCAAGACCGAACGTTTTTCGACCGACCGTCGCACACCCCCGCCCGCGTCTGCCAGAGCATCGTCAAGGACGGTGACGATGCACGTGGACTTGTCGGTCAGATCATCGGTCAGCTCGCACTCATTGCGTCCATGATCACGCTCGGCATTGTTTGGGCCATGGTGGTTGGCTGGAAGCTGACGCTGGCAGGTGTAGCCTTCGGACCGGTCTTCTTGGCAGCGACGTTCCTCCAGAGTCGCGTCATCGGACATTACGAGGCGAGGAACAAACTCAAGCGCGAAATAGTGTCCGCTAGGTTTCACGACATGGTGAGCCATATTCGGGCGATACGGACGATGGCGCTAGAAGGCGTGTTCGCCACAGCGTACGGTGCAGCGGTGGACGATGCTCAGCGATGTGGGATGAGGAGCGCTGTATTCGCTGGGTTCGGACACGGACTCAGCGAGGCCCTGACGTACATCGCCGAAGCGCTGATCTTTTACGTCGGCGCAAGGTTGATTGTGTCCGGGGAGTACGATTTCGGACAGATGATGCAGGTGTTCAACCTGATCATCTTTGCGGTGACGTTTGCGGCGCAGATGCTAACGTTCTTGCCGGGGTTGTCGAAGAGTATGAAGGCGTTGGCGGATCTGGATTTGCTTTTGCAACCGCATCCGCGCAGTGAGGCGACGGGATCGCTCACCAGAGATGTCAGGGGCAACATCGAGTTCCGCCATGTATCCTTCGCCTATTCTGGACGGGACACCCATCAGGTGTTGCAAGACGTCGACTTTGGCGTATCTGCTGGCGAAGTCGTTGCCATCGTCGGCGCGTCTGGGTGCGGCAAGTCGACGGTCGCTGCCCTCCTTCAGCGACTCTACCACCCGACCTCCGGCGAAATCTTGCTCGACGGCACCCCCATCGACACCCTCTCCGTCGAATGGCTGCGCGAACACATCTCCGTCGTAGGCCAGAACCCCAGCCTGTTCGACACGTCGATCGCGCACAACATCGCCTACGGCGCCAACGCCAAGATTTACGAAGAGCCCCTTGCGCACACTCGCTCCTCGCTGGCAGAAGCAGACTTAGCGATGGTCCAAGACGCAGCACGTGCAGCCAACGCTCACTCCTTCATCACCACCCTTCCCGGTGGATACGACACCAGTGTCGGCGGCGCGACGGCCAAACTTTCGGGTGGTCAAGCTCAACGTCTCGCCATAGCCCGCGCGCTGATGCGGGTGAGAGCAAGAGTGTTGATCTTAGACGAATGCACCTCGGCGCTGGACGTGGCGAATCAGCAGGTGGTGGTCGAGACGCTGTTGGCGGATGAGTCAGAGGTGAGGCGGAGAAGGATGACGACCTTGGTCATCACGCACAATGTCGAGATGATGCGCAGGTGCGATCGCGTGCTGGTGCTCAAGGAGGGGAGGGTGGTCGAACAGGGCAAGTTTGAGAATCTCGTCAAGATGGGAGGGTACTTCGCTTCGCTCACGAGAGGTGGGGAGTGGACTGGATAGATTCGCTGCTTGGACTCGTCGGAACCTTTGATGTGCACAACGCTTTATTTCGCTATACCCTGTCTCAATAGTATATGTTTTGCCACCGCTGTGTATCAGTCAAGTGAACGATCTGCACAAGGTCGGTCGATGAGTACGATATCACAGATGAGTTGAATTGCTGCGTGCGTTTGAACTTTAGTCGTCCTGCTCAGACTCGCGCCTCATCTGGCTCGGCTGCGATCGGGTGCGAGGATCAAAGTTGGCGCCCTCGATGCGTCTCTGGAGCGTCCTGTTGACCTTGCGTTCGATCTTGTCAGCCTCGTCCAACTTCTTCGCCCTCACCTTGAGCCCTTCCTCGCCAGCCTTGGACAGCACGCCGATGATGAGCTCGACGCTGCGAATGGAATCGTCGTTAGCCGGGATCGGGTAGGTGACGGACCTCGGGTCGACGTCCGAGTCTGTGATGGCGATGGTGGGGATGTTGGCCTGGGTAGCCTCTCGGATCGCAAACGAGTTCTCGACGGGGTTGAGTACGATGACGAGATCCGGCTGGAGGGTTTGCGAGGCGAGTCGGTTGGTGTTGCCCGCGCCGGACGGGTCGATGTCGTCCATGGACTTGAGGATCGCTGACGCAAGCAGCTTGGGCGCGTTTGTGATGACGCCTGGCATCCATCTCTCGGCAGTCACATGGAAGCCATTGCTGCCCAGCCTCTTGGTTGCAGCCAAGACAGCCGCTTGCTGACCAGGACGAGTGCCGACAAACAACACAACACCATCGCGCTCAGCAACCGCCTTGACTACCGACGCGGCTCTGCGCAGCGCCGGAAGCGTCGCGCGTTCCAGATCGAAGATGGCAACGCCGTGACGCTGACCATAGATGTAGGGCTGGTTAGCCGATTTCAGCGAGGAGAGCGAGTGGCCGACCTGGGCGGTAGAGGCGACAAGGTGACTGAGCGTGAGCTTGTGCGCGTCGATGGGATTGAGACGCAGCTTGTGCGGTCGGAACGAGTTGGCGCGTGTCTGGGTGCTGCCGAGGTCGGAGAGCTGGTTCATGACGGTGCGCCTGAGGCGACGCTTTTCGAGCGCATCGTCGGCGGTGTTGGTTTCGGCGGACTGAGGAGCAGCAGCGACGGCTTCGACGGCTGCGGCGGCCGCTTCTGTAGAGGAAGGCTGAGCATCGGTGGCCAGACCACGAGTGAGAAGAGTGGAGCGAGGAGCGGCGGTCTTGGAAGGAAGCGAGCTCCTCAGCAAGCTGCCGAGGGTAGTCCTTGAGGTGCTGGCGATCGGGCTGGCCATGATCGCGACAGAGTGGTGCCGAGACTGATCGTAGGTAGGGGTTGACGATGTTGACGATACGGTCGCGATCAAGCCAGCATGAGCTGTTGGTGCTCGTGTGAGCTCAGCCGATCCACTTTTTTGGACAGGCGATAGTCGGAACCGTTAATTCTTCTTTTCGCACGAGACACGGGGATCTCGATGTTCAGGGTCCTTTGGTAGCCTGTGCCGCAGCAACTCGTTCTTGTATTCGAAGGTGAAGCTGGACATTTCAGGCCCTGGCCAGCCTGAATACAATTTCCGCGAGCCGATAATTTAACTGTTGAAATGGGAATCTCAAGCCAGGGTCTTTGTGCTTGCAGCGTGCGACCTTTCTTCCAAAATTTTTCTTCCAGCTGCAGCACGAAGGAGAGACGGCTAAGCGCGTTTCTTTTTGAATCTGAGAAGAAATCGACGACTCCGCCAGCTGCTGCCTCGAAAAATTTCAAGCAGCCCAGAAAGGCGAGCAAGCAGTTGGCTCGCCCGTCAACCAACCAACAGCCAGACAGCCAGCCAGCTTGGACCACAGCCAGCCTCGAGAAGAAACGGGCGCACGAAAATTCCTGACCAAAAGTTCGATTTCACGGCAGCACGCCAGCCAAACCACACAGAGTGACCGCCGCCTGTGCGTAGACTTTTTCCACTCTGCAAAGGCAGAAAGAGGCGAAAGAGTGCCACAGACAGGCGTCAACAGCGAGCAAAGCTTTTTTGGTGCTTGCTCGCCATCCTTCTTTCCTCCCCACCTTTCCCCTTCATCATCCCCCCAAACCCAAAACTTCGTCATCATGTCCAGCGAGGTTCCTGCTACTCCCGTCGACGAGACCGTCTACCAGGGCGCCATCGGCATCGACCTTGGTACCACCTACTCTTGTGTCGGTTGGTGGGTCAACGAGCGTGTCGAGATCATCGCCAACGACCAGGGTAACCGCACCACCCCTTCCTACGTCGCTTTCACCGAGAGCGAGCGTCTCATCGGTGATGCCGCCAAGAACCAGGCCGCCATGAACCCCCGCCAGACCGTCTTCGACGCCAAGCGTCTCATCGGTCGCCGATACGATGACCCCGACGTCAAGAAGGACATGCAGCACTGGCCCTTCACTGTCATTGACAAGGATGGCTCCCCCTTCATCGAGGTCAACTACCTCGGTGAGACCAAGCAGTTCTCCCCCCAGGAGATCTCCTCCATGGTCCTTACCAAGATGAAGGAGATCGCCGAGGCCAAGATCGGCAAGGAGGTCAAGAAGGCCGTCATCACCGTCCCCGCCTACTTCAACGACTCGCAGCGTCTCGCCACCAAGGATGCTGGTACGTATTTGCTTCTAGAATTGACCCGCCATCGACATTCTGCTCTGCTGCCGGCAACGACAAGGACGCATACGCGGCAAAGGAGGAGGACGACCCAAGTAACAAGGACAACAAGGAAAGGAATGCGCAGCGATGATACAAATTTATTCCATGCTAATTCCGAGGCTCTCCAGCGATGCGGAAGCACAAATATTTTACTAAGAACGGCTAGCTGAGCGCATTCCGTGGCAGCATCGACGCGGATGGACAAAGGTCGACATGGAGGATGTCCAAAGGTGGAGCCGGCCAGCAGCATCAGCAGAAACGATGGCCGGGTCGAATACCTGCCTCTTGATTCTTGCTATCTCAAGTCACTGACCTCTTCTATCCTGATATCTGCTATCGCACTCAATAGGTTCCATCGCTGGTCTCGATGTTCTCCGTATCATCAACGAGCCCACCGCTGCCGCCATCGCCTACGGTCTCGACTCCAAGTCCTCGACCGAGAAGAACGTCCTCATCTACGATCTTGGTGGAGGAACCTTCGATGTCTCGCTCCTCAACATCACCGGTGGTGTCTTCGCCGTCAAGGCCACCGCTGGTGACACCCACCTTGGTGGTGAGGACTTCGACAACGCTCTCCTTGACCACTTCAAGAAGGAGTTCGAGCGCAAGAACAAGCTCGACATCTCCGGTGACCCCCGTGCCGTCCGCCGTCTGCGTTCGGCCTGTGAGCGTGCTAAGCGCACCCTCTCCTCGGTCACCCAGACCACCGTCGAGGTCGACTCGCTCTTCCAGGGTACCGACTTCCAGGCCAACATCACCCGTGCCCGTTTCGAGGAGATCAACGCCGCCGCCTTCAAGGGCACCATTGAGCCCGTCGCCAAGGTGCTCAAGGACTCCAAGATCCCCGCCGACAAGGTCGACGACATTGTTCTCGTTGGTGGTTCCACCCGTATCCCCAAGATCCAGTCGCTCATCTCCGAGTTCTTCGGTGGCCGTCAGCTCAACAAGTCGATCAACCCCGACGAGGCTGTTGCTTACGGTGCCGCTGTCCAGGCCGCTGTTCTCACCAACCAGACCAGCGACAAGACCGCCGACCTTCTGCTGCTCGACGTTGCCCCTCTCTCGCTCGGTGTCGCCATGCAGGGTGACGTGTTCGGTGTCGTTGTTCCCCGTAACACCCCCATCCCATGCAACAAGACCCGTGTCTTCACCACCGTCGAGGACAACCAGACCCAGGTCACCTTCCCCGTTTACGAGGGTGAGCGAACTCAGTGCAAGGACAACCGTCTCCTTGGTGAGTTCGAGCTGACCGGCATCCCCCCTCAGCCCCGTGGCCAGGCCGAGCTCTTGACCACCTTCGAGATCGACGCCAACGGTCTGCTCAAGGTCTCTGCCCAGGAGAAGATCACCGGCCGCAAGGCCAACATCACCATCACCAACTCGGTGGGCCGATTGAGCTCTAACGAGATTGAGCAGATGATCAAGGATGCCGAGACCTTCTCCAAGGCCGACAAGGACTTCACCGCCAAGCACGATGCCAAGAACGACCTCGAGGCCTACGTGCACTCGGTTGAGGAGACCATCTCGAGCCCCGCTGCCAACCTCAAGCGCCCCGCCAAGATCCAGATCGAGCAGGAGCTCACCAAGGCTCTCGAGCTCCTCGAGGTGCAGGACGCTTCGGCCGACGAGTACCGCCGTGCTTCGCTGCGCCTCAAGCGCTCCATGCAGAAGGCTTTCGGTGGCCGTTAAGCGGTTGCCTGCATTGAAAAAGGGTGAGCATCGCATCTCGCTCACCTCGCATCTCCTGCAAACCAAAAAAAAGGAACTCGAGGGTCTTTCAGGTCGGGCTACTCTTGACCTGACGATCTGTGCTCAGCAAGATTTCCCACATCCGACCTTTTGTATGCATACATTCCCTGCAATATCTTCCCGTACGCCCATGTCTATTTGTGATTGTGTGTTGATCGTCGTGTAGGCTGCTCAAGTCATTCGAAACTGGATCGAGAGATCTGATGCGGATGAAGTTCATGCAGTGAAGGGCAGCGGGAAAGAGATGACGAGCTCAGCCGGATACAATCAGTTGAGGCTGCGTGAGAGGCGACACCGATGCTCTCAGCCGGACATCCACAGACTCAGTGCCAGTCACTCTGATGATGTGAGAACCAATTTGCCTCGCGCAGGGCACCTCTCGACAGAAGTATGACTTCTGCAGCTGGATCGGACCGAGGGAATTTGACGTGCAGCGGTGACAAGCGCACAAGCTCGTCGCGTCAGCCACATTCCACAGGCTGCAGGCTGCAAATGTTGAAATTGTCCGAATCTGAGCTCCTTACCGCACGCACACACACTCGCTTCTGCGCCTCTCTCCTCTCTCTTCATCAGTCACTCAGGTGCGGTCGGCTGTCGGCTGAGTTCTCAGAAAACGTCAAGGAGCGCCAACGACAAGGAGACATTCCGCATCATGCACACTCAGGCTCGCCACTCTCCTTTCATTTGACCCGGATCTCACCCTTGCTTCCAAGCGAGCTGGCGCGCATGGCTGTCCACCTTGGCATGACCGCCGAACATGGCCACATCTTCATTCGCCTTTCGCCATTTGCCCACTATCCAGTTCGTGACTGTCGCAAATCCTCCGTAGGCGCTGCCCGCATTTCTGCATGCCAGTCAACGGCACGCCAACTTTCCGGGTCGCGACCTACCCATCACGCCTCGACCCTGCCCATCGCTGTCGTCTTCTTCTTTCGTCTGTTCCCAAAATGACCGATGCATCTGGTCCGCCATGACCTCGAATCATCTTCAGCATCTCGGTTCGGAAGGATCTGCATCAGCTCAAATCAGCCAGAGCTGAATGGTTCTGTCTCACTGATGCACACTCACTTCTAGCACAGCAGCTTCGATCGCACCATTGATGATCTGCAGCTCGTTCTCGCTTACAAACATGGATCTTCGACGCTAGTGCGCTGTTCCTGATCAGCGTGAGCAGCCGTGCATCTTCGTCTCCCGAACAGCGTCAGGGAGCGAGGATGAACGAGCCGCTTTCAAACTCGACGCGAAAGGCTCTGTCCCCATTTGACCGCTGCATTCCCGACAACAGCTCCGCACTTTCTGCTCACGACAGATGCGGTCCTCGCTCGTCAAAGTCTTGTCAGCGCCATGTTGGCTAGATATCACCCTGTGCCAGGCATTGTCACGCAACAACGAGGCTTGATATCGTTTACGGACGACTAGAAAGCACGAGTTTCTGTCTTGATGGATCATGCCAATGTCGATGCAAATGTCGTGTCCTGCACCGGGACCCGCACAGCAAAGCAACAGCTGCTTGCTTGATACTTCCGGAATCTCGGCGAGCGACCCAGGATAACATGGCGTCTGTTTCCTTGATTCACGAGATATGCCGCAATGGTTCATTCCTATGTCTCCGAATAAGGTTGCCAGCGCCGCATATCCTGTCATTCGACTGATGAGGCGTCTCTGCGATCCAGTTGCGCCGGCCTTGGCACCTCCTCGCTTGTACCTGGTCCGTGGTCCCCTGTCCGCAATGCACCTGCCTGCTGCTTCGGAATCTCCTGCACATCCTCCCCTCGCTGATGACAGCAAACACTAGCAAACACAGCCTTCTAATTTCTTCTCTCTCCCGGTCTATTGCCATGCTGCTGCTGCAAACATGCCTCGGAGAAACCTCGCTCAACGCCGGCTTTCAGCGAATGCGGCGCACGCCACCGACTCGATTGTATCCTTTCACGAACGTAAGTCTGCCACAGTCATGCTCGCTCTCGAATCACAGATGCAATGTTTTGATCCTCTCACTGTTCCTTCGATACAGTCGAGCGAGGTCGACCGCGAAGCAATCACTGCCACACCCGTCCTCGCGCTTGACGGAGCACTGATCAGAGATATATAACCTCGACTCTCTTGTCCCTCTTCGCTTCCGTCTCTCAAGCTAGTTTTCCTCTCCTCTCCAACCTTGTTCCTGCTGCTGCTTCCCTTCCCTTCCCTTTGCTGCCCAGTCCAACCACAAGCGACCAACACCGCCTCACCACATCGACCACACAACACTCTCTTGACACTCTCTTGACCTTCAACTCTCCAACCTCTCGACTCAACAACCATGAAGTACCTCCAGTTCCTCGCTGCCGTTGCAGCCGTCTCTGCCTTCTCTGGCCCTGTCCTCGCCGGATTGACCGTCGACAACACCAACCAGGTCGCCCCCGTCCAGGGCACCGTCGCTGCCCTTTCGCAGGTCGGCAACCTCCAGCACGTCGAGCGCGGCGACATCAACGTGGAAAACCATTCTCAATTCGCTCCCGTTCAGGGCACCGTCGCCGCCCTCTCTGCGGTCCTCAACGAACAGAGCGCCAAGCGCTCCCTCAAGGTCGACAACACCAACCAGGTCGCACCCATCCAGACCACCATCGCTGCTCTCTCTCAGGTCCTGAACGAGCAGAAGGCTGCCAAGCGCGACAACGTCGTCAAGAACGACAACCAGATCCTTCCCATTGAGGCCACGCTCGCTGCCCTTTCGGCCGTTGCCAACGGTCAGAACGCCAAGCGCGGCGATATCAACGTGGACAACAGCGCCCAGTTCCTCCCGGTCGAGGCCACCCTCGCCGCTCTCTCTGCCGTCGCCAACGGTCAGTCTGCCGGCAAGCGTAACGCTCCCGACTTTGATGTCGAGAACACCAACCAGGTTGCCCCGATCCAGGCCACCGCCGCGCTGCTCTCCGAGGTCGCCAACCTGCAGACAGCTCACGCCAAGCGTTGGGCCCACGAGAGCACCCACATCGACAACACCAACCAGGTGGCTCCCATTCAGGCTACTGCTGCTCTGCTTTCGCAGGTCGCCAACCTCCAGTCCGCTGGCCGCAAGCGCTGGAACCACCACGACCACGATGTCACGATCGAGAACACCAACCAGGTGGCTCCCGTTCAGGGCACGGTTGCTGTTCTTTCGCAGGTCGACAACGTTCAGTCTGCCAGCAAGCGCGACGTCACGGTCAAGAATCACAACCAGGTGGCTCCCGTCCAGGGTACCGCTGCTGTCCTCTCCCAGGTCAGCAACGAGCAGCTTGTCTCGCGCAAGGCTCCCGACTTTGATTCGGTCGAGAACCACAACCAGGTCGGTGCTATCCAGGATACGGTGGCCATCCTCTCCCAGGTCCTGAACAACCAGTCTGTCGAGAAGCGCAAGGCTCCGGAGTTCGATGTCGAGAACCACAACCAGGTTCTGCCCGTGCAGACCACGGCTGCTCTGCTCTCTCAGGTCCTCAACAGCCAGAGCGTTGAGAAGCGTCACGGCAAGAAGCACACCACCAAGGTCTCGAACCACAACCAAGTGGCTCCTGTCCAGATCACTGCCGCTACCCTCTCGCAGGTCCTCAACAACCAGAGCGTCGAAAAGCGTAAGGCGCCCGAGTTCGACTCGATCATCGAGAACCACAACCAGGTGCTCCCCGTGCAGACGACTGCGGCTCTCCTGTCGCAGGTGCTCAACAGCCAGTCTGTTGAGAAGCGTCACAACGACAAGCCCGACATTGTCTTTGAGAACCACAATCAGGTACTTCCCGTGGAGGCGACGGTTGCTCTCCTGTCGCAGGTGCTCAACGGTCAGAGTGTGGAGAAGCGCAAGGCTCCCGAGTTTGACTCGATCGTCGAGAACCACAACCAGGTCGGCGCCATCCAGGACACTGTTGCTATCCTGTCTCAGGTCTTGAACAACCAGTCCGTCGAGAAGCGCAAGGCTCCCGAGTTCGACAGCTTCGAGAACCACAACCAGGTCGGCGCCATCCAGGACACCGTTGCTATCCTGTCCGAGGTTCTCAACAATCAGAGCGTCGAGAAGCGTCATGGCAAGAAGCACACCAAAGTCGAGAACCACAACCAGGTGCTGCCTGTTCAGGGCACTGTCGCTCTCCTTTCCCAGGTTCTGAACAACCAGTCGGTGGAAAAGCGCAAGGCTCCCGAGTTCGTCCTTGAAAACCACAACCAGGTGGCTCCGGTCCAGACCACCGTCGCAACCCTCTCTCAGGTCCTCAACAGTCAGTCGGTCGAGAAGCGCAAGGCTCCCGATTTCACCTCGGTTGAGAACCACAACCAAGTCGCTCCTGTCCAGGGCACCGTGGCTGTTCTTTCTCAGGTGCTCAACAACCAATCGGTCGAGAAGCGCAAGGCCCCAGAGTTCACCTCTATCGAGAACCACAACCAGGTTGCTCCGGTTCAGGGCACGGTGGCTGTCCTCTCACAAGTTCTGAACAACCAGAGCGTGGAGAAGCGCAAGGCTCCTGAATTCACTTCGATCGAGAACCACAACCAGGTGGCTCCCGTCCAAGGCACCGTTGCCGTTCTCTCTCAGGTGCTCAACAACCAGTCCGTCGAGAAGCGCACCAACGGCGAGACCAACATTGTGGAGAACACCAACCAGGTCCTGCCTCTTCAGACCACCATCGCCGCTCTTTCCTCGGTGCTCAACACTCAAAAAGCCTCTCGCTCGCTTGAGCTGTCGAACACCAACCAAGTCGCGCCCGTCGAAGCGACGCTCGCCGCGCTCTCGCAAGTCGCCAACGATCAGGCCGCCAGCAAGCGCGATGGGCTCGTCAACGACGACCAGGTGGCGCCCGCAACCGCCGTCACCGCTGCGCTCTCCAAAGTGCTGAGCGGCCAAAAGACCCGACGAGGTGAGAACCCAGTGATCCAGAACAACGTGCACCAAGTAGCCCCAGCTCAAGCGACCCTCTCTGCCCTCTCGGATATCGTAAACAGCGCGAACACCCGCCGAGCGCTGGATGTAGAGCAGTTCGAGGTGCTCCAGCGTGCCATTGAGGCATTGCAGGCGGCGCTGGACAAGACGAGCACGGGGGATGCGACACACAGCGTGGACGCCTTGACGGGGTCGGCTGAGCACCTGGAGAAGCGAGATGGCGGGCTCAACCCTGGTGCGCTGTTGGGCGGGGCGATGGGCGGCCTCTCGGTGCCGGTGGGCAACGAGGACCTGTTGAAGGATCTGGCGAAGCGATGGGCGGCAGAGGCGGATGCCGAGATGGCCAAGCGCACCCCTTCCGTCGACGGCAAGGGTCAACGTCCTCGTCCTCGTCATGCTCGTGAGCACAACAACAACGGCCAGTGCTCCGTCGGCGCCGCCCAGTGCTGCAGCCAGGTGATCAACGACGAGGGCAAGAAGAAGACGCTAGCCGGTCTGCTCGGGTTCAACAGCATTGCGGGCGACATCGGTCTCAACTGCCAGCAGATCCCTGCCCTCGGCGGACTGGCGTTGCAGTCGACGTGCAAGTCTTCACCCGTCTGCTGCACCAATGTCTCCCAGGATGGTCTGGTCAACATCGGATGCACCTCGCTCCCCATCAACTGAGGCCCACAGCGCAGGGCTTCGATTTTGCTCCAATTTTCCGATCGACACGCGTGGTCGCCCTCACCGCCGCTCCCGACACACTTGGTCTTTCGTCTCTTTTGCTCGGTCGTCACGTCTCTCTCTCGTCACTGTTCTTGTCTCTTGCATGTCGCCTTTGGCACGATTTTCACACTCGTTTCGCTCCATTCCCCACTCGTGCAGCAGCAGCACTCTTCCCTTCCTCAGTCGTCAGGCCACCGTACGACTCTCCCTCCCCTCAAACGGTCCAACCCCGCCCCTCTCCGAATCTAGCTCTCCCTTCCCTTTTCCCGTTCGTTCCCTGGCTTTCCCCGTTTCGATCGCACCCCACTTCCCTTGCTCCATGTCCCAAAGCTTCGGTCGTCATCTCTGTCTCCTGTACTTCTGCGTGGTTGGTCGCCGTCGCAGAGGTGCAGTCGAGATTGTCGTCGCTGTCATTGCTCACTTGACTTTCAATACACTCGATCGTTACACTACTTTGCTCGCTTGCGAAGTCTCAGGGCTTGATTGGACAGGACTGTCTAGCATATCTTGAGATCATCATAAGGGGGAACAAGGCTGGCATTTGATTTCAAAGCTGACTACATTGATACGGTCGACATCACGGGGGCTGAGAGGTGGAGAATTGAAAGTGTCGACGACGGTGGGGGGATTTTGAGTAGTCATCATGTGGCAGGTTTTGGGGAAATCAAGGCACGGTCTTGAGTCTTTCAGGAGACATGAAGTCTCTGGTAGGTGTCGTGATCACCCATCGAAGTCGTTCGAGAATCACTTTTTCAAGCGCTTCTTGAGCCGTTTGTTGATCTCGTCGTTGCGCAGCCGATACTGATGAAGCTCCAGCTCGGAGAGCTGCAAGATGTCGTTGAAGAACTCTTTCTGCGGAATGTTCAAGATCGCGCGCACGAGATCGCAGCTGGGATTGCCGTCTTGCTGAACAGCACCGCCTTCAGGGGTGGGATCACCCTCGGCCGTGACGTGTGACGTCGGTTCGTCAGCGGAATCGGTGCGGGCACGCTTCGCCAGGGGCTCTGATGTGCCGTCGGGAACCTGCATCCGCTGGTCGGCAGAAGCTTGTTCAGGGCTGTCCGCGGTCTTGTGAACGGTCGAAGGGGAGGGAACACGTGTAGAGCTCGAAGCGACGGCGACAGAGATGTTGGTGCTTGAAGTATGACCGGCCGGTTGATCGCTGTTGCTACGGGACGGAAGGGGGTAGACTGTCGGACCGGAAGTGACGTTGGTAGAGCTGAGACCTCGCTGTGCAGGAACCGACGTCTTGTTGTGAAGCTCGGTCAGAGCTGAGGACGTAAGCGGCGCCGGGCTGGGAACGATGGCTGCAGAAGAACTGTTCTGCGGATCAGCACTGGACCTCTTGAGACTAATCTTGACGCGTGGAGTCGGGGAGGCTGCCAGGACGGGAACGGGATTGACAGATGCCGACTGTTGCTGGTCTCGAGGTTGAGGGGTCGGAGTACTTGAAGGCAGGACGGTGTCACTAGCCGTGCTGGACTGCGTTACAGGTGCTGTGATCGAAGCAGCAGCGGGCTGCCTGACAGGTAAGCTCGAAGGGTGGTTGTGGACGTCAGACATGGTGTCGATCTCCCACCCTGAAGAATTCTCGGCTGGTCCCAATCTGATGGAGTATTGGCAATATGGTAGCGGCCCGGTGTTGTATCGGTTGCATCTCAGGTAGTGATACGATGCGTAGCCACCCCCGCCCTTCAGTAGATAGCCTTCGTCCATCGACCACCGAGTCAGCATGAGTTGAGCTTGCTCTGCGGTTTGGAAAGGAACCAGGTATTCCTGTGGGACGGGCACGTGATACTGGACCGCGGCACATTGCCATCGCGAGCCTTGCTGTCCATTGTTCGAATCCCCACAGCTACGAGCTTGGGTCGCCAGAGGTGCGACGAGCGCTGAGCTGGGAGAGGCAGTATACATGGACCGGTTTGACGGGGCGGCAGGTGACTCGCCAGGAGTGTTGTCCGGGGGATGGTTGTGTCGATCCTCGATGACGTGCAGCCTGAACCTTTCAGTGCCCTGTATGATGTCTACTTTAAGCTGATAGGAACAGGGGTCTTCAGTGTCTTTGTATTGGAAGCATCTGAGGTAGCAGAAAGTAGACGTCTTCCTCGAGACGGTTAAGAAAAAGCCTTCGCTTAGAGCCCACTTGGTGAGGTGAAGCTCACCGGCTATCAACGACCCAAATTCCGTATATTGCTGCGGGACCGTCGTTATGAAACCATTTTGCTCGGATGAAACAGAGGCTCGCAGCGAGAGACGGGGTCGAAGACGTGAGGTCATAGCTGATGTGTCGCCCTCAGAAGGAAAGGTGTTGGATGAATCCATGTATGTGTCGTCGTCCGATTCGGGAGGAGAGGAGTCGTGGCTGCTGCTTGCTGAGGAACACATGGGCAAAGGCCACCGATGACGGGGCGTACAAATCTGAGGTATCGCAGAAGAAAGGTCAAGAAAGATGTTTCTGTCGACGAAGCGAGTTATATACAGGAGACGAATTGCTGCGCATTTCCTCGTTTGGACCGAGCTCCTTCTGAGAGACTCAGAGGAAGGGGACCCAGCTTGCGACTGAGCTCTCGAAAGGCACTGGACCGCAATGGGTCTGCGTCCCTTTTCCAAAGAACTCCAGAGCTGGCGGCTAGGAGTGGACGCCGTCGCTGTGCTACTGCGATTCGCTTGGCGACGCGCGTCCCTTTCAGCGATCAGCACCGTGACAACTTCGAGGTTGTCCGTTGATTCTCCCACTCAATTACTTCGGGAGACGAGCCGATTCTCGAGCCTTTCGTCGTCCCGTTTAGCGATTCTTGAACCTTATCGCAGCGTACGGACAACATTTCTTGCCAAGAGACTTCATTTCGCCGCGCTTCACCTCAGTCTTTCTGAACGAAAATGCGCCGTGTCCCACACTTTCAATGCACCATCAGACTTCCGCCCACCAAAGCTGCAAAGTGTTCGAAAGAAAGGCTCGAAGTATCAATCGACGGCATTCCAGCAGCAGCTTCCGGATCGACTTTTGCGATGCAGCAGCGCAACAGCCGAAATGTCTCCCGGCAGCGAATGGAAAGAGGCAATGCTTCGTGCAGGTTTTTAAGTTCTCACGGTTCCCACGCCTCCTTCCTTGCCAGTCACATCGTCACCCCGATCTCATGCTCGAAGGTCCTGCGCACAGAGCATTCCGACGGCTGCCCTCCTCCATGCTGTGACTGGATTTGTTGGGGATGCCTTCGGTAGTCAAATGTGATCCAAAACGAGGAATAAGCTTCGTACTGATCCATTCCCAGCTCTTTGACATAATCCAGTATCTACTGTATCTCTACTTTGCCCGATGCAGACCTGTCCCCTCCGACATCTGGATCCGCTCTGCCACCGGTCGCGATGCTCTGGGTCTCGCTCTTCGTCTTGGCGCTCTACTTGCCCTGCCTCGTCAGGGAGGTGAGTCGATAGAGTCCTCATGACTGGTTTGAAATCGCGCTGCGACATCTCGAGCCGAACGCGGACGATCTGTCCACACAGCCAATGACAGCTCTCACGGACCCGTCGACGCTGCGCAGCAATCGACCAAAACCCTCACCCTAACCCTATCCTTGAAAAACCACATCCATCAGCGAAGCAATGAGACCCCAGCATCGCACACCTCCCGCCTTGTCCTACTGAGACACGACCGACATCATCTTATCCACCTGGGTCAAGTCGTACTTCCTGCTATTCACATTTCTCGACCTTGCTCTACAGGGCTCAGCACAGACACGACTCACTACAGACATAGGTACAACAACCTAGGACACAGCCACACATTGGCGGAAACGGCAGGAGCTCTTCGACTGTGTGTGATATGTACAAAGCTCCTCTTCGTGAGCGAAGAAGAGACTATCGGAATCGGTCGTCGTGATCTTTTTGTGGATTTTCTCGAGTCGCGGCATCGTTCGTGTCTGATCGCGCTGAGTGCGGAACGGACAGCGGCGACGCGTTTTCTGTTCGGATCGTTTTTGTTTCGGTTGGGGAGAGTTTTGGGAGTAGGACAGCAGAGTGATCTGCAAGTCGCGTGGGTGGTGAAGGCGACGCAAAAGAGCGTGCGAGCAAGTGCGCATGCGCGAGTCGGTGGGAAAGACGACGAAAAGAAGGAGAGACGACGTTCCGAGGTGGGCTGCGAGGAGATGGAGTCAAAGAGACCTGCCGAGATCTATAAGTCGAGGACGAGGTGGTGGTGGGTGGATGATCCGCTGAAGCTTGAGCGATCGTCGAAGTGGCGTGGCGGGCGACATCGACTGTGCAAGGCCTGCTGGCGATGGAGAAAGATACAGGAACACAGGGACCATCGCAAGACAGGTGGACCTGCACAGGACGAGGGGGAGAGGGCACCGCCACACGCGTTCGTCACATCAGAGCGACGCGTGGGTGGTTGCGCGCAGGCACGAGGACATTTCATTCCTGAGCAGCGGCAACCTTTTCAAGGAGCTTGTCCTTGGGGGTCTTGAGGCCTTCTCCCTCGATCTTGCCGGCCAGCTCCTCGATCTTGTCCTGCGACAGCTTGGCGCCCACCAACAAATCGGCGACAAACGAGTAGATCGCGGGAATGTCGATGGCAGCGTCGTCCAAGAACTCCATGTGCGGCTCGAAACCCTTGAAGGCGGTGTCCTCGTCGAGGTGACCATCTTCGCTGAGCTTGGCGAAGAGCGCGGCCACGTTGGCGACGTCGTCCTTCTTCTTCTCGATGGCGCTGCCGACAATCGCATCGACGAACTGGGATCGTCGCGACTCTGGCAAAGTGTTGAACGCCTCCACACCCTCGTTGACGTCCTTGATCTCGAGGAACTCCTTGATGTCGTTGTTGATCTTGCGCTTCGCCTCCTCGTCCGACATGTCATCGGCAGGCTTGGCGCTGTCGTCCTCACCTTCGCCTTCACCCTCAGCGTCGGCCTCGTCCTTGCCCTCACCGTCCTCGTCAGCGCCAGGAAGGGGCTTGGTACGAGGAGCAAGGTTGAGCTTGGGTCGCTGTGGCTCCTCGCTGGGTGCGGCATCGCCCTCGCCGGCCTGGTTGAGCAGCGAGAACATGTTGGTCTGCGAGCTGGTGCGGGTAGGAGGCTGGCTGCCATCTTCGGAGCCCTTGCCCGGGGCCTTCCTGCCCAGCATGGTCGAGGGACCGAACGAAAGCGGTCGGCCTGAAGTGCCACGCTCGATCTTGCCAAAGTGCGAAAGATCGCCGGCCTTGCTGGGACGCGGTGGCGGAGCGGGACCACCGCCGACGGTGCTCCAGCCATCGGGGCCATCGCCACGGGCCTGGCCACGCTTGGAACCACCGCGCGAGATGGGGCCACCTCGTGCGCGCATGGCGTTCTCGGCGTCCCTCTGCGCCTGCTGCTTGGCAGCGTCGGCGTGGATCTGGGCGATGGTCTTGGGCGCAGAGTTGTCGTGTCGGGGGACCCACCTGGACTCGCGCAGCTCGATCACGTCCGTGAGCATGAAGCGCATACGCGAGTTGATGGCAGCCTCGTTCTTGGACATCTCCTTCATGCGCTGGAAGTAGACATCCATGTGGCCTCGAGCCTTCTCGGTGTCGAGCAGCTTACCGACAGTGGTCATGAGCTTGCAGAGCGACTCGATCTCCTCCTCTTCAGGATCGGTGGCGTTGGCCAGCAGCTTCTTGATGCAGAGGTGCATGATACGCTCTGTCAACATGCTAAGCTTGAACAGCTCGCCGATGAATCGGACCAGACCGAGACCACGTCGCTTGGCCTTTTGGGCCTCGTAGTACTCGTCAGAGAGCAACTCGGCTTCCTTTGGCTCCTCCGCGGGCTTCTCTCCACGCTCCTCAGCGGCCTTGGCGTCAGCCTCGGCCTTGTCGTTGCTGTCCTTCTTGGCCTTGTCCTCGGCCTCCTTGGACTTGGCAGCAGCAATGGCAGTATCGCGCTGGGCCCAGCCGCGCTCGAAGTCCTCCTGACATCGGTTGAGGAGGTACTTTCGGAAGAGCGAGCCACCCACAACAGGCTTGCCGTCGGTGGTGCGCAGGCTCTCATCCTTGACCTCTTGGCTGACCTCCTCCATGAGCTTTCGGCAGAGACGAGCGTACATCTCGGACCATGCAGCCTCGTCGGTCGCCTTTTCGAAAATGAGCTGAATGACCTGTCGCAAGGTACGGCCATCGTCCTCCGAGACCGACTTGTTGGCCCACTCGAGGATTTGGTTGGAAATGGAATCGAACTTTTCGAGCGTGAGCTTGTTGAGCAGCGCCTTGACCTTTCGCTGCACCAATTCGGGCGAGTCGGCCTTGACGGTGGCGCCACGGCTCCATCGGTTCTCCGAGTTGGCGAGAGGAACCACCTGATCGAGAGGGATCGTGGGACCTCCCTTCTCGGGAGGGTTGACCTGAGGACCACGGCTCGAGTTGGGATCGCGCTGGCGACCACGGTTGCTCTTCGTGCGACCACCGTTGGGAATACCGGTGCCCATCATGTCACGAGACGGCAAGGCAGTGCTGCCGCTGCCGGTTCGCGAGAGTGGTTGCGATCGTGCGCCAGCGTTGAAAGAGCCCATAGGACCGCCGAAGGCGCCCATAGCACCGCCACGCGCACCGGAAGCAGCGGCGAAACGCTCCTCGCTGGTCTTGGCTGGGTGGCTGAAAGAGCCGATGCCACCCTTGCCACCGAAGCTGGAAGAGCTGCTGATGCCAAGACCTTGAGCTCGGCCGGGAGCAGCAGGAGGGCCCATCGCTGAAGAGCGTCGGTTGAGACGGGAGCTGGCGCCCATGCCGCCGCTCTCCATGCCGATCGAAGCCAGTGGCGGCAGGTCGACGGGCTTCTCGGTGTAGACATTCATAAACTGCAACAAGAAGTCTCGGTCGTAGCGGAACTTGCCTGGCTCGGCCGACTCGTTGAGCTCGGACTTGGGCGAGTTGATGTTGTCGGGATAGCTGACCTTGCTGAAGTTGTCGATGAATTTGGCGGACGTCAGCGAGGACGATGCGCCACTCGAAGAGCTCTCGGCGGCCTTGGGAGCATGCTGCGATGCGGCAGCGCCCGTGGGCTCGACGGTGACCTTCTTCTTCTTTTCGAGAGCTTCGCTGTCCAGCTTGATGCCGTTGGCGGGAGTGCCGAGCGTGCTGAGGGGCTTGGCAGGGAGACCAGCAAAGCCGGGAGTGCCAGGGGTGCGAGGAGTTTGGGGAAGGCCAGGGGTCCTTGGTGCATCTTGTGCGGAGGGGGGCACAGACGAAGCTTCGCGAGCCATGCGCTCGACATCGGCGACGGAGCTGCGCATGCCGGCGGCGTCCTTGCCGTCGCCCTCCTGGTGCTGCGAGGCCTTTTCGGTGTCGATAGGAGCAAGCTTCTTGGGCTTGCTGTCTTCAGCAGCGGCAGGCTTGGCTTCAGCAGCAGTGGCGGCAGCAGCGGCGCCGGCCTTGGCCTCGGCGTCATCTTCCGCCTTCTTGGCCTCGTCTGCCTTCTTCTGTGCCTCGGCGTCGGCCTTGGCCTTAGACTCAGCCTCCGCCTTCTCCTTGTCTTCGCGCTCCTTCTTCTCCGCCTCTGCCTTGGTTTTAGCTTCCGCCTCCTCAGCTGCTTTGCGCTCGGCAGCGGCCTTGTCTTCGGCTTCCTTCTTAGCGGCGGCGGCAGCCTTGGCAGCGGCTTCCTCGTCGGCCTTCTTCTTGGCCTCAGCATCGGCCTTGTCCTTGTCGTCGGCCTGCTTTTTGTCGGCGTCCGTGTCCTTGGCGCTAGAGTCTCGCTCTGCCTTCTTCTTGTCTGCGTCCGCTTTGAGACGGGCAAGGAAAGCTTCCTGGGTCTCCATGCGAACAGGAGTGCTCTTGGCAGGCTGGTGCACAACAGTTGGAGCTGCCTTTGAGACGCTCGGCGAACTGACGGCAGGGGCGGCAGCAGGAGTAGCAGGGGCAGGTACGGGCGTCGACTTTTGCGAGACCGAGGGGGTCCTCTGGATGCTCTGAACATCCACGGCAGCTTGTGTCTCTGGGTTGACAATACGGATGGCAGCGCTCTGTCTCTTGACCTGAGGCTCAAATTGGCGTGCAGCCGGGCTCATGGGGTTGCTGAACGAGTGCGAGGGCGAGTGATGAGCGTAGCTGGTAGCAGGACTGAAGCTGGGTGTACGACCGCCCTGGGCGAGCGACATGGGCTGGTGCGCAGGCGAGCTGACATTGCTGTGACCGGTGGAGGGGGAAGGAGGCACGTTGGCGCCTCGGCCCGACAGCGGCGTCGAAGGAGCCATGTTGGGGGTGCCGGGAAGACCGTTAGGACCCATGGGCGACGAACCCATGTTGGCGTGGCGTGGCGAGCGAGGCGTGCCGGGCATGTCGTAACCGGACTGCTGCTGCTGCTGGTTCTGCTGTTGTTGCTGCTGCTGCCAGTGTTGGGGCACGGGCTGGTAGCCGTATCCGGGGTGGTAACCGTACTGAGGCGGCGCGTAGCCCATGGGCTGCTGGTGCTGCCATGGACCACCCATCGCCTGCATAGCCTGCATTGGAACGGCGTTGGCCATGTGAGGCGAACGCGGCTGCTGGGGACCGCCCTGAGGGTGGCCATGGAACTGCTGATGAGGGGGACCCTGAGATGCAATTCTGGAACCCTGAGCCTGGTGTGCTGAGGGCGAACGTTGAGGCTCGAACGGCCTTGCGCCGGGGTGGTGAGGCGTGCCTGAGGGCGGCCTCAAGTTGCTAGAGGCATGACGAGCGCCGCCTTGCTGGTTCTGCGAAGGAGCATGCGGCTGTGGAGTGGATGGTGCCGTGGAAGGAGCAGCCGCGCTCGACGCAGATGGCGAGGTGGATGCGGTGGATGCTGTAGCCGGGGATGGCGCAGGCGAGCCAGAGCCCTGGAAGAGCTTTTGAAAGTCCATGGATTTGGCAGGGGTGCCGTTGCCGGAAGCTGCTGAAGGAGCGTCCGACTTTCCGCCAGCGAAGCCGATGGTGGTCTTTTTGGAGTTGGAATCGTTCGCAGCTACCGAGCCAAAGACGGTAGGTTTCTCTCCGTGCAAGTGCTGACCAGAACTAGGTTGAGCAGCGGGAGACGAGGAGAGCATAGCGTTTTGGTCGTGAACCGAACCAAAGTTGATGGCGGCGCCGGGTCGGGCGTTGGCGGCAGCACCTTTGGGGAGGCTCACTGCAGACTGACGACGAGAGTTGTCGGCGGCGTTTGCATCACCGTTGGGACCAGCGGCGGCGACGTGGTTAGAGTTGCCCGCTGGACTGGAATCACTCGACATGGGCAGTGAAAGATGTCGAGAAGCAAAGCAGCTAGGGAGAGCCGCTTCGTGAGGTAGAGCGCGCGAGTGGTGGTGGTGGTTGAGAGGACGGAAAGCTCTGCTAGAAGAGGGGATCTGAGCAGAAGCGGTGAGGGTCCGAGTCGAGCCAGGTACAACACAACCAAGTGTCCACGTCAGCAGCGCTTCGAGATTGCTTGATCCGGCGTCGTAAAAGAGGTCGATCCAGACGAGAAAACCGAGTCGACGAGCCGTTCGATCCTGCCGATAGCGAGGCTGAGAACTAGGCCGAGGATGTCGAAAAGGGGGGAAAGAACCAGGTCTCTCCTGACTTTCTTCTCTTGATGAAACCCAAATGTCCTTCGAACAGAAACGAAAGACAACGAGCTGCAAAGAGGAAAGGTGGAAGGAAGAGAAAAGGAAAGGGGAAGAGGGAAAAAGAAGACCTCGCTTCGTCAAAAGAGAGAGGGAGGGTCTGTCGGTGAAGAGTTGAAAGAAAGGACGAGGAGGAGCCAGCAATCCATTCATCAGGGCTCAGTTGGCGAGACCGGCAGCCAGCCAGCCAGCCAGCCAGCCACGGCGATCCGTCGCAAATTTGACCAAGCAGAAAGGAAAAATCACGCTCACAGGCGTTCTTGTTATTACTAATTTAGAAGAAAATAATCTATTTATTGAATTAGGAGGAGTCGGTTGATGCTAGTGCTTTGGCGTCGTGAAAACTACGACTGAACATCGAGACTGATGAAACCGTTCAGAGGAAGGGGTCCTCTACGTTTGCCTGGCACATCAGACTAACGATTTGAAGTGTTAAAAAAGGCTCTGCGAAGACGCCTGAATTCAGAGGGGAAATTGAAAAGATGTTAGTAAAAGTTCGTAGTGACACACGAAACCGGAACAGAGGGCGTGCTTACCTTTGCCATTCGATGGCAGAGCCGAGCCGACGAGGCGGCCGGCCAAACGGTGATGGCGAGACGTGCGAATATGCGTATGTGTGTGTGTGTGTGTGTGT